AATTTAACTAAATTATTTTTTTGTTCTAATAAAGTTTATGTCTGTAAGATGATAGCTCCCCTTAGAATCTGAAGCTTCATTCTCTGCCTTTCTTTTTCTCTACTTAGTTGTTCTTGAGTTATTTTGGTAGGTACCATAAACCAACTTGTCAGCACTCTCACACCATCTAATTAGCTGGTTGAAATACACAGCTGAAGTAACTTCTTCAGAGAGTCCTTGAACATCTTTGTAATCAAAAACGATTTCTTTGTACTCAATCTCACACTATGCCAAAAAAAATAGGAGTTTTAGAGGTGGTTTCACAGGTGGTTCCGGAGGGGAAGCCAGGGTGCGTTTTGTGTCCTCCCCCCTTTTTTCCAACCCTGAGTTCATATGCATTTTAATACATCTCCGCTTACCGGTAGTTTTAATATTCTATTAATATATTGATAACCTTTTCTTTTGCTAATATTTGTCTTTCAATTGGACAAAACTTCTTTAAGTATAGTTGAAATATTATATACTATTGGTTACTACTAATTCATTATTCTTTTAATTTAGATTCTTTTAAATATTTCTTGCTTAATCATTGTTTTTATTGGATAAGACATAATTGCACTGTAGTGTATTTTATAAAAATATATTTTTATTGGTTTCTCAAATGGATATATTTTTTATTTATTGTTTTTATTGGTTACTTCACTATATAATTACATTTTATATATCACTTTTATTGGCTGTTATGATAGACATTACATTTTATACATCATTTTTATTGGTTATAAACAGTCAAATACATCATATACTTTCAATATTAACTATACTACTTTACACTGCAGTGGATAGTTACTTACAATTGCCTCCTTTGATGGCCTTTCCAGAGATGACTGACTCTTGCAATAGATGCCCAATTTTGATGGCATCTGGTGAAATCTATACCAACCCTCTTAAGCATGTTTGCATGTTTATTGCAAATCATTGTTCGATCACATGAAGATATGGATCCCCAGCTAGGACGAGGGCCAAGAGCTCATACAGAAGGAAGGGTAGCTAACTCATTACATACAAGTTTCGTACAGGTCCTGAGTGTTGCTTTTTTGGATGCTATAACCTTGATTCCAAGATGTTGACTCATCATTTAGTAAACATGTTCTAAAGGGACATTACAAATGTTGATCACAAGTTTGAAAATAAACCCACTTGAAGTCTATTGAAGTTAAAGTTAGTTTTCAGCAATACTGTTTTGAGTTGAACTTACATTAATAAACAAAAAGAGATTTTGCTTTGGAGATCCTTTGATCATTATTTCATTTCCAAGGCTGTTAATATCCATCTTAATTTGTTCTTGATTGGCACATAAGACAGATAACTGGAGCTGAATAGCTAGGAGTAAAGATTTGATGATGTTATCTGTGTCATTCATATTGCAAATATTGTTTACCTGAGAAAAAAGATGTTGTTGTGAAAATAAGGTATAAAGAAAAAAATTTTCAATTATCTATTATTAGTTTCATAGCAATATAGATTGAATCTATTGGGTTGGTTTCAGTGAATATCAATTTTGCTTACCATGCTTACATGACAACATGATATATATGTTTTACTTTTTTCTTCTGAGCTTATATTCAAGTTACTGCACCATTATTGTCTTCAAGTTAATCATTATAAAAGAGTTCAGACTTGAAAGTGAATATCTCTATTCTTACCCATACTTCAAAAGAATAAATTCAAATTAACAAAATGTCTACAATCACAAAGCTTTCCTACCATGAGTACAGTTTCCGCCACAAATGCTATACAAACAAGAAGCTTGTAGCCAAGTGTGAAGTTCAGTGCCTGGAAAAAGTTTATAAACACTGGGGATCAAGGAGAATACATAAAATTAAAGAGAGGATAAAAGATACTTTTTATTGATATGAATTGAATTGTCTTATATAGTTTTCTAAACTAATACTATGCATTATCTGAAGTAGTTATTATATTATATTTAAATAAAAGGAGAGTCATTATACTGCAGTTAATGCTTAGGAAGATGTTACTGCACATAAAGAGGTAATGCAGTTAACTATCTTCAGATTTTATGGATTTATCAAAATAATGTCGTTCCTGATCTGGGATGGTCTTCCTTTTACTATAGCAAAGTCAAAAGGTCAAACCCACTGGGGATTGGAGAGTATATGTAAAATCGAAGAGAGGATAAAAGGTCCTTTTTATTGATAGGAATTGAATTGTCTTATATAGTTTTCTAAACTAATACTGCGCATTATCCGCAGTAAACTATTATACTCTATTTAATTACAAGAGAAGTCCTTTTACTGCGGTTGATGCTCAGAAGATGTTACTGTGGTTAATCTTTACAAGACATTACTGCGGTTCGTTATCTATGAGGTATCTTTGACATACAGAACTGCTGCAGTCAATTATCCCGATTTCTCGGATTCATCAAAATAATGTCCGACATCACCCCCTCTCGAAACTGTTGATCGTCCTCGGTCAACTCTGGTAGACTCTATCATCGAGAACAGCAAGGTGGAAGAGGAATCTATGGCCAGATCACGTTGCATATTGTTACGAGCAGCGGTCGGGTGATACCAGGTGCAGTCGAAATCGTCGGATTTGGCTATTTTGAGGCGGTCAGCATGAACCCAAGAAGTATAAGGGACACCTTCCATTGTTGTGAGCTTGTATATATTCTTATCGAAATTTTTATCTACTACAATATATGGGCCCATCCAGTTATATTCTAGTCCAAATTTGTTTTCATGCCGCAACAACAAATGTTCACCGATTGCGAACTGATGAGGTTTCATGATCGAATCCCATCGTTCCTTGTCTTGTTGGCTGTTGGCGGTTACTCGAGCGTCAGCATTTTTGCGAGCCTGTTGGAGATTACGAAGAAAAGGGATAGCGCCATCGGATACGAGGGTCGGGTCGTCAGGGATAGATGTATCCATAAATGGACGTAGGGGATCGCCAGGAATATGAGGTTCGCGGCCATAAGTCAAGAAAAATGGACTGAACCCAGTTGTACGATGCTTTCTGATTCGGCAAGCCCAAAGTGCTGTTTCCAGATATTCGTCCCACCGGTGAATGGCACCATGTACATATTTACATAACATCTGTTTAAGAACACTATTTAACCTTTCACATTTTCCATTAGTACGTGGGTGAAATGCTGAGGTTAATTTATGATGGAGCTTAATTTTCTTAATGTAAAAGCTCAAAATATGTGACATAAAGTTTGCACCACGATCTGTCAGAATTTCGTCTGGGCAACCAAAACGCATGACTATTTCTTCGTACAAAAAGTTGGCGATGGCTTCGCCCGTAGCAGCAGGAACAGCACGTGCAATTGGCCAATTCGTAGCGTAGTCGACGGCAACCAAAATCCATCGATTTCCGTTGATTGTAGTGGGAAGTTCTCTAATGAAGTCGAGATGCCAACGAGAGAAAGCAGGGGGGATATCCAATGGTTCCAAAGGGGCATGGTGTATGTTGCGTTCTGCGTTTGAGGCCAATTGACATTGATGACATTTCGATAACCATTCTTGAATTTGACTTCTCATGGCTGGCCACCACCAACGCTTCTTCATTAAATCATACACTGTTGTTTCTCCAGCATGTCCGAAACCATTGTGGAAATTATTTACTAAGTCTGCACGCTTGGCAAACAGTGCAAAACGAATTTCTTGTACCGTGTCACCTATTTTAACGAGACGGAAAACCTTTTGGTCGTGGACCACAAACTTATTGCGTTGCCGATGGAGTAATTCTTTTATGTCTTCTGGCCATTCATCTTTTTTTCGTGCATAAAATTTTGGCCAGTCGGACGTTTGTGAGTCTGGTATGGTGTACAGGTATTCTGGTTCCATTGATTTAATTAATGTTGCATCGTATTCTGGGCCATCGAGACGAGAGAGCACATCAGGGACACCATTGTCTTTGCCCGGTTTGTATTGAATTATCGGGTCGTACAGCTCGAATTCAGAAATCCACCTTATCAGGCGAGGCGTGGGCTTAACCTGACTGCGAAAATACTTGAGTGGTAAGTGATCGGTGAATACAGTGAACGGTTTTCCTTCGATCATGCAGCGCCAAGTACGCAAGGCATGTAGAATACCGAGTAACTCGCGCTCTTGAGCAGGATACGATCTTTCGGCAGGGGAGAGTTTTTTCGATTCGAACGCTAATGGTTTCCAACTTCCGTTTTCGTCTTCTTGCATTAATACGGCACCAACACCAAAATCTGAAGCATCTGTTTCAATGCGGAATGGTTTATCCATGTCTGGGGCAAGTAATACAGGTGCAGTACTCATTTTCTCTTTTAGTAAATCGAAACTTTCCTGGCATGTCTCCGTCCAAACGATAGGCCGTCGTTTTGGTCCTGTCCCTTTAGTTAAGTCTGTTAAGGGCGCAGCGATTCCAGCAAACCCAGGGATGAAGCGGCGGTAGTGCTGTGCAAGGCCAATAAATTGTCTAACTTCTTGTACATTTGTTGGCGGTGTCCATTCTTTTATAGTCTTTACTTTGTCTGGCGATGGTAAGATGCCTTGCGCAGATACGTTGAATCCAAGGAAAGTTAGTTTGTTTTTGTTAAATTCGCATTTTTTAAGGTTGGCAATTAATTTCGCTTCACGTAGTCGGTTTAACACATGTCGTACATGTTCTTCGTGTTCTTCTGGTGTCGTGCTAAAGATTAGGATATCATCCAAATAGACTAAGGCAAACTTATCCAAACAATCTCCAAGAACTTTGTTCATAAGATGCTGAAACGTCGGTGGGGCATTGGTGAGACCAAAGGGAAGAACCAGAAACTCGTATTGGCCATATCGGGTGTTAAAGGCGGTTTTTGGCACATCTGAGTCTTGAATTCTCACTTGATGGTAACCGCTTTTGAGGTCCAAACTGGTGAAATGGTTTGCTCCACGAAGGCGTTCCAAACACTCATCGATGCGTGGCAATGGATGGTTATTGCGGATAGTAACTTTGTTCAGGGCTCTGTAATCAACACACATGCGCATCTCACCATTTTTCTTTTTAACAAATAAAATTGGAGCACCCCATGGCGAAGAACTCGGACGAATTAAGCCGAGGTCTAGAAGTTCCTTTAGTTGTTGCTGTAATTCGTCGAGTTCTCGAGGGCTCATTTTGAATGGCGGTTTATTGACAGGGTAGGCATCTCCAGTGTTTATAACGTGTTGGACATCACGGTTCGGCGGTAATCCAGGTAAACCGTCTTGGAAAACGTCCTCGAATTCTTTTACTAATTTCATCCAGTGTTCATCATTATGTATTTCTTTTTCTGTCTTAATGTGCAACAAAAAGCATTCGGCCTCCTCTCTCCTAGAGAGTTTCTCAATTTGTTTTGCAGATATCAGATAGTTTAGGTGAGGTTTAGTAGGACGGGGCCCATGAGGACGCAAAATAAATTCTTGTTCATCACGATGTAAAGACCAGCTATCGACATGCCAATCTGGGACGGGTTTAGCCATTTGCAACCAAGTGCGGCCAAGAATCAAGTCGAATTTAGTGGGAAATACAAAAGCATCGATGGTGTCAGTGTATCCATTTAAAGAGAGGTTTAATGTTGCCTTCTGATGGATCTTAATGCTGTGTCCTCCTGCAGTTTCGACTGATCGTCCGGGTATATCCAAAATGTGTGTGGCCAAATGGGCGATCTGGGGTGATACATAGTTTGCACTAGCACCACTATCAATTAACACCAGGATTTGTTGTCCGTCAAGTATAGCGGCGTATAAGGGCAAGTCTGTGTCCACGGCAGCATGGAGATCTTCTAAGAAATGTTGGTCAGCAGTGAGACAAGGGTCACAATTTTCTTCAGACATAGTCTCAGGCTCTTCATTGGTAACATTTGTATACTGTTCAGACACGTCTTTATTAATTTCTGGTTCGCTAGTTTCGCTAATATTATTAGCCTGTGGGGAGGATTTTTCTTCCATTGAACACAACCGACCTCCCGTTACGGTTGTGTTTCGCGAAAACCCTGCTTCTTGCTACGTGCCTCATCTAACTGTCTAATCGCTGCTAATCGATCCCTACAGTTCCTCTTGAAGTGACCAACTTCGCCGCACCAATGGCAAGTAGCCACATTACGTTTCTGAGGGGGGCGAGATCGGTAGTTATTACGGCGACCTTGAATCGCATCCAGGTCCATGGGCTCGGGACCACTGTACTGCTGTTGGTACGGCTGTTGGTACGTCTGTTGGTACGGTTGGGGGACGGGTGCGTAGTTGTTCTGTTGCCCCAAGTGGAGGCCACTGGCATATGCCAAAGCGATGTTGCAGGCATCGTCAACGTCGACAGGTCGGGCGGCAAGAACATTTCCTCGTATGGTGGGGTGAAGTCCGCGGACAAACTTGTCGAGGGCTTCTTCATCGTTCATTCCAGGCAACTCCAACTGGATGTCGTGGAACGCGTCGATGTACTCTGCGACCGTTCCTGTTTGGTATAGTCGAGCAAGGCGGTCCCTGGACGTCTGTAGTGAGTAGACTGGACGAAATTCTCCCGACAGAGCCATCTTGAACTCATCCCAGGTTGTTGGATGTTTGTCCTTTACTTCCATGCGTCTCCACCATGTGTCTGCTCTGTCACGCAACAGATTCACTGCAAATTCACAGGCTTTTGTTGCGGAAAAATTGTAGTATCTGGTGTAACGTTCGACTGCGCGCAGCCAACCATCCACTACTGTGGCAGAACGTTCTCCATGGAAGCAATCAGGTTGCTTGATTCGTTCAGCACGGGCCTCCTGCTGCACCGTGATTGCTTTCATTGCTTCGGCGACGGCAGCAGCAATTGCTTCGGCTGTTAGAGTGGCGGTTTGGGGGGCCATTGTTTCTTCTTGTTCTTGTTTGTTCTTTCCTGTTAAGGTTGCGGCTAGTTTTGTGGCTAGTTCGGTCCACTTCTGTTCTCGGGCAGGGGTCTTCTTAATACGCTGTTCTTCAGGGATATGAGGAACACGCCGATTCTTCTTGTAGTCGTTTACTAATTCGCTGGGTAACAAGTCCTGGACTCGTTCTTCAATCTCGAATTGGCTAAGGGTCTTCTTATCAAATATGTCTTGGTGTCTTTCAACCGGATTCATCAAAGGTCTTGTTAGAGGAAAAATAGCTTCAGCTACCAATTGTCGTTCCTGATCTGGGATGGTCTTCCTTTTACTATAGCAAAGTCAAAAGGTCAAACCCACTGGGGATCGGAGAGTATATGTAAAATCGAAGAGAGGATAAAAGGTCCTTTTTATTGATAGGAATTGAATTGTCTTATATAGTTTTCTAAACTAATACTGCGCATTATCCGCAGTAAACTATTATACTCTATTTAATTACAAGAGAAGTCCTTTTACTGCGGTTGATGCTCAGAAGATGTTACTGTGGTTAATCTTTACAAGACATTACTGCGGTTCGTTATCTATGAGGTATCTTTGACATACAGAACTGCTGCGGTCAATTATCCCGATTTCTCGGATTCATCAAAATAATGTCCGACAGGTGAACAAAATCGGTAGTTATAAGCAACCAGTAAGAGTTGACTTTTTAGGATAAAAGATCTTGACTTTACCGATTAGTCTTTCACATATGTTTTAGATGTTTAAGATGGTGAATATACTTGTAGAAGATATTACTGAACAACAAGCATCTAAGACATATTATCGTAGCTATTCTTTTAGCCAGAAATCAATTATCATTTTGTATAAATAATCAAGAAATACATTTAATAAAAAGCATCTTTATTCTTATCTAAAAACTATTCATAAACTTGATGATCCCCAGTGGTATTGATTTTGCGACTTAGTTACAAGTGCCAGAAAAGAAATACCAGATCGAAACTTGACAGGAAGAACAATCCAGAACGAAAACGACACAAGAACAACCCCAATTGAAAATGGCAAAAGTAAAAACAAAATTTCCATATGTGGACAATGCTATCTTTTCCCCAACGGGGAATTGAACCCCGGCCACGACGGTGAGAGCGTCGGATCCTAGCCACTAGACCATTGAGGACTGTTATTATTAACATGGGGTTTTGTAAAAATAAAGAGTGTGTAACAAAATTTTGGTTGTCCTGCAGTGCAGTGATGATGTAGAATTCTGTAATTCTAGAAAATTATATTATATTATTATTATTTTTTTGATTTTCCAATGGTAGCCGAGACTGAATAGAAAGCAATTTTTCTATTTATAGAGCAAAACACTAATAGGTACAACGAAAAAGTATCATCCTGTCAACAATAACTTGGAGTCCATCCAAATACGAAGTCCTCAATGCCCCTCCCAATTCTTCTTTTTCTTTATATAGAAATACTCTTCCTACTTGCACTTCCTTTAAATATTTAGAATATCCTTTCACTAGTCAAAGGATAAATCAAGCCGACATGCTCCTCAAGTCACAAGCAAAAAGCTTGTGCAGCAATACATAAGCTTAGTAGCTTGGATATATACATGAATAGTTTTGGTCTCCCTGCAGCTCTCAGAGCTTATCTCATTTTTATCTGCCTAATTTTTGAGTACGGCTTAGCCATTGTTTCTGCTAGCCAAAGTTGCATTCAGATCCTACAGAAGGCCCAAAATATGTGTCTCCAGATATATATTTGATGGCCCAATACAATAATAGGAGTTGTTCATATTGCTACATTAGCTGCTTTACCCAACCTATTCACCCATTCCTGTGCTCTTCAAGCCAGATTTCTTTGTCGTGCTGAAACACTACCCTCAGACTCTCTGATCAAAGCTCTTACTATGCAGCTGGACTTTTCCAAAGAAAAAATGACATAGGGTGAGCTTTGTCATAGTGTACTCTGGAAAAAGACCCAAATGCTGAAAGAACATGAACCTTGGTTGAAGGACCCATTAAAAGAAGCTTATGTTCTACTGTGCCAAAAAGAAATCGACATGCAACTTGTGAGTGTTAACTGTCCGGTAACCATTGCTAGAGACTTGTGCAAACCTGTCTGGGATTCAGTCTTACTACTGCCCTGCACTCATTCAGAACGATGCTGCCTGATCAAATAGCAAATTGCTTGGCTACCACCTACACCATCAGTTGAGTACCAATGTGGCATTATCAAGAGTAACCACAACTATATGCTCCTATGCCCAGCTACAATCGCTCTCGTCCAAAAACTCTGGTCTTTGATAGACTCTGCTCCTCTCTCAGAGGTTCATCTCATTAACTATGCTCTCAACTGTCTCCCCAGGTCTTTCAAATCGCCTGGTACATAGTGCAATTGGTGGCTGTGCTTGCTTGCCTTACTATGTGCTGTTGATCAAACAATCTCATCCTACAAACTACCAGAAGAAAAAGCTCATGGTCAAATCCTCATTGACCTTGCAGCAAAATTCTATGCCACAAAACCAATCCGCTCCCACCACATCCCGCCACCTACCCAAGAACCTGTTCTTGGTGATCTGTTCTCCCATCTTCTCTCTAAAATTTTCATCATTCCTCATCAACCCCCTCCATCTGTGCCCACCCAAAATTGTGCCTAGAAAGACTGACTTGGTCTAGTATTATTGTGTATTCTGGATCCATAAATGGATTGTCTGAGCTTCTAAAAGGAATCCCTCTTTGGAGTTCTTATCTCTGCTGAAATCTGTTCCCAATTCTGATGCCGTCAGTATCTAGTTACTTATTCTCAATTCTTTCATGTCATTTATTTTTCTTATATATTTATTTCACCTGTATTTTTACCAGCTGTATTATCTATTTTAGTCTTAGTCTTTCTAAAAGCCGTTTTCCCTCACAGGGGTTTTTTTATGTACTCTCTTTACTGTTTTTGCTGACTATTCATCCTCGTTTCTATCATGTATGTTCTATACTTTTTCTTTATTTATCCTTCACTTTTTACATATTTTTTTATTTCCCCTCATATTTAGGAGATTACTTTTATTATTTTCATTTATTCTTCAGCTCTTATTGGGTAGCCAATATGCTAAAATGCACAAGGCCTAGAAAAACCCACAATAAAATATTTTCACCCATCAATAATAACTTCAGGCAACCACACATTATATCTTATTTTCTCACTATATTTAACTGGGCAAATCAACTTGGAATTAATATTATTTTTATTATATATTCTTACAAGCATAATTATCTTCATAATTATGACTTAATAATTATTTTATTTTATTTTATTTGTACTTAATGATAGTAAAGAACAAATCACATTTAATAGATTGTCGATTATACAACTTTTTTTTTTAATTATTCAACAAGTCAATTGCAAAACTATAAATATTGCAATACTTGCATTTAATAAACATTGATTTTTCTTCGTCTTATTTTCTGACAACAAGTTCTCTTAATATTTAATGCTGTTGATATTTTACTTGTTTGATTATCCGAGTTGTGGTGATCCAGATACTCGGATGTTGGATTTATCACATATAAGAACATATTCATATTGGGATAGCGTAGTAGCTATCATCTTGTCAGTATAAAATATATATAAACGATTAAGTAATCAGCCCAATAATTATTACAGTTAGTACTGTAGATAATATCTTAAAGATTGTTAAGATAATTATATCATACTGCCGGGTAAACTGTGTCAGATCGATATGGAGCTAATTTAGTAGGAAGTCCTAAAGCTCTAGTATAAAAGAGAAAAGAATAGCTAAGAGCTAAAGAAGTACGATTTATGACTTGATGTCATAATTGTAACACCGACACTAGTTAAGCAGTAAATACACTCTAATAACCAAATATAGTAAAGGAAGAAAGCCTTAAGAAACTAAGACGTAATGACAAGAGCAGATTGTGTTTTCTTATAAAAAGGGACACTTTTTATTTATGAATAAAGACAACTTATATACAGTCTCAAAGTATTTCTATACGTCTCTATTATCAAATATTTTATTTTTCTATTGTTTCGTACCTGAAATACCACACGAGTATATTGAGTCAAGTCTATCAAGATTGATCAATAGTACTGTTTTTCTCTTATTTTTCTCTTATTGATTTTATTATTTTTAATTGCTAGGCTTGTAGCTAACCCATCTAGCCTTTTTCTTGGCTTTGGGCTTTGACGAAACAATGGGGTGTCTATTTGAATTGAGTGAAGGTGGGGCGGCACTTATAGCAATTGGTTGCTGAGTAGGCGAAAGAGTAAAATGAGCAGAGATAGAGAAAGGAAAAGGCAACGTTGAATAAGTAGTAGAAAAAACAGGAAAGATAGGCGGTTGAGACAAGCTGGCATTGATATTTATGCTTTGAGAAGCATTGTTGGTAGCCATGAGTAATTGCATTTATGAATTTAAACACTGTTGCTGAATCATGAGGATTTTTATATTCTTAGCCAATTGCTGTGTCGTGTTCATCAGAAGCCAATTCTGCTGGTTGCTTTATTCAATGAAGTTGTTAAAAGAGTTTTCATTTTTCTCAAATCAGCTGTCTTGCTGTTGCTGCAATTGTATGATCTGATGATTTACTTCTGTCACTCTGTTGGCTACCTCTTTGTTTGTATTGACAATGTTAGGAACAAAACTTTTGTACTCTTCTAGTCTACTAATAGAAGAGCTGGTAATGGCAGCTACAATATCCTCTTGGAACATTCTGAAGCTGTTACTTGAGAACGGAAGGTTTCTTGTGTTGATGTGTTTGTTTTCTTTGTTCAAGTACAAGTAAACGGCTGCATCTTGTAAGATTATTCTTCTGCATTGTATCAAGAGTCGTAAAAATCCATGCTTTGTTGTATTGATACTGCTTTGAGTTGCTCTTTTCTTTCCTTTTCTCTTTTTTTCTTTCGACTGCAATCTTCCATCTTCCTCCACAAATTCTACAGAATCTGCTTCTTCATCTATCTCCAAATTTATGATGTTTTCATCCTCATCCTCATTCTCATCAACTTCATTCATCTCTTTCTCACAGACAGCTACCCACTTTGCATTACCAACACCGAAATAGTCTTCAATCCAAGGAAATACCATCTTTTGTAATTCCATTGGCAGTGACACGCCATTTCTTGCCAGTGAGAAAGGCTTTTCCCAAAAGCCAGTCGTACTTCTGGCAAAAGAAGATGGAAGTTTACCCAAGTAATGGGTTTCCAAATGACTAAGTTGATCCTTTCATCCTCTTCCTCACTTGATCAGATCAAAAGGTATCCCTAAGTCCTCAGCTTCCATTGACCCAGCGTGACGGCCACCGTGCGTTACTCATGTGGTGTATATCTCATCATCTGCAAATGTCTTTTTTGCAGTTTTCCATTGAGATGTGCCAGTTAAACTCTTCTCAGGGCTGGTACGTCTACGCAATACCTTCCAGTTCTGCCATCTGTTTTTGTTCAAGAAGTCACCACTGGTCTATAATTTTTATCAAGAAAGCTAGAAATTATTTTAAAAAAGTCCCTTTTTTTTGGCTGTTCAACCTACTTGAAGCAAACTGAACATAAAAAAGGCAAATGCACCAAAAGGATATCTGAATATGTTTTCATGACGCATGACACATGCAAATTTGACTTCTCCTTCCTTTAGAGACTTGCCCTTGTCTAGACTAAAAACCAAAGCAAGAGCCTGTTGCATTCCTTTGTGCTGTTTCTTTGGAATGATTGTGCAAAAGCAATCCACAAAGTTTAAATTTCTCCAATCTTGATTCCTAAGTAGCATATGGTGGCAAAAAGAGATAGAAAACATCTCATGCAAGCCTGATTTGCTGTCAGAAGTCCAAAGGCTCTTGAGGATTCTTATAAGTTTGCCAGACTTATAAGAGTTCCGAATCACAAAATGGGCTGCTCTATCTACGTTTGTTTGTACTTGGTCGTAAACAAGGTTGTGTTCATACTTCTTGATCAATTCTATTACTTCTTTAGTCTTCTTGGGAGATGGCCATCCAGCTTCTCAGCACTCGGACTGGAATTCATGCAAGAACATCAAGACTTTCTTGTATTGATTGACAGATTCAATACCTAAAGGAGCTTCAATAACTTTCTGACTACCGTTCTTGTTAGAAGGAGCATTCTCAGCAACTATAAAAATGGGTTGATGATTAAGTATAATTGATGGATTTTTTTTATGTATTTCATGCAATTTTGTATTACTTTGGAGCAAAGTCAATTGTCTTTCTTCATTATCTTCTGTTCTTAAGCCAATTTATGTTCTAACATCAGTCTCTACTGAAACACTTTTCATATATGTTCGCTTGAAAACAAATTCTTTGAAGAAGATAATAACAAATTCAGTGGGCCCAACAGTGTATGGATACTAAAGATCAACAGGATATCTGTGTTGGTTTTTTTCGCAAAAGTCCTTCAATTTAAGCAACATTAAAAAATGAATACAATGAATACAATATAGATTTTTATTCTATTGAGTTGAGATATACCTTCCAAAGTTCTAAGGGCATTCTGTAAATTGTGGCAGTTCTGACACGTACTTTCATTGGCAAAGCCTTAAGTGCAAGCTCAAACTCAGACATATTGATTGACGAGCTACTTTGAAGAGCAACAAAGGCATTTGAGCTGACAGAAGTAGACAAATTGGCTGAACTGAACGATTCAGCTGTTGAATTTTCAACCAGCATAATCCTTTTCAATGATCAACCTCTATGAGCTTTCTTAGGCATCTCTTCAGAAATTGCAGCAATACTAGTAGACTATAAAGATATATTGTTAATATTGGTGTGCATTTTTTTGCATATAATCTATTGTCTGTTTTGTTTATACTTAAATTCCACTAAAAATCTCAGCTTCGTGTTGCTCAATTAAATGCTCTAGTTCTTCTAAATCATACTTGTTAACAAAGCGTCTCTTAAAAGCAGTGATATTAGCAGGCAAGGGCAACATAATAAATAAGTTTTTGAAAGAAAAAGAAAATTTCTATATTAAAAGTTAATCAAACTGTGGGCAAACTAGTAATTTCAACTTGCAAGTTGATAATACTAGAAAGTTCCAGCAGAATTAATAGTATTCTCAACTCGACTTTCAGTTTTGTTGTGGTAGTTGAAGTTGAAGAAGTTTTTAAGAGGAAGAATTGAAGATTTGAGATTAGGAACGAAGATTTGTGAGAACTTGTGTAGGTTTTGTTTATTGAGAAAAGATTTTGTATCAAAGTTTGACCAGGTTCCTACACTGAACTACTATGGCTATTTATATTATTTTGGATTGGGAAAATTATATGACTGGGGTCAGATAATCAATCCTATCTGAGCCTTAATCAGAGCAACGTGATCTTGGGATAATTAATGCATAATTAATTATATAAATGTGTGTAGTCCCAATGAAGTATTAACATCGAAAGTAAATGTGTTTATGAGTTATAATTATGCTTATAATAATCCACTGATGTATCCCATATTATAGTGATATCATCATATGAAATATAATCACTATTATGCATGCTAAACCTGTGTGTTAAATAATAAAGTAATTGGTAGACACCTTTGACTGGAATAGCTGAGGCCTTATATTATTTCCTTCAGACTTATTCTCAATTACAGCAGTAGTCAATACTCATTTATAACAAGTTTAATCAACTTGCTACTACCATATTTGGAAATTTCGGAGTAAAAATAAAGACATTTCATTGGAGGATCCCATTTTTTATTTCCAAAAAAAAATAAAATGAGTTACAATACTGTAGTGTTTATAAGTCTCGCACATACAGTACTAGATGACTTTAAAACCTAGTAGAAAAAAATCAACTATGCTATATCACATTATTCCAGTACCGTTTGCCCATATATACATATCAGTATTTTTCTACTTTTTTCCTGTGATATGTATGATACATACATAGACTTTTGTTTTGTTGACTGATTTTGCATTAGAAGCTATGGTGGGAGAACCAGCTACATTTATTTCCATGCTCACAGGAGCAACAACATGCATGAAAGCCATAGGCTGACTCTGCAAAACAGCAGATACAGAAGTGTTTGAAGTTTTTACTTTGATATCAACAACATCTTTCATGACAGTGGTCATGCCACAATGCAAGATGGCAAGAGAGTTTGTCATCTCTCTTTCAGCAGGAGTGCATTGAGTGGGATAGCTTTTATTTTAGTTAGACATATTCTATTAATTTAAAAATATAAATTCAAATATGTATTAACTGTTAATGCTTTTATATTCTTTGAATAAATTTCTATTATACACTACAATTATATTTATTATCAAACATACCAAAATAAAAGACAGAAAAAGATGGGGAGATAGAGAGAGAAAGTGTGAGTATAAGTAAGAATAATTGTAAGAGTGCGTGAGCAAGGGTGAGTAAAATTGTAGCAAAAACGTATATTTATATTTCTAAAAAAAAGGATGTCTAGTCTTGATTGATCTTGGTTAAAAGAATATATCTAAAGTAACTTCTTGTACACACACTGTGTAAATTGATACAAAGATTGCTTTTAGATACTACACCATTATATCTATTATGCGTTTTGGATATTTTTTTTGAGTTTCATTTTTTTTAATTACCTATTTTGTTTTTTTTGTATTTTATTTACTTATTTTTTTTATTTTTCCATATTTTTCCATATTTTTCCTTATCGACCATTTTCTTTTCTTTTCTTTCTCTTTCTGATTTTTGTTATAACTGTGAATTTTACTGGTAAGATACATTCTTCTTAAAAATACTTCTGTACAGACAACAACAAGATTAACACATTCTGTTGTCATAGATACATATATACTCTCTTAGTGTTTTACTATATTCGCAAACTTTTTTGGTAACATATCTTCTTTTTTTTTAAAGCAATTCTTTTCTTCAAATGTAACTAAATAATAGTTATTATTTCAGTTGTCATAGATACTAGCGTGTTTTTTCCTTCTGATGTATTCTTTTTACAATGGCCATCCGGATTAGTCCAGGTTAGTAACTATACTTCATGTCATCATCCTATAAAATTATTCTGACTTTTCTCCTTCTTTTTTATAGACAATATCGCCAAAAATATTCCCTACAATTAAACAAGACCATCAACACGGTAATATTTTATTTTTTATTTACTTTTAATATTTATCTGACAGAATATAATTTTTATTACAAATGAATGTTTATCTGCCAAACACGCAATGAATCAAGAACCTCTATCTCTTGGCGCCATCATTAACATGGTAAGACTTCTTCTTTTATTCTCTTAATATGTATGATAGTATTATTTATACTGTATATTAATATATGTTTTTTACTAAAGGTTATATCAACTCTTGACAAGTATTATCTAGGTCTACAAATAAATTGACTTTCTTCAGGTACATTCATTACATATTCTGTCACCCAATTCACTCAAACTAACTTCTCTATATTATTTTCATTGTTAAAGAAATTATACTTGACGCAATGCCTCGAACTCTCAAAGTTCTATTTTTATCTTCTTCAGTCATTATATTATATGTATCCTCAAATTAATATATCACTTACAGCATGTAAATATTTAAATACATATCTAATTTCTCTTCTATTATGTTAAATAATATTTGTACCAAAGATAACTACTAAATATGAGAATTTACAAACATTATATATAAAGCACTGCTTGATTTGAGTTATATGAAGAATACCGGTGAAGACGGCCCAAGATATATACTATTATTCCAATACTATCAACCTAGAATCATTCTATTTTTTCTAATAAATACAAAATTAAACTATAATTCAAACCAATCATAATTGAATATCAAGTAATTAGGTGAGCAGATAATCTATGACTTCATAATAAAGAGTGTTAATGATTGGCTTATAAGCAAGAAAAAGTCCATGGTTCTAACTATTCACTCAGACATAGTTCAACAATACACATGTAATGTAGTACCTGATTATTAACCTTTAATATGGAAACAAATTGTATTACAGCAAAAAACAAAGTTTGAAATAAAGTTTTCTTGGTACTCTATTATATACAAGGATATAAAATTACTATTGACCCCAACTTCACTAATGCTATCGAACTTTACACTTGTAGATAGCAGGTCTGTGCATATGTAACCAGATCAGCTTTGGTACCAGTGGAAATAGGCAAAATCCCACTGTAAAATGTGGAATATTCACAATAGTATGCCTGAATTTCTCTGTGTGTATTTATTATTATTTTTCTAGTGATAGCTTAACAAAAGTAGAATAGAAACCAAAACAGACATTTATAATGAATGAGTAGGTTTAGAAAAGATATAAAAGAGGGTGTTATTTCATTCAATAAAAGTTATCTATCTTTCTATCCTCTTTTTATTCTTTTATCTTCATTTAGGATTCCCAGCAGGTTTGATCACCTCGGGAGATTTTCGATATCAAATTTGGAAATATTTTACTCACATACATTTTGATTGGTTTATATAACTCAGATTAATTGGAATATCAAATTTGACCCATTTTATGAGACTTGTCAACTACATAAGATAATTTTAAAAGGGCAAGTATCCATAAATAGACTCTCTCAATATTTTGGCAAAACCAAAAAATGACTTAGTAAAAATCACAATTTTTTTATTGAATAATTTTTTTTATTAATAAAGATAAAAAAAATCAATATTGTCGATTCGAAAACAAGAAAACAAAGAACCAGTAGGAGCCAAATTTACTGAGATTGATGACAAGCTTATTGTTAAATTCTGTGTGCATATCAAGCTTACATACAATCTTCAGCTGATCGAGTGGAGTAGATGCATCATTGGAAACCCTTTGTGCAAGAAGGTAGTTGTTAACTTGAGCGTGGGGACTACTCTCAACTCGATAGTGTTCTACTCTCAAAGAGGAGACCTTTCCAATAAATGGATGGGCATGTTGGTCTCTACTCTCCTTGAGCATGAACATTGCAAAGGTATTGTCACAGAGTGCTTTTGCTGTAATGTCATCAGTGTCGTTATTATCAACAAAGTCTCTTGATTCACCAAACAGGATATTCTTAACATTGTCGTTAAAGTTTTCTTTAAGAAATTCTGCTGTGGAATTACCATACTTCTCTCTCATTTTGTCCTTGCTCACCTATGAACCACCATCAATGATGTGTCTCATTGCAGATTGCTTGGCAAACTTGAGACATACATCTCTTGAGGTGTTTAACCTATTGGTATGCATTAAGTGTTCATGGATGTGTTTGTTAAACTGCTCATCTTTTTTGGTCTCATAGTGTAGAGCAGTTCCAAATCTTTGTAAATCATTGGGCAGATGTGTGAGCAGATGAATCTTGGGCTTCAAAGAATATGGATTATGTCCTTCGATTTCACAGGTAATGTCATAATGATGCAGTTCTTGGATAAGGCTTGTAACTACCTTTTCAACTTCGTTGATATATATATTATAATCATACCTTACTGCTCTAACAAACACCAAGGAGCAAAGATGGCCAAGACGGACAAAAGATGGAGTTATAAGAGAGAGTATACTATCATTTGCAAATTCTGTAACAAAGATAGTGGGTAGAATTTGCAGAAGAACTTTGTAATCCCTCCCAAGGAATGAGTCACAGTGTTATAACTCTTGAGTGAACTTTCTTGACATTTCTTGAGAGTTTTTATAATCCTTGAGGGCTTTGGACAATCTAGCCATTTGGTTAGGATTTTTTTAGTACAACTTTTACCAAATCATTGACTAGATACTTAGCAACTCCAAGAAGTATGTTATGCAGAACTTCAACCAGGGTATCTGTCGATGGATTGAATGACTAGTTCCAACAATGCATCTGTTGCCCTATTTGTGAAGCATAGGTCACTTGCTATCAGAGCATTTCCAGTCAAAGGAGTATCTGGAATAGTCGATCCACGTCCCAAAGTAGACGCAGCAGCAAGATAGTATGCCTTTGTTCTTGCTGTGTGTCTATCAGTATAATACAAAGAGCTTTGGAGGTTGGGCATGGATCTTTGTAAATGGACATAACATTTGTGGCATGGGTACAGAGTTGTCGGCATGCACAAAACATATAGTTCAGAATGGCATGGAGTGTCTGCTTCGATCCAAAGGAGTGGTGATGCTACTAAGACGTTTTTGTTGTCTTTGGCAGAGAACATCACCAGTCTGTTTTTGAGCCTTTTGAAATCTTCAACAATTTTAGGCAACAAGGACATCCCACTTGCCCCCTTTTTCTTGGGAATAGCAGAGAGAAAGTGGATGCTTTCAATTGAAGACCTCTCTTCGTAGGAGGGAGCAGCAAACTTCATTGACCAGCTTTCATACGGGTTATATTGCTTTAATTGGTTTTCAGAGGTGTCGTTGGTGAAAAGTATAATGGGCGATATCCTCACCTTGTAAAACAACTTTGGATCAATTGGCTTTCTAGTTTCGTCTAGTACGTGCCGTTTTAAGAAATGAGGCTCTTCCAGCAAGGACTTGTGCCTGGGAATCAAATGAAAGATTTTCCCAGGTGAGATGCTGTAGCATAGGGCAACATCAACAGGGGTCGAGTCAACACCGAGAAGAGCTTCAAGCTTTATGCTAGTAGATTCAACTTTGATACCAATGAACTGACCACCATCCAGAATATAAACCATGTAGCCTTGAACAAAAACGGCTGAGTTATCCATGGTATGGAATGATTCTACTAGGAAAAGGGATGGAGTAGAACCATTCATAAAGTTAACAATATCACCAGACCAAAAATCTATGCTGTTGTGGGTGAACATAGGTTGTTGATAGTACCAATGTGTTCTTCACTTTTCGCCTTGTTGTAGACAAATGGACTGGTTAGGAGTGCGGTCAGGGAGGGAAAACATGTTTCTTGCTTTCTTGGGGTTGGCAGCAAGAAACTGGACGTGGTCTGAAGGCAAGTTGATATAAGCAGACGTGGTCTTGTTTTCCGGCAACTGGATATCAACTTTTGTGGACGGAAATACAGGAATCTTCGACTTTTTTCTGGTCTGATAGTTCAAGAGGGCATCCAAATGAGGTCACTTGAACGGGGACTTCTTTTGGATAGCTTCCTCATGAAGCTTAAGGACAAGACTTATGGTCAACAGGATCTTTTTCAAGATCCTGCGAGATACCATATCATTATTGCCATCAACAAAGGCAAGCAGTAACATAAACTGGAGATCCAGGAATGGGTGGGTGTCTGATATATACTGGTTCCATGTCGTATGCGATCCAGTTGCTTCTCCCAGTAAATCGAGATCTGCATCCAACAATGAGCTGGTATTGGATGCAGAAGACAACATACTATTTCTTATATGCATGTATAGGTGGTTGCCTGGACTTGGACTTTCAAAGGGGCTAGTGTCCTCATCCATCTCGATAATACTTTCACTGGCATTGAGTTCAATCTCACTAACATTATCGTCACCATCACTGTTCATGTCATCAACATCGCTGCTGTCGTCATCCTCCAAATCGGATTCAACGTGTAGGTCTTTGTTAACAGAATCGTCATTGTGATCAGGGGCAGTCGGCTTGGCAGTGTTCGTGGTCTGTCTTTGTGACACTAGGTTTCTATTGGCATATTGAGGGCCAATATTGTTAGCAATATGAGTTGCTAACTTATGATATTTGGTAAGGTGGCGTTGTAGATTCCATACGCAATTGAAATCTTTTCCACAAAGTGAGCAGATCTTTCCAATATTGTCAAAGGCAAAATTGTATTGACCTGGTCCTTTGGGAGCAGAAACTACCACCCTAAAATTTTTTGGGTAATTAATAATATGCTGCATCACAGGGCTTTCGTGATGCAACATATTATCTAACGTGATAATGGAGTATAGACGACCACCATATATTTATTTACTTCTGCATCTTGAAACAACAAGTCAATTTCTTTCAGGAACCAATGAAAAGTGTTATTCATGTAACCAGTAATAAGCGTATAATGGTCTTCAAAAACCAATGAAATTCATTAATTTGTTACAGTATAGCTTAACACAAAAAATAAACATTGAGTGCTTTTTTTTTGTTTCATACAACTTTTTTCATTTTTCTAAAGATCAGGCAACAAATGGCACATGATCTTGCTACTCATTAGCTAATTATACTACAGATCAACTCTGATCCTCTCACATGATTAAGATCTTAAAAGATATTGCTAATGATGTGATTCTATTACGAGTTCTGATTAATAAAATCTAATTGAAGTATAATAGGGCATGTGAATTCTTGACATAAAGAGGTATGTAAAGAATCTTGCTTGTATACTGATTTTATCCTTACTAATATAAACATATGTCTTCTTCTTTTTTGCTTTGTTTTAGATGACTTACCACATATTAATTGAATCTAAAACAAAAACAAAAACAAAAAAAAACATAGTAATCTTCATCAAAAGTCCATGTACTAATGACCTTTGTTTTTTTTTGCAGGTTTGACATTTTTGCTTGGATTTGAAACTTGTCCTTCCAATAGCTTCTTTGCTTTTATTTTAAAAGCATTAATATGGTTTTTGCTTTCAAACATGCAATTGGGTTTTTCAAAATTCTACTTGCTTTTGTTTCTGAAAATATTCTAAGAATAGCTATTAAATATTTCTAGCTGCTAGTGCAAGATACCTACCCTACAGTAGCAGCTACTGCAGGGTAGGTATGGGAAGCCTAAAATTATCTACCTCCAATATTTTCAACCCATAAAAATAAATAAAATCATATTTTACTAGTTAATTTTTTTTTTGCAATCCCATTTATCAATTTTGCGATTCTTTCGGACCTGAAACTTCAATGAAAAAGCTATTCCCAAAATGATAACATAAACTCACAGGCTGAATTACAAAGTTGTTACACGAAAAAATCTGGCATGGTGATTAATTTTGGCTGTGTTATAGCATTGGAAGAACAATCTAGATCGAAAATGACAAAAGCTTGACCAATTTGTCGGACATTATTTTGATGAATCCGTAAAATCTGAAGATAGTTAACCGCAGTACTTCTTTATACGCAGTAATATCTTCCTGAGCATTAACCGCAGTATAATGACTATTTCTTTAATTAAATATAAATAATAACTACTGCGGATAATGCGCAGTATTAGTTTAGAAAACTATATAAGACAATTCAATTCATATCAATAAAAAGTATCTTTTTATCCTCTCATTGATTTTACGTATACTCCTTGATCCCCAGTGGGTTTGACCTTTTGACTTTGTTATAGTAAAAGGAAGACCAACCCAGATTGGGAACGACAAATTCAGCTACATTTTACAGTGAATTAAAAGACAGACTAGATCAGAAACGACATAATAATGCAAAAGAGATGCCACAAGTGTGGATTGAACACACGACCTTTAGATCTTCAGTCTAACGCTCTCCCAGCTGAGCTATTGCGGCGTACACTGTGGTGACACAAATGTTGTAAAAATAAGGCGCTTTTAACAATTTCGTTTGTCCGGTGGTGCGGTGACGTTGCAGAATTCTTTGTAATTCTAGAAAATTATATTCTATTATTATTTTTTTGATTTTCCAATGGCGGCCAAGGCTGAATAGAAAGCAATTTTTCTATTCGTAAAGCAAAACACCAATAAGTATAATGAAAAGACATCATCTTGTCAACAATAACTTCAGGCAACCATATATCATATCGTATTTTCTCACTATATTTAACTGAACAAATTAACTTAGAATTAATATTATTTTTATTATATATTTTTAGAAGCATAATTATCTTTATGATTATGACTTAATAATTATTTTATTTTATTTGTACTTAATGATAGTAAAGAACAAATCACATTTAATAAATCGTTGATTATACAACTTTTATTATATATTTTTTTTTATAATTTTATTTATTTAATTATTTAACAAGTCAATTACAAAACTATAAATATCACAATATTTGCATTTAATAAATATTGAATTTTCTTCATCTTATTTTCTGACAACAAGTTCTCTTAATATTTAACACTGTTGATATTTTACTTGTTTGATTATCTGAGTATATTGAGTCAAGTCTATCAAGATTGATCAATAGTACTGTTTTTCTCTTATTTTTTCTCTTATTGATTTTATTATCTTTAATTCTACATTCTCTTTCGAGTTTGTCTTTTTCTCTCTTGTAGAAAAGAGAGGTTATTTCACATTTACTAACCCATTCAAACCTTGAAAACCATGATAATATCACCTGTCAATATTTACTACAAACACAAGCACCACATGTGTCAAACATTTAGTATTTAAATTGTGATATATCTGTTGTACTAAACTATATATATATATATATAAAGATTATAAAAGAGTTGTGAATATATATAAAATTAAAGATTAAATATGATTAGAGTATGTAACTTATATTTGATGAGATGATTGGATATGACTTGGATATTGACAAGTGTGAATATATATAATGTGATAGATCTAATGGTATTGACTAATATAAGAGATAGATAAGATATTATAGGCTAATATTAGTAATAAATCAAATATTATTGACTAATATTGATTATATATTATATTTTATTAACTTATATAAGTAGTAAATTAGATGTGATAAATATATATATAAAGTACAGATTGACTGTTATTGATTAACATATATATCAGATCAGATATCATTTATTTATATATATACTAGATTGGCAGTGTTCAGCTTATATATGTATGAGATTGACTGTTATGCACTTATATATATATCAGATTGGATATCATATGTTTATATATAGTGCAGATCATCTGACATCAGCTTATATATATCTAATTGGCAGTCAACAGCTTATATATATACTAGATTGGTAGTCAACAGCTTATATATATATCAGATTGGCTGTGATCTACTTATATATATATCAGATTGGCTGTGATTAACTTATATATATATATTAGATTGGATATCATATGTTTATATATTATATACATCCTCTGTCATCAGCTTATATGCTGGAAAAAGTGTCTATTTTCACATATGTCAAGCAAATCTAATTTCGAGTGAAAGAAAATATAAAATTGCATCTCAGCCGGTTTTTGTGAATTAAATATTTGACAAGAGATGTAGTCGATTTAATTAGCCATAGCAATTTATGTAGCATCTGAGAAAAATACTAAGCCAAAATAAATATAAAATAAACTACTTTGTGTTCCTCTTCTTTACTTTTAAACCCATAAACACATTTATCTTTTTTTCATTAAAATGCCTCCCAGCCATATCTCAACCAAAAAGTTCAAATGCTACCACTGCAAAAACCATTGGGAATTATTATAATAATAGGTTTTGATTATCAAGATATTTTGTCACATAAAAATGAATTACTCGTAAATATTAAGGAAATTATAGTTGACAAGTTATTGAATAAAGTGTCAAAAATAATTGAATATTATCTTATTCCAAAAATAAAAACCAGGAGTTTAGGTATAATGTCTGTGTATCAACTGTTCTTGGGGATCAATTATATAGACTATTCCAAATGCAGAACAATGTATTATCTACTGCTGATTACACCTGTAATTTGATGTAGGCCTTGTTTTTATAATAACAGGCGTAATAACAGGACACTTCTTTAATGTTTATTGGCTAAATGAATCGAAGAAAAAATTCTCACAGGTGCAAATGCTAAGCACGAGTCTCTCAATTGGATATTGTTCTGTTTTGAAAAATGATTTTTTTATTTGTTTTTATTTTGGATAAAAAAAGTCTTTTTTTTGGCAATAATAAGAATTCTATATAGTATTACTATTTAATACACTTGTGAAGTTTTATAGAATAAAATCAACAGTAAAAAGATTGAGACATATATAAGAATACTTTGAGACTGTATATAGGTTGTCTTTATTAAAGAATACAAAGTTGTTCTTTTTATATCAAAACATGATCTGCTTTGTCAGTCACATCTTAATTTCTTAAGTCTGAGTTCATTTAGATATTAGAGAGCTGGTACTACTATGTTTATAATTTAATCTAATTGCAGTGTCCTCATATTAACTTAGTGCTTACTGAGCTGTCATAATTACAGTACTTACTGTAATTAATTATTGGTCTTATTGATTTACCATAAGTAAAATAAATAAATTATTCATTTGTTCTTGTAATGATAGCTGTTTTACTATAATAATAGGAATATGTTCTTAGATGTAATAAATCCAACAACCAAGTGTCTGGATCACCACAACACTAATCTATTATATTGTACTTCTTGTAAATTTTGTTTCAGAATTTTTTGAATTAATAAACTTGGATAGTGAGTATATATGCTTACTGAAGCTATTTGATTAAAGGGAGTAGAAAGATACTTACATACTGTTAGAATAATTTGTTAATAATGGAATAAAACACAGATTTATATTATCAAAAGCTACGAGCCAATGCATCATTCAAGTATATATTACAAAGAAAGGAATATAAAACATATACATACATATTTACTAAAGGAACATGTCTTGTCCTTGAGTACCAGTCATATAAGAATGTGAAGAACCATTTCAACTATAAAAAAGGAGAGTGAGAATGCTGATATAAAAAAACAAAACAAAATAAAAACAACACAATAATAAAATGAATAACACATACCCTTATATTCTTTAAATGATTTGTTTTTACTGACCATATGTAAATCAAGGGTGAGCTATATTTAAAGTAGATGTTAGATATTGTTTTTAATACTGGGAAGAAGATGTTGATATAGATATATACTTATATGCCACCAATACGTTTTTGTGTTTCTTTTGTCTGCACCAGTTATATCAGAGAAATATATGTAATGGCTATTTAAAGTAATTTATAGTTAGTAAAATAATGATATATTTAATGGTAAAGTACCTCTTGTATAATGAAATACACCTGCATCATATGTATATATTAAGGGTGCCTAAAGTGAAACATAGTAGGATTAAAAGAGTGTCATTTTTATTATTATTATTAAAGAGTAGAGAAAAACAGAAAAAGGTGGGAAAATAAAAAACAGTGTTTGAAAAAGCTGTAGACCCTGAAAAAGTTATTAGACTGTTTCTCTTACTTTGAAAAAAAATTGTCTACTAATTATAGCTTTATATGTTTCATAAAAAAATTGTTACTTACTATATACCTAAAGAAGTTGTTTTCTAGCTCAATTTTTTTCAAAATAATATATTTCGATCTCCTCAATCATTTAAATAAAGAAGTATTTACACACTCATACACTTGCTCAACTTGCTCGCTTAATCATTAGCATAATTGTTTAATCACTCAATTACTCTACAATTATTTATGTGTAAAGTACTCTCTTAAAAAATTATTAAGATAGAAATATCAAGCAATATATACCAGAAACTTATTATTTTATTATATAAAAATACAGATAATGGCTCCAAGAACTAACATCAACCAGAACGCACGTACCAATGGATCAACATCTAGGCCATTGATCAACGCAGTCAACACTGGGCGTATAGAATCGTCAAATCCAATGATTGCTCCTAGACCAAAAAATATGTCAATTCCAGAGTCAGAGTTTAATGATATAGTCAGTCTTCTCGCTACACTCAATGACAAAATGACAGCCATTAGTTCCGATGTTAGTGAATTGAAAGGTAATTAAACACAAACTATATTGTTTTCCAATAGACTGACTATTTGAACAGTACAATGCCAGGTGGGTGCTCAATCGACTGGCATGCAAGCCGTTCTGGATTCTGATATGGATCCTCAGGACATCATAAGCAGCTCAAGACACCCAAAGATCTCAGTAAGCTCAAATACTAAAATTATAAAAACAATCTCCCTTTAAATCTAACATCAATATACCTTTAATAGAGTATTATTTGGGGGCGGTTAAGAGATATTAATCTTAAGACAGATGATTTGGAGTTGATCAGAGAGAATGCTGATAAACCAACTTGGGATGTCAATGTTGGTTTGTCTGACAAGTTTAACAAGAATCTTGCAAGTGATTTGATGCTTTACATTTGTTGTCAACCTGTAGCAGCCATAGTACCACCAAAAGAGCTATGTGGTATAATTGTAAACAGCTATTACAATCACTTGGCTGCTAGTAAGCTTACTGAAGAAGACAGACAGACAAACACTACCTCAAACAGAAGAGGAAATAGAAAGACTACTGTAAGCATTTCTATTTATAATAATTCAATTTTGACAAGTATACTTAAAATATTATATATATCGTAGCTTAATAAAAGGAGAAAAAGAACGTACACAAAGCATAAGGATGCCGTCACTGAAAAGTTTAATTGGGATTATAATGGCGTTTTTTACAGAGACGCAATGTCTGGTGATGAGACAAAAACCGATACTTCTGTTGTTGCATCTCGTCCTGATTGGCGTAGTGATGAGGTAATGTTTTATATAAAACAGTTTTTTTGTTGTTTGATTCCTGATGTATATACATTTATAGTTGAATACCGTGTTTGACTTTCTTGATGAGCTCGCCAGAGATGACTTGGGAAAAAGAGCAACGCAGTTGAAGTCGCAGAGTCATGTGTTAGTACACGAGACAATTCCTCGTGGCTTGGTCACAAAAATGCCTGCGTGGTCAAAACGCGTATAATAAAATTTCTGTCTTTTTAGTTGCACTCTTTATCACATCTCTTTTTATGTCCATGAACTATGTTTTATATTATTATTATTATTTTAAAAAAAAGATAGAGTATTTTATTAAGCGTACAGCTTTCTTGGCAGAGGAATAACAACGACTTTTGCCGCACCACTACCAGACACATGACTTCCAATTGCAATTGGTGACAAGATGCGATGGACAGGCAGAATGTTGTTGTAGTCATACTTCAGAAATTCTGGCTCATACAACTCGATGCCCTGCTTGATTCTAGGTTGATGGCAAGAAATTTTGTACCACTCAACAAAGGCAAATACGTGTTGGGGGTTGTGACAAGGAGAAAGGTTGGTGTGCATGAGGTTTGGTGTGAAATTGTGCAAGAACAAGTACTTAATATGACCAGCATATCTTTCCTCAGAGTCTCCACTTTTTTCAATAAATATCGCTTGTATATGCAATCCTCTCACGACCAAGCCTTCTCCACCTGTGTAAACTTGTCCAAGAAGATTGATGGACAAAATCTTCTGGATTCGGTCATTCACAAACCAACAATTCCTGATTGTTGTCTTGGCACTGCAAAGAGAATCATTGTCATACTCAATTTTATAGAAATCGAGCAGACAATCATACTCGGATTTTCTCATTGTTGTTGGTAGCTTCAAACACAATGGTAGAGTGGAAAGAGGTAGAGGTTGGTTGCCAAATGTTTGCTTTGAAGGCTTTTCAGCAGATTGCAGGAACGTTGGCAAGTGAAAGAATGACGGTATCAAAGGATGTGGCGAAAGTGCAGGATTATAGATTTTACGGCCAGACAGCTTGAGAAAGAGAGAGAGGAGTAAAGGGCTGGTAACATTTCTGAGATGCGCTTGACAAAAGTCACCATTGTAAGAACTCTCAAGAAACCTTTTCATGTAGGTATTCTCAAACCCACTCTTCTGGTTTGTCTCAAACCCTTTCAATACACCATTATAGCGCTCAAAGCTAAATAGCCAAAATCCATAAATTGGCCCAAAGTCCTCAATCGTTTCTTTTAGGTGGAGATGGAGATACATGTTTTGCGTGAATACATCTGGTTTATAAAAGTCTTCACAACCAACACAGAACTCCTCCAAACTTTCGTGAGCTTTTTTGATCCCATTTTTGGTGATACTTGGTTTCGTCAATTCTCTGCATGCATCGACAAAATGGATCCAATTGCCAAGCAGATCATCTTGCAGGCGTGTCTTAAGCAGAACAGGAGAGTATATCAGGCACCATGATTTCCACTCATCTGCCTTCATAAACAGAAATTTCTTTCCAATCTTTATCTTCAGAGTGGTATACCCTACAGGGAGTACCATTCTATTAGCCTCTTTCTGCATCTCTACAAATTCTTTGTCATCAAGCAAATTGTTTGCAATCCAAATATCCATCATTCGTTTTGCAGTCCCGAGAAAAAGGTTGTGCATGGGATCGATAATGGTTGCATGCACTGGCTCAAAGTACACAAGTCGATGAAGCTCAGACCAACGAACACCATTTTCAATCTCCAATCGCTTTCTCTCTGTCAATGTCTTTGCATTCTTCCACAGGTTTGCATGTCTGCGATTTTCTTCTTTTGTGCAGCCTACCTATCCTGAAAACTTAAGCCCAAAATAGTTTACAGCAGTGGTCTCATCAATATGAGCAAACTGACGATTGCATTTGTAGCATGCACATGTGCTGTTGTGAGATGTAAACCCACACGTCTTTCTTGCAGCAGGGATGTTGCATGCAACCATCAACAGAGCAGCACGCACCAGAGCACCTGAGCAGTTATATGTATCAATTGTGATACCTTTATACAATAGCATAAGTTCATCAACAAGAGGACGCAAATAGTTATTGATCTCGTCGGTGCTTGCTTCTTTAGGTCCAGACATTAATCCAACAAGAATGACATTTTCTGCCTTGTTCTGCTCTTCTCTTGGCAGATCGTTAATTGTCAGATATATTGCACCACAAGAATATGTTACTTCATCAAATGGTTGAAACCAATCAATGTTCAGTGTCAATAGTAATGATCGTTCCTTCGAAACAAACTGGATACCATCCTCATCCACTAATTCGTTTCACATCTTTCCATCATATACATCAAATAAAGTACTGTCGACTTTTGGTTCACGATTCCATCTGTTGATCATACTCTCAAAAGAAGGACGTGTAAACATTTTTTTCAAGGTAGTTGTCCACGAGTTATAAACAAATGTGCACTTTGGAATCATGGCGTTCTTCATACTAGACTTGTAGAGATCATTCTTACAATGCGTCTTACTACCAACTCTTTTGAAATTGCAGAATGTATGTGTGTTGTTGCTGTAATTGTACAATGTGTGACAATTACTGCATGCTACATATTTTGATACACCGTTTGTCAAGTCATTGTATCCTGTCATTTTCCTCAAACCCGGAATGCTTGTGGGAAGTCAGAAATCCTCTCCATAATGTTCGAGGATTGTATTTATGAATGTAATCAAAATTATTGCGCCTTCATCCACAATGAAGCTAGAAATAAATATCACAGTGAAAACCGCAATTACTCGATGCCAAATATTCTCTGGAAGGTTTTCTGTAGACTCTGTAAGTTATCATAAAATAATATTAATTTTTTGTTTCTTTAATTCAAACCTTTTTTCTTCAATCATAGTTTATTTTTAATATTTACCCTGTTCTTGCTCTCTGTTCTGTTCTTCTTGCTCAAATTCATCTGACGACTCATATTCAGACTCATACTCTGAGGTATGCTCCTCTGTTTCAAAAAGAGATTCTTCCACCGAAAGAGGTAAGTGAATATTGACATACTGCTCTGGTGAGGGTGCACCAACGGAGTAATTATCATCTATTGGTACCAAGTTTAAATAGAGTGCACATTGGGTATAAAAAATAAAATACTATTACATTCAATATGTTCTTCAATTTGATCTACGTCCATATCAGCTTCACCAGTGTTTAGTTCGGCTGTCAAAACTATTTGTTCTAATGGATTAGAATACATCATATAAATAAATGAAAAATTGATAACTTAATTTACCATTAATAGTTTTATCCATATTCCTGTCATTATCATTTTGGGCATGACGCTTGGCAGTTCTTTTATCTGTCATGGTGTATCCAAGATGATTGCAATTGCATCTTGTGCATTTGCAACAATCTTCATCAGGATTGGCAATGGCAAACATTTTTTCACTTAATTTTTTTTTAATAATAAAAGAAGTGTGTAACAGCCGTTGCTTATTATAATTGTCTTTATTATTTTGAAAAAATTCTCTCAGGGACTCTGATATATATTAGGCCAATGATATGTCTTTAAATATATTCTTGCTGCTAAACACAGGAAATGACCTGGGTTGTAATTTTTTGGCTACTGTTATCAATAATTCCAGGTAAGTGGAATTCAATTATTTTAAGATGTTTTTGCAGTGTACTGTTCTGTATGCAGAATTAAAGCAAGAAGATATAATACCGTATCTGCCAAATGCTTTAACGTCATGAAAGAGATTAACAAATTGAGGTCAGAGAGCAAATCAACAGATGTAGAAAAAACAATTATATTTTTATTTTTATTTTTATTTTTAATATGATAATAATTGATACAATTTATTAGTTGAAATAGAGAGAGTGATGTAGTCGAAGAAACATCTGAGGTTGCCAGCCATAATGAAATTGATTTTGAAGACAAAAGTAATGAATATGATATGGATTATGTTTTTGATAAAATAAAAACTTTTTTTTATTCCTTATAATTGTTTTTGTCTAATATCCCCATTTTGATAGAATTGAATGACAGCACAGAAGAGGTTGAAATGCCTGCCACTGAGAAAAGTGTTTAATTTTCTCTATGTGAAAGAGTACCGAAGCCCAAGTGAAAGAATTAATTAAACTCAGGATTTGGGTGTTCTTGACATTATGATATAGTTCTTATTAAATCTAAGAAATGAGGACATTAATCCTATGTGAAAGAATTGTGCTAAAAAAGTTGTATAGTACTATTTTAATATGCCAGCTCAGAAACGAAGGTTAAAATGAAAATAGATCTTTTTTCTTTTTTATGTAAAGCACAGAATTCCATTGTTCTTAAAAAGGCAAGAAAAAGAAGTGAAACTGATACTTTCTTCAGAGGAAAGTAATACTTTTCTCAGGTTTTAAGCAATTCTATTGGGTTTTGAAGGCGCAAGAAAAAGAAGTAAAACTGATACTTTCTTCAGAGAAAAGTAATACTTTTCTCAGTTTTTAATCAATTCTATTGGACCTTATTTTATGGATAAACTTCAGTACTCTCATTTGATTGACTGAAAGATAGTCTTCTCATACTTCTTTAAAACAGTATCTGAGAAATAGTTTGTGAATGAGGCTTGTTTATTTTGTAAAAAAATAATTCTCTTGAATTGTATTGCATAATAATATAGTATATACATAGCTCTCGACTATTTTGAGATTAAGTAGTTTGGATACCATTGATAAAAAGAGAGAATTTATAATAATAGTAAATATAAGAATAGTACAATAAATGAGAATAAGCTAGAGTAGTTTCAAGAATCTGATATAAATATAATTATTACCGTTTACTACAAAAAGAAAGTTAATTAAAAAGTTAAATAATATGTTTTGTATTTAAAGAAATATACATATACTTACAGTCAAGTATGCCAGAGTTATAATTGCCGTGTATATATTACAGACAATAGCTATAAATAATGATTTTAACATTGATAATAGCTGTTAATATAAAAGATATACTGACCTCAATAAATGATGCTGATAATTCTCTAAAATTGAAAGAATGGACTTGTCGTATACTGTGATATATTCAAATAGATTTAGTATTAGTATAAAAACACATATATAATTTTGTAAGCTTACTGAGTACATTTCTGCAGTAGATAAGTGTAATCGTGCACAGGACATATATCTGCTAACAGATGAGAAACAAATTAATATAAAACTAGAACATGTTTGACTTGTTTTACCTTTATGTTTAAGAGTAAGACATATCCAACCGTGTCAATAGACCTATTGATAAATAAAGAAGTGTCTCAAAAATTATTAGAAGGTTAGTAGATCTAGAAAAAGAGAAATATAAAAACAAAAACAAAAACAAAAATAATTAAGTACAGTAGACCAGTTTAAAGACATCACATTTCTTTAACTGATTGTATGAATAAAAGAAAAACTATTAAATAAAGAGAAAAGAAGCGAAAAGGCAGACAAAACAAACAAAGGAAAAAAAAAAAAGAAAAAAAGAAAAAACAGAAAAAAAATTGAGTATAAATATAAAAATCTTTGTCTTCTGAAAAAAAAGATACTGGGAATTAAATTGAAAAAATCTAAAACAGAAAATGGTTCATATTTTCATATCACGTCTTCAAGAAGTCTAATAAAAAAGGTATAAAAGAATCTTTTTGTTTCACTATATTTCATAATATTCTCTTTCTCAATCTCGATCTCCAAAATCAAATCTTCCAACACTTTCACTTTACTATGTATATATGAATTTATTTAATGTATAAGCAAATAACAAGAGTAAGAATAGAAAATTTAATATATTTTTGTTTTATTTTGAAACATATGTTTGTATAGAAAATGGCTCTCATTACTTCTAGAACCTCTAGATCTAATGCTAGAAATAGCCTTACCCAGGTTGCAGTTGGTCGTGTTGAGCAACATCTTATTGTACCTGCTGTTACCCAAGAACAGTGCATGACAGAAATGTCAACTTGCCTTGATAACATGGGCGCCATGCTTGGATCTCTGTACAATAGATTTAGTCAATTTATTGATATTCAAAGAAGAAACACCGAGACAGTTGGTGCAATTGCTATGTCTTTGGCATCCACAAGTAGACAAGTTCTCTCTGCAGTTACCCCATCTGCTGCCCCATCTTTCGACCAAATGTCTGAAGAAGAAACAAAAGTTGCAGTTTTGGTAAATATGTTAAATCTTATGGAGTGAATAATAATCTAACATGTAGTATCTAGACCTTGATCAGAGAGAAGATCTGGAAAAAGGACTTCAGATCTAATAATCCTACTGAGATTGCCGAGAATGAAGCAAGACGAAGATAGAACATAAATGAGCAGGTTGACCATCTCAATAATGTTGCTGTTGTTGCATACTTGCAGGAGTATATTCATGCCCAACCCCAAGCTGTCAGCTTTTGGCCTGGCATGGTAGTATCTATGGTAAAACATAACTATAGGTACTGCTATCATAAAGCACATACATTGCCTGAGCAGTGCATGAACAACAACCACAGGGCAAGAATTGCCAGCTGGATTAAAGAGGTTATTACAAAACATGTTATTCATTTAAGATATTTTGTACTCATCTTACTATTTTTTTTTAGATCCATACTCGCCGCCAGGATATATACACTAGATACTGGAGAATGATAGACAAGGAGATGGGTCTCACAGTGGAAGAAGATTCCAAGATAGCTTTTTTTTTGGTGCTATCCAAAAAGGGGCTATGTTGGACGGCAAGTCTGACACAGAGGAACTTTTCCCTGGATTCCCAGTGCGTGTGTTGAAAGTTGCCCATCCCAGCTGGAGAAGCAATGAAGTAAGTTATTTCTTGTGATGTGATCATGGTAAAGTAGAATATTAATAAAATAAATATAGTTCAACAAGTTTCTGGGCTTGATTGATGAAAGCATGCATTCCAATTATAAAGCAAAAGGGAATGCAAAGCTAAGAATGCCCAGGTTTTTGAGAGGAGAAAAAATGTTGCTGTACCACGTCGGCTGATTTCGTCACTGTCTTCCTGGGCAATCAGACAATAAATTTTTTAGATTCACACATACGCGCGTCCTTTATACTTGATTTATACACAACAAGACTGAAAGAAAAAACAATAATAAATAGAAATAAGAAAAGAGATAAATATATTGATAAACAAAGTAAAATAGAATGAAATAAATAAAGTAATAAAATATATAAAATAAAGGAATATATAAAAAAAAAAGACAATTAAGCATAAATTTTTTGTGGCAAAGGAATTGCAATCTTCCTATTGACATTTCGTCTGGTTTTGTAGTCAATGATAGCTACTGGCAGAAGTATACGATGGATGGGCAGTATACTTTGAAAATCTAATTTGTAGAAGTTGTCATGGTAGATTTCAATACCTTTGAGTTGTCTGCGTGTATCTGATGTTGTTTTAAACCATCTGACGAAAGCAAAGGTATGCTGGTTATTGTAGCTAGCTAATGAGAGAGTGGTTGTTGATGGAGAGAAGGTGTGTACAAAGATGTATTGAATTTCACCGACATAACTATAACGTGCATTGGTTCTATTTTCTTGAAACAAAGTTTAAATATATGAACCACGTCCATTGCCATTGCATCCTTTGTATACTTGCCCAAGAATCTCAATTGACTTGAGCATCTCAATTCTGTCATTCACAAAAGCTGGGCTGGTCATTGCTTTATTCAGCTTGCAATATTATAATCATTGTAGGCAACTTGGTAGTATTCTAAAAGACAGTTGTACTCATGCTCTGGCATTACTGATGTAGATTTAACTACCAAAGGAAAAGTTGTCAGTGGTAGGGGCTCGTTTACTTTAACCATTCTTGATTCATCTTGTGTTGTAGCCACGAATTTGGTAAGAGAAAAAGAAAAGAACTAATGTTGTTGAGCTAATGTTGATGTTGTAGATGTTATTGCTGTTTCTGGTGTTTTAGCTTTTACGATTTTTTTGAAAATATCAAGATAACTGTGAATATCTGCAATGTCCATAACGTAATCAACAACATCTGCTTTGTACGTCTCTTCCACAAATCTTCTCATATATGTTAGCTCAAATCCACTCTTACAATTTGTTTAGATATTCTTTAAGACATTGTTATACCTCTCAAAACTAAATAACCAGTAGCTATACACGGGACCAAAGTCTAGGATGGTTTGCCAAAGATGAAGGTGCAAATGCATGTTAGATAAGAGAAGATCGAGTTTGTATAAACTCTTGCACTCATGACAGAATTGCTGTAGATGCGTATGTGCTGATTCAATGTCCTCTTTGCAAATACTAGGCATTGCCAGGATTCGGCAGGCCTTCACAAAGAGCATCTAGTTGTCAAATTTCTTTTTTGGTAATATACCCTTGAGTACAACAGGAGAGTATACCAAGCACCACGACTTCCACTAGTCAGCCTTCATGTAAAAAAACCCCTTGCCAATCTTGTTTTGCAACATTGTATAATCTGGAGGCAGCATAATTTTCTCGACAGATTTTTGCATGGCAGCGAGTTTCTTGTTGTTGATTATTCCATCTGCAACCCAACTATCCATCATTCTCTTGGCAGTTCTGAGGAACAGATTATGTATAAGATCAACGATTATGCAGCAGACAAAGTCAAAGTACTGGAGACTATGCAGTTCAGACCAGCAAACACCATTTTCAACTTCAAGACGCTGACTCTCAGATGATTTGGTTGCATTTCTCCAGACCTCTGCATCCTTACAATTATTATTCTTAGTGCGAAGGAGTCATTTAGAGAAATCAAATCCAGAATAATCAACAGAGCTTGTTCCATTTAACCAGGTGAATTTACGGTTGCATTTATGGCATGCATTGGTGCTGGTGTGAGATGTGAACCCACATACTTTTCTTGCGGCAGGGATATCACATGCGACCATGAAAAGAGCAGTACAGATGGGGATACCTTCTGGGTGTTGGTGAGTTCTGATATTCATTCCTTTGTACAACAACTCCAGTTCATCGACAGGAGGCTTCAGATAGTTGTTAATGTCTGATTTACTTGCTTCTTTAGATCCTGGCATTAATCCAACAAGGATGATATTTTCCTTCTTAAAACGCATATTACAAGGAAGATTGTTTACAACAAGATAAATCGCTCCACATGAATATGTTACCCCATCAAATAGTTGGAACCAATCGATATTGAGAGTAAACATTATAGAGTGGTCATTGTTTACAAAAGGGACATTATTGACATCCAAAAAGCTGTTCCACATAGTGCCGTTGTATATGTCAAACATCATTACATCTACTTTCGGATCGCGATTTCAAAAGTTGGTAGCACTTTCGAAGTCAGGGCAACAAAAAAACATTTTCAATTATGATACAATCGAATGGTATACATATGTCTTTTTTAGAATTCTTGACTCAGATCCACTTTTGAATAAGGGTGTTTTGCACAATAGGTTACTACCAAAAACAGAAGATGTGCAATATACTGGGACAGATTTATCATTGCTATAGATTGTATGACATTCACCACAAGCAGTATACTTCTTAATCCCTTTTGTTAATGTGCTTAATCCTGAAAGTTGCTTGAGCCCAGAAATGCTCAATGGAAGATGGAATGAATTGTTGAACAATTTGAGAATCTTGTTGACAATAGAAATCAAAATCACTGCGCCTTCATTGATGATGTATAATGATACAAATAAAGCAATAGCAATTACAATTAAACAGTATATCAAAACCAATTCTGAGATGGACTTGAATGAAAAATCTTTTTTTTTTAAAAAAAAAGAAAAGAACAATCGATTAATTTTCCTTTTATTTCTCAGAGACAGCATTACTTAAAATTTACTATACAAACCTTTATCATCACTCATATTATTATCACTCTCATTTTCTTTGTTGTCAAAATTGTTGCTTGCTACATACTTGTTGCCTTCAATACCAAATACAGCATCGATTCAAAAAGAGGTAAGTCTCTTATCTGAGCAGGAATTTCCACCTCTTCTGTGCTGTCTTTCAATTCTATTAATATGGGAATATTAGACAAAAACAATCATAAAGAATAAAAAAAGTTTTCATTTTATCAAAAACATAATCCATATCATATTCATTACTTTTGTCTTCAAAATCAATTTCATTATGCCTGACAGCCTCAGATGTTTCTTCGACTACATCAATCTTTGTATTTCAATTAATAAATTGTATCAATTATTATCATATTAAAAATAAAAATAAAAATAAAAATATAATTGTTTTTTCTACATCTGTTGATTTGCTCTCTGATTGCAATTTGTTCATCTCTTTTATGACATTTAAGCGTTTAAATAGATATGATATTATATCTTCCTGCTTTAATTCTGCATACTGGACAATAGCATTTGAACTTTTTGGTTATGATATGGCTGGGAGACATTTTAATGAAAAAAAGATAAATGTGTTCATAGGTTTAAAAGTAAAGAAGAGGAACACAAAGTAGTTTATTTTTTATTTATTTAGGCTTAGTATTTTTCTCAGATGCTACACAAACTGCTATGGCCAATTAAATTGACTACATCTCTTGTCAAATGTTTAATTCACAAAAACCAACTGAGATGCAATTTTATGTTTTCTTTCACTTGAAATTAGATTTGCTTGACATATGTGAAAGCAGACACTTTTTCCAGCATATAAGCTGATGACAGAGGATGTACACTATATATAAACATATGATATCCAATCTGATATATACATAAGTAGATCACAGCCAATCTGATATATATAAGCTGTTGACTGCTAATTGGGTATATATATAAGCTGATGACAGGTGATCTGCACTATATATAAATATGTGATATCCAATCTGATATATATATAAGTGGATTACAGCCAATCTGATATATATATAAGTGGATAACAGTCAATCTCATACATATATAAGCTGAACACTGCCAATCTAGTATATATATAAATAAATGATATCTGATCTGATATATATGTAAATTAATAACAGTCTATCTGTATTATATATATATATATTTATCACATTCAATTTACTACTTATATAAGTTAATAAAATATAATATATAATAAATATTAGCCAATAACATTTGATTCATTACTAATATTAGCCTATAATATCTTATCTATCTCTGATATTAGTCAATACCATTGGATCTATCACATTATATATATTCACACTTATTAATATCCAAGTCATATCCAATCATCTCGTCAAATATAAGTAACATACTCTAATCATATTTAATCTTTAATTTTATATATATTCACAACTCTTTTATAATCTTTATATATATATATATAATATATAAATACATCCAAATTATAATAAATATTAATAAGTTGACTTGTTCATATATTGTTTTATTGATCTATATAATAATATTTTGATTTTTATACAAAAATTAGTAAAAAATATGAAAATTAATTTTTATTAATTCTGTACTTGCTCTTTACATATTCTTATACTTTTATATTATACTACTAAGTTTTCTTTATATAGCAAAAAAAATTAAAAAATTATTACTTAGTAAGAATTTAAACTTTCATTAGAAGAGATATATTTAATTATTGTCGGAACAGCTTTTTGATAGTTTAAGATTAAATGTTTTTCCATGCCAAGCTTTTACATAGTTGCTATTTATATAACCTATCTTCCCCCACTAAAAATGTCAAGACTTCTCACACTAATTATATTCAGACTAACTAAAAAAGGAAATTTTTCCAGAAAAAAACTATTCTTTATTATTTTTTCTCACAAATTCAATTGTATTGTTTACGTAGATCATTTATGTAAGATTATGCATGATTATGCACATTATATAACAAGTATAGCCAAAAGTTACCATTTTTTTCAGCAATGCAATTGTATTGTTTACGTAGATCATTTATGCAAGATTATGCATGATTATGCACATTATATAACAAGTATAGCCAAAAGTTACCATTTTTTCAGCAATGCAATTGTATTGTTTACGTAGATCATTTATGCAAGATTATGCATGATTATGCACATTATATAACAAGTATAGCCAAAAGTTACCATTTTTTTCAGCAATGCAATCGTATTGTTTATGTAGATCATTTATGTGAGATTATGCATTATTATGCACATTATATAACAAGTATAGCCAAAAGTTAGCAATTTTTTTCAGCAATTCAATTATATTGTTTAAGTTACGCAAATATGCATAATGACATATGTTACACAAACTTTATTTTTTATATTTTTAATATGTGTTTATATATAAATATCTAAGATTATGCAATACTATATAAGTTAACAACAGCCAATTGACTCTATATGTAAATCAATTATAAACAATCTTATATATATATAAGTTAATTATGATTAATTAGCTTGTATATATAATATAATTATAGTCAATCTTATACATATATAAGCTAATGACAGCCGATCTGGTATATATATAAACTATTGACAGCATATCCCATATATGTATAAGCTGATGACAGGCAATCTAATAAATATATAAGCTGATAACAGTTAATATGGTATATATATAAGTTGTTGACTACTGATCTGGTATATATATAAGTTGTCGGTCACCAATCAGATATATATAAGTTGTTGACTACTGATCTAGTATATATATAAGTTGTTGATCACCAATCAGATATATATACAAGTAGTTGACTGCTAATCTGGTATATATATAAGTTGTTAACCACTAATCAGGTATATATATCAGCTGTTGAATGCTGATCGAGTATATAAGTTGTTGACTATCAATCTAGTATATATATAAGCTAATGATAGTCAATCTAATATATATATAAGATGATATCAGGTGATCCACACTATATATAAACATATGATACTCAATCTGATATATATATAGGCTGATGATAGCTGATCTGATATATATATAAATTGTTGACTGCCAATCAGGTATATATATACATACTATTGACAGCCTATCTCATATATATATAAACTGATGATAGTATATCTCATACATATATAAGTGGATGACAGCCAATCTGATATATATATAAGCTGATGTTAGCCGATCTAGTATATATATAAGCTGTTGACTGCTAATTGGGTATATATATAAGTTGTTGACCACTAATCTGATATATATATATAAGTTATGAACAGCCAATCTTATATGTATACACTGGAAAATAGGGTAATTTCATCTATGGCATAGGGTACTATTATTTGTGGAGTGGTAGCTTAAATTTCCATCACTTTTGTCTTTTTTATTTTCGATGGTGATGATAATGCTCAGTCTGTTTTATTGGATAAAAAAACGAGTTTACTCTTTCTTGTAAAAAATGTCTGTGAGATTTCTTTTTGGGACTTGTAGCCATGTCGCAGAGTCAATAGTTGTAGAGAACTTAAACCAAATAATATCTTTTGAGTGAGATAATAAAGCTTTTTATTGTTGTAATATTTATTTATAAGTATGGCACTATGCCAAAAAAAATAGGAGTTTTAGAGGTGGTTTCACAGGTGGTTCCGGAGGGGAAGCCAGGGCGCGTTTTGTGTCCTCCCCCCTTTTTTCCAACCCTGAGTTCATGTACATTTTAATACATCTCTGCTTACCGGTAGTTTTAAGATTCTATTAATATATTGATAACCTTTTCTTTTGCTAATATTTGTCTTTCAATTGGACAAAACTTCTTTAAGTATAGTTGAAATATTATATGCCATTGATTACTACTAATTCATTATTCTTTTAATTTAGATTCTTTTAAATATTTCTTGCTTAATCATTGTTTTTATTGGATAAGACATAATTGCACTGTAGTGTATTGTATAAAAATACATTTTTATTGGTTTCTCAAATGGATATATTTTTTATTTATCATTTTTATTGGTTATTACATTACACAATTACATTTTATATATCACTTTTATTGGCTGTTATGATAGACATTATATTTTATACATCATTTTTATTGGTTATAAACAGTCAAATACATCATATACTTCCAATATTAAATATACTACTTTACACTGCAGTGAATAGTTACTTACAATTGCCTCCTTTGACGGTCTTTTCAGAGATGACTGACTCTTGCAATGGATGTCCAATTTCGATGGCATCTGGTGAAATCTATACCAACCGTCTTAAGCATGTTTGCATGTTTATTGCAAATCATTGTTCGATCACATCGCTGGTGAGAATCCAATTCCTGCCAGCACAATGATACAGCTTCCTCTAGGTAGACAGCTTGCAGTTGCTTTGGCCAATGACCACATCAGAAAAGAGATGTTGTATCGCCACCATCATACACAAAAGGCTGATGACAGCATTTCCGATGTCTTTGATGGACAGGCATACCAGTCAAAGAAGCATCTTTTCTCGGGTGAAAACGACATTGCCATTTCATTGTCTGTTGATGGGTTTGCTCCCCATATTGTTCCAGGTTCGGTAACTATTGTCTACGTTACCAACCTCAACCTGCCCCCAATGATCTGCTATGAGTGCAGCCATATGATCCAAGTCGCAATCATCCCTGGTCCCAAAGCACCCGCCGACTTCTGGTCATTCTTGGAGCCAATCATGAAAGAACTTTGGGTTCTCCAAGCCAGTGGAATGGTTGTGAAGACACCATATGGAGATATTTGTGCAAAAGTCCATGTACTGATGACAACTGGGGACATCCTAGCTCTGGGAAAGATGGCTTGTCATGTGGGCCATATGAGTAAGGATGGCTGCCACATCTGCCACGTTGTGGGCCAATCTTCTGGCCATGGCCAATATTTCCGAATGCCATCTACTATCACCATGCGCACACCGGAAAGCTTCAAGTACTTTGACGAGGTGGCATTATCAAGCAAAAAAGGGTTAACTGGCCAATCTCCCTTCTCATTACTGAATTCCTTCTCTGGTCCGTTCTTTTTTGCATTGGATGAAATGCACGGCATTTGTCACAGCATTGCCAAACAGGTCTGGGGGCTCGTGTGTGGCAAGTATGGAAAAGATCATCCTCTGTCTCTCTCCCTTGCAGCTCAAAAAGAAATTGGCACTGCCATGGTGTCCACTAGAAGAAGTATTCCGACGTCTTTCCACGGTGCTTGGATAAATGTCGCGACAAGATCAGGATACTTCCGGGCTGTGGACTGGGCTGACTTCATCTTGTTTGTTATTCCCACGCTTGTGGCAGAGCGTGTCTGTGACCAAGCTGCCCGCAAGGCATTGCTTGACCTGGTGCAGACATACAATCACTGGAAAAATAACAATAAATACACACCGGGAAATTCAGGCATACTATTGTGAATATTCCGCATTTTACAGTGGGGTTTTGCCTATTTCCACTGGTACCAAAGCTGATCTGGTTACATGTGCACAGACCTGCTATCTACAAGTGTAAAGTTCGATAGCACTAGTGAAGTTGGGGTCAATAGTAATTTTATATCTTTGTATATAATAGAGTACCAAGAAAACTTTATTTCAAACTTTGTTTTTTTGCTGTAATACAATCTGTTTCCATGTTAAAGGTTAATAATCAGGGACTACGTCGCATGTGTATTGTTGAACTATCCCTGGGTGAATAGTTAGAACCATGGACATTTTATTGCTTATAAGCCAATCATTAACACTCTTTATTATGAGGTCATAGATTATCTGCTCCCCCAATTACTTGATATTCAATTATTATTGGTTTGAATTATAGTTTATTTTTGTATTTATTAGAAAAAATAGAATGATTCTAGGTTGATAGTATTGGAATAATATTATATGCCTCGGGCCGTCTTCACCGGTATCCTTCATATGACTCAAATCAAGCAGTGCTTTATATATAATGTTTGTAAACCCTCATATTCAGTAGTTATCTTTGGCACAGATACTATTTAACATAATAGAAGAGAAGTTAGATGTGTATTTAAATATTTACATGTTGTGAGTGATATATTAATTTGAGGATACATACAATATAATGACTGAAGAAGATAAAAATAAAACTTTGAGAGTTCGAGGCATGGCGTCAAGTATAATTTCTTTAACAATGAAAATAATATAGAGAAGTTAGTTTGAGTGAATTGGGTGACAGAATATGTAATGAACGTACCCAAAGAAAGTCAATTTATTTGTAGACCTAGATAGTACTTGTCAAGAGTTGATATAACCTTTAGTAAAAAACATATATTAATATACAGTATAAATAATACTATCATACATATTAAGAGAATAAAAGAAGAAGTCTTACCATGTCAATGATGGCGCCAAGAGATAGAGGTTCTTGATTCATTGCGTGTTTGGCAGATGAACATTCATCTGTAATAAAAATTATATTCTGTCAGATACATATTAAAAGTAAATAAAAAATAAAATATTACCGTGTTGATGGTCTTGTTTAATTGTAGGGAATATTTTTGGCGATATTGTCTATAAAAAAGAAGGAGAAAAGTCAGAATAATTTTATATGATGATGACATGAAGTATAGTTACTAACCTGGACTAATCCGGATGGCCATTGTAAAGAGAATACATCAGAAGGAAAAAACACGCTAGTATCTATGACAACTGAAATAATAATTATTATTTAGTTATATTTGAAGAAAAGAATTGCTTTAAAAAAAAAGAAGATATGTTACCAAAAAAGTTTGCGAATATAGTAAAACACTAAGAGAGTATATATGTATCTATGACAACAGAATGTGTTAATCTTGTTGTTGTCTGTACAGAAGTATTTTTAAGAAGAATGTATCTTACCAGTAAAATTCACAGTTATAACAAAAATCAGAAAGAGAAAGAAAAGAAAAGAAAATGGTCGATAAGGAAAAATATGGAAAAATAAAAAAAATAAGTAAATAAAATACAAAAAACAAAATAGGTAATTAAAAAAAATGAAACTCAAAAAAAATATCCAAAAAGCATAATAGATATAATGGTGTAGTATCTAAAAGCAATCTTTGTATCAATTTACACAGTGTGTGTACAAGAAGTTACTTTAGATATATTTTTTTAACCAAGATCAATCAAGACTAGACATCCTTTTTTTTTGGAAATATAAATATACGTTTTTGCTACAATCTTACTCACTCTTGCTCACGCACTCTTACAATTATTCTTACTTATACTCACACTTTCTCTCTCTATCTCCCCATCTTTTTCTGTCTTTTATTTTGGTATGTTTGATAATAAATATAATTGTAGTGTATAATAAAAATTTATTCAAAGAATATAAAAGCATTAACAGTTAATACATATTTGAACTTATATTTTTAAATTAATAGAATATGTCTAACCAAAATGAAAGCTATCCCACTCGACGCACTCCTGCTGAGAGAGAGATGACAAACTCTCTTGCCATCTTGCGTCGTGACATGACCACTGTCATGAAAGACGTTGCTGATATCAAAGCAAAAACTTCGAACACTCCTGTGTCTGCTGTTTTGCAGAGTCAGCCGATGGCTTTAGTGCATGCTGTTGCTCCTGTGAGCATGGAAATGAATGTAGCTGGTTCTTCCACCATGGCTTCTGACGCAAAATCAGTCAACAAGACAAAAGCCTATGTATGTATCATACATATAGTAAATTATATCTTTAATAACTTACCAAGATTCAATAGAGACTTCTTCGGGAGCATTTGTGGGACCCTAAGTTCAAGTCAAAACATTTGGCTGAAATTCAAGCCAACAATGGCAAGCCAAGGTGGAACACGGCTGTCAACTTCAACCAGTCGCCAAACACTGAGCTGACAGAAAACCTCGTTGCCTACTTGGAAAGAAATTTCGTAGGAGCAGGACTGAGAAAAAGTGATGTTCGTGACTTTGTCTACACGAACTTCACTAGCAGAAAGCGTGCAGCTAATAAGTCTCAGGCTAAAAAGAAGTCAGACAATGCTCGCAACAGAAGGAGTAGCCGCGAAAAGGAGGTAAGTTATACTTTATTTATTTATTATTTGAATAATTCTTATCTAAGTCATTAATTTAAAGCAAAAAAAGAAAACTAATTTAATATTTTCAACAGCACTTGAAACGTCGCAAAACAGCGTACCAGTCTAACAAGACTGCTATTGATGACGAGATGAAAAGAGATTGCTCTGGTCTCATTATAGAAGAGGCTATGTCTGTTGGTGAGTCAGACGATGGCACTTCGCCTCATGTTTCTTATAGTGGGCTTCGTCTTCGTCGTCCAGGTTGGAGAAGTGATGAGGTACTTAGTTTTTTGAAAGTTGAAATATTTAATTTAGTTAATATATTATATTGTATTATACTGAATAAAATATTAATGTCTTTAATATAGTACAACCACTTCATCACACTTGTTGACAACAAAGTGGTAGCTGATTTAGGCTTAAATAGCCATCAATTGCTGTCACGTGCTTTTGGCGAAACCGTTGAAGGACCAGTCCCTGATGCAATTGCGTCACAGTTTCCTCAGTGGGCTCTTAGAAACGGGCCCTAAATAAAGTTTATATTTTTTGTTCTTTTTTTCTTCATTCATAACGTCCTATACTTTAAATAACCAAAAAAATGCATAAAGAGGCATTACTTGTTCTTTGTTTTTTATTTAATTATTCTCATAAAAAATCATAGTGCATAATTATTCATAAAGGCTTCAGGCATAGTATTTTTTTGGCATAGGAATGACCAGCATTCTTTCTTCGTTCATATCAGTTACATCTACAGCAGTTGCGACCTCTAAGTGTATGCGATGTACAGGCAAGATGCTGTGATAATTATCAGCAGAGAATTCTGGCAAGCAGATTGCAATACCTTCATCTCTGTGTTCATTGTCATTTGTCGAATTATACCATCGGATGTATGCAAAAACATGCTGGTCTTGATGTAATGTTGATGCTCGGTGGTTTGGATGAGGAGGCAGAGTAAATGAATGTATAAAAAGATACTGAATTTGTCCGGTATATAGGCTTGAAGTTCGGCCATTGCTGCTACGGAAGAAAGCTTGAACGAGTGACCCGCGCTTACCAGAACTGTTGTTCCCAATATATGTTTGGCCAAGGAGATCAATTGATTTCAATTTTGTGATTCGGTTATTTACAAAATATTGTGACAATCTGGCATCGTGGTAAGAAATGAGATTGGGCATGGCATAGGCGATTTTATAATAATCTAACAATTGAGGATAATCAATATCACTCATTGTTGATTCTTTTAAGGACTGTAAAGGAAAGGTGGATGGGGGGAGTGGTTCATTGCCTTTGATAGGTGCTGCTCGACTTAAGGATGAGTCTACAAATTGTTGCAGTCGGAAAGGTTGTTGGTTGGTTGGAGCATAAGTGGCATAGGTCGTTATAGGTGCGGTCGTAGAGGTAAGTTTTTCGAAAAGAGGAAGGAATGGAATGAGGCTTGGACATGATAACGTATTTCGTACGTAATCAGCTTTGTATGCGTCTGCAGTGAATTTTGTCATATAGGTTGTTTCAAACCCGTCTTTTCTGTTTGTCTTGTTATTCTTTAACAAACCATTGTATCTCTCAAAACCAAAGAGCCAATAGCCATACACGGGTCCAAAATCACGAATTGTGTCATGAAGATGGAGGTGCAGGTGCATGTTGCAGGTGAGGACTTTTGGTTCATATGTATCTTCACAAGATTGACAGAATTCTTGTAGATATCTGTGTGCTTGGTCTATTTCGATGAAACTGATTGACGGCTTTACAAGTATACGGCATGCTTTTACATAGTGCATCCAGCCATTGAACATATTGGACGGAAGAACTGGTTTTAGAAGCACGGGAGAGTACACCAATACCCAAGACTTCCACTCATCTGCTTTCATGTGGGAAAAGCCCTTTCCTATCTTCGTTTTCAGCTTGGTATAGTCACTGGGCAATATCATCGTTGCTGCAACTGTCTGCATTGCAAGCAGATCATTGTTTTTCATTTTTTTCATTGTTGTCCATGTTTCAATCATTCTCTTTGGTGTTCCCAGAAAAAGATTATGCATGGGATCAATGATCGTTCCACGTACTAGATCAAAGTATCCAAGGCGATACAACTGCGACCATCGAACACCATATTCGACCTCCAGCTGCTGCCTTTCTGAGGGTGTACTCGCACTATTCCACTCCTCAGCATGCACACGGTTTGCTCTATCACTTCGATGGCGCCACTGGTCACAATCAAATCCACGGAAATCGACAGAAGAAGTGCCTGGTAGACGAGAAAATTGATTGTCGCATTTGTAACAGGCGCATGTGCTGTTGTGCGCGGTGAACCCACTAGTCTTTCTGGCAGCAGGTATATCGCATGCAACCATCAATAAGGCTGCACGAACTGTTGCACCGTCTGTTTGCTGGTAGGTGGGTATCTGTATTCCAAGATAGAGCTGTATCATTTCGTCGACTAATGGCTTGAGATAATGATTGATCTCTTCTGATTTTGGCTCTTTTGGTCCGGGCATGAGGCCAACAAGGATTGTATTTTCTGCTTTAAACCGCTCACTTCTAGGCAGGTTGTTAATCACCAGGTAGATAGCACCGCAGGAATAGCTAGTACCATCGAAAGGCTGGAACCAGTCGATGTTTAATGTCAGCATCAATGAACGAGGATGCTCAACAAAAATTTCATTGTCATTGTCCTTCAAATCAGTCCAGGCTTCACCATCGTAAACATCACACAATGTATCAGTGATCTTGAATTCTTGGTTCCAGTGCATGATCTTTTGCTCGAAATCGGGACGGAGGAAAAGAATTTTAAGAGCACGTGTGAGAGACTGATATACATAAGACTTCTTTGCGACCAAACCACCAGACAATGATTGGACCATTAATTTGCAATTACAGGCGGTATGTGCACCAAGCTTTACGAAATCACAATTCAAAGGAGCAGGTACACTTTCCTCATACACCTTGTGGCAATCCTGACAAACGACAAATCTCTTAATCCCTTTTGTCATGGCTGAGAATCCTGTCATGCTTTGGAGACCAGAAAGACTCACGGGCAATTGGAAATCCTGCTCGTAAATCGACAAGAGCTTGTTGATGAATTCGATCAAGACAACAGCGCCCTTATTGACCACATAGCGGGAAGCAAACATTACCACAAAAGTAGCAATGAACCTGTGTACCGGATTTTCAGGCATATTTGGGGTGGCAAAAGGATCTATTGTAAAAAAAAACAAAAAAAATTAACACCCCCCCTTTTTTCAGATTTTTCTTTTTTGGTTCTTTTCCTTGAATTTTTTTTGGGTCTTTTTTTATTAGTTAATTAACACGGACTGACCTTCAGTATCGAATTCTTCGACTTCAATCTCAACAATATTCTCTTCATTGTCTTCACTTTCTTCACCGCCATTGCTTTCTTCGTCATTGTCATTTTCATCACCATCACTGCTTTCGCCATTCGACTCATTGCTAAAAGCAACCTCATCGTCAGAAATTGGGGCTCCTTCCCAAACAGGCGAGTTGGTCTGACCGTCCATTGCTTCTATGGGTCCGGTTTGTTGGTTTGATGTAGCTACATATAGAATTCAATTTTTAGTTTACTTCTCTTTTTATCACAATTAACGTTTCTTACTTTCAAAATCAATATCCATGAGATTTCTTTGAACAGATACATCTATTGAAATAAAACATTATATAAAATAACCAAAATGAAAATGAAAATGAAAAACAAAACATACTTCTTTCACTTCTTTCCATGTCTTCATATCTTGCTCTTTTATTGTGACGCTGGAGGGTTCGTGTAGAAACAAAGCTGTAGCCTTGTTGATTATCGCTGCATTTTGTGCAATAGCACTTCTTATTATAAAGTTCAGAAGTAGAGGACATGGTGTTTATTTTGTTATAAATGTTAAGATAAAAGGGAAACAAGTGTTACATTTACTTTATTTGTTCAAACTTTATAATAATAATAATAATAATGATAAAATAACTTGGATGGTTATTATATCCGAGCCAATAGAAAATTACAACATGACTTTATAAACATGTACACCAAAAAACATGCTGAGATGAAAAATTGCTCTAAATATCCACATGTAACCATGAACCTTCACACAAGGGTATTCAGGGTCATTTCTCCAGTGAGATGCACACTTGGCCGAAATGCAGTTGGATGCTGACAAGCTTGTACTGCCAGAGGACTACACGCCATTAGGGACAAAGATTGGGTGTGGCTTCCCATTCATAAAGGCCAACGAGTGGAAGTCTTGGTGCTTGGTGTACTCTCCTGTTCTCCTGCGTGGTCATCTACCTGAAGCTCATATTGGTAACTGAACAACGTTTGTCAATGCATGCCAGTACCTCTCAATGCCAAGCATATCCATGACTCACCTTGATGAAGCCCATCAATCTTTGGAGGCTTTCTGCAGAGAGTGCGAGAAGTTGTATAAAGTTCCGTTCCTTTTGCCAAACATGCATCTCCATCTTGATCTGTGAGAGACTGTACTAAACTTTGGCCCAGTTTATGGCTATTGGCTTTTTAGTTTCAAAAGATGCAATGGTATCTTGAAAAACTATGCGACAAATAGAAAAGACGGGTTTGAGAGAACCTATATGAAGAAGTATCTTGAAGAAGCATACCAGGGAGATCTTATTTGCCAAACTTTGCCAATAATTCGACCTGAGCATTTGGCAATCATCCTTGAGCTCACTGCATCTACTGCCAATTCCATAGCCACTTCCACTTCTACTTCCACTTCCACTGCTACCTCAATCCAATTCGATATCAATGCTTTTCTTGATTCTCCTGAGATCAACTTTGATATTGTCAAGGGAAACGAGCCTTTGCCTCCTTCCGCACTTCCTTTAGCTCTAAAGGGGGAGATTTCCATGGATGAATCCAAGTATGAGCATTTGTTGGAATACTATTGCAAGACATACAATGATCAAACTCTTGTTCATTATTGTCAGGCTGGTCATTCCGATAATTTTGTTAACAATTGAATACAGAAGTTTGAATCAATCAATCTTTTTGGGCAAATCTACAAGAGCAAAATGAAGAATCAGTGCGGGACTTTCATGCAAGCCTTGTTTGAGACAAGTGATGGTAGAAGTACCAAGCCATATGCAGGCCAAATTCAGTACCTCTTTGTCAATACTGCCGTAAACTCATTTGCTGGTCATGCGAGTCAGCATGTATTTGCATATATACGATAGTACAAGGAAGTTTTACTTCAGCCCAGAGCAGGAGAAGGAGTTGAGGTGAATGAGGTGGGGTTCAAAGATGACAGCATGAACAGCATTCTCCCAGTGCATAGAATCTGCTATCCAGTCGCAGTAGGCGAGCACCTTGGTCTAGAAGGCGAAGTTCAGATGTGTGTAGTTCCTTTGCCACAAAAAATATATCTTTAGATTCAAATACAAAAATAAAACACGTATAAAAAAGAAATATTAATTAATATAGACTAATATATATAGCTGCACATTTATTTTTTATTATTTCTATAAATTTTTGTTTGTATTTGGCATGCTATACATGCATCTGTATACATCATGCTAATCCATAAACATAAACAAGTAGAAAAAAGACTCTAAAATAGTTGGCAAGAAAAAAATGATTTATTTTGAAAAGCACCAATCTGGTAAAGTGACTGCCAAATTCTCAGGAATGCTCACTTCTTTCTCATAAGAGATGCACTTTTTCAAGCTTTCTGAATTTTTCTTCAAATGGATAACAGTAAGTTCATTAATAGTACTAATAAACGTCTGGAGCTGGTTTAAAGAATAAATAGTATTAATAAAGTATTATTATTTTCTTTAAAACATAAATAGATGTTTAACATTACCTCATCAGTTCTCCAGCTGGGACGATATGCCCGCACTTTGTTATCTCCATCCGACTCGCCATCAGACATCACGTCAATAGAAAGAATATTTCTGCAATCATATCGATTCATGCCCTCATGAATAGCCTCTGTGTATGTCTGGTACGTGATAATACGACGGTCAAGAAGCTACCAAAGAGTATTGTATTAAAACATTAAATCAATAGTAAATTAACTTTATTTTAAAACTTACGGTCTTCTCTCTGTTGCGTCTTCTTCCAGCTTTATTTCTAGCCATAATCTTCTCTGCTGAGGTCTGGAAGACTCGCACTTGATTTTGGTAGTGATTCTTTATTATATTCATAATGACACTCTTTGACACATTTGTGCAACATCTTTGAGGTCTCAGGTACTTGAAGAGAGCCAGTGCAAGTGTCTTGTTGTACTTGTCACCATATGTGCCAGTCATTGACCATGCTGATCTATTATTATTCTCAGCAACTTTGAGCGGGTCTGTGCTAACAAAGTTCAGTTTCTTGATGTAACTATTGATAAGTTGCTATAAAAACAGTATTAGATATATTAATCAGTAATGTTATTATTATCAATTTACTTATAGAAATCAAGGGATGATGTTTTGCTCCAAGGTCAAGATCATCATCTATGGAAGAAGAAGAATCCGCTGGTACAGCAGAAGGCATCACGGAATTTTGGCTGGTCATTGCCTTTTTTATTTTGGCATTTTCAGTCATGAGCTGAAGGACCGAGTTCTTCAAAAATTCATTTGTCTTGTTAGACAAATCCAGGCCATTCTTCAAATGAGTTATTGCATCAGTCACTCCTTTTGCATTTTCTTGCAACGATTGCATCAAAACATTGTTGGCTGCCAACAAGGTAAGGACGTGATCCATTGGGGTCACAGCAACTTGAAATTCAGGGGCTGTGTCAACTGCTACTTCTAGAGTTGGTGTATCAATTGGAGCAACAACACCTGCAATTGTGCTATTAAGAACAGAATTCATGCGTAGGTTATGTCGGAGGGGAGCAGTAGGAATATGTTTTGTCATTTTCTGTTAATAAAATAAATATTAATAGTTTTCAACTAATATTGTACAATTCACTACACTTGTTATATCATGTTTAAAATTCACATACTAGTAAAGAGGATAAGCAGTGCAGATTAACTCTTTACCTTTCATTTGATATTTAAGCACATCTCCCAACCACTTGATCCACATTTAGACAACTTCTTTTCTAACTCAATGAGGCATAAAGTAGTATTTCAAGATGATGGTGGTCATCTTCTTTTGGAGTATTACTTTTTATAGCCCACATTTTGTCAGGGTCAAACTGGATTTTAAGACAAGTCTTTTTTTCTTTTTTTTCTTTTAACAACATTTATTATTGATATTTTCTTTGTTTCTCTTTTGCTTATGTTTTTACAATTTCACTTATAATTTTTTCTTTCTTTTATAGCTCAATACCAAATATGTGTCTCTTTGTTTGGCTATACTCTGTCTGATATATCAAGGTAAGATATCATTCTCTTACAGATCTTTGTTACTCATCATATTGTTTGTCTAGCCATTGCTACTCATTTCCATTGAGTCTCATCATCTCTTAATCGTACATGATGGTAAGTTTTTTTCTTAAAAAAATTCAAATTATTCTTTTGTCTTCCTCATAAATATATATTTATATCTATTACAATTTATTAGTTATGTCTGATATTATGCAGGAAGATGTATAATCAGTAATATTTGGTAAGTTAACTACAATATATTTAATAAATACGCCTTTACTATGCACAATATTAATAATTATTCATTTTTAAAATGTATCTCTATTCAAAGACTACTGGTATTATCTTGATAATTCTGAAGAACATGTTTATATCAATTTTATGTCAAGTCTTCTCCGCCTTGTAAGTATTTATAAAGAAATTTCAATTTAAATCATTTACTAATTCTTCTTTTCTATTAATCATTTTTTAATAGCAGTCCCACTATTAAAGTATGTATTCCATGTCTACTCCTGGAAGACTTTAAATTACATATAGCGAGCAAGAAGTATTAGCAATTATAATAGCTATAGTATCAAAAATGTTGCAAAATCAGAATTTTTATCTAGAAAAGATTTTCCTATCAAATAAAACAAAATTGAACAAAAAAATGTATAACCCAATGTTTTTCCAAAAAATAAATAAATAAAAGTAAAATAAAAAACAAACCAAAGAGGCTTGTTTATAAAAATCTACCCATGCTTTGTTTCTCTTTTCCATTGTAAAAAAACCTAGTTTCATTGCTTTTGTGTGTATAAAAAACCAACTATCATCATTTCTTTATATTGTAAAAAATCTACAATCATCTCTTTGATAGTTTTTAAAGCATTTCTGCAGCCAATAAAAAACCTGATAAAAATAATAATAAGGGACGCTAGCTCTTTATAGACCTCAAAATATAACACATAAAGAGGTAGACTTGATAGGAGTAAAGCGTAACTACAATATTTGTTCAGTTTCCATAGTTTGCGGACTGACAATCGTTCTACATTGGGTTTTTGTGTACCCGTTGTTATGATGCTACGCATCAGCACCATAGATGATATCGTACCATTGCTCAAAATGATATATCACAAAAATTGTGATGATATCGGCTCAATCATCTACATTTTTGGTACATTTGATCCAGATAAAATTACCCTATTTTTCCAGTGTACTATATTTGGTTATTAGAGTGTATTTACTGCTTAACTAGTGTTGGCATTACAATTATATCATCAAGTCATAAATCGTACTTCTTTAGCTCTTAGCTATTCTTTTCTCTTTTATACTAGAGCTTTAGGATTTCCTACTAAATTAGTTCCATATCGATCTGACACAGTTTACTTGGCAGTATGATATAATTATCTTAACAATCTTTAAGATATTATCTACAGTACTAACTGTAATAATTATTGGGCTGATTACTTAATCGTTTATATATATTTTATACTAATAAGATGATAGCTACTACGCTATCCCAATATGAATATGTTCTTATATGTGATAAATCCAACATCTGAGTGTCTGGATCACCACATAAAGATATACAAATAAATAATAATAAATAAAACATATCAATATTTAAGAAAGAAAAAAATATATAATAAATAAAAGAAATAAAAATATTTTAATAACGTTTTTTTTCTTAACAGAAAACCAAATTTAATAACTAAAATATATTAATATAACTTCAGAAAAGATTAATAGTATTCTAAATTTATTTTAAAAATAATAATTAAATAAAAAAGTAATGTAATAAAATATTACACTACAACAAATAGGGGCGTTTTTTTGTATTTGTGACTTTGTTTTTGGCCTATAATAATTAAAAAATCACCAAAAATCCAATTTGAAACTAGAAAATCTCTGTTTTTTGAAAAGGTTGACAAAAAGCAGATTGACTACCTAAAATTAAATCTCCTGATAGACAAAAGTACATTTTAACTACAGATTTTACATTTTTAGTAAATGTAGATTGCAATTGATGACTATTAAAAGTCAGAGGTAAAAGAGAGAAAAATATCTAAACTTTTTGCTGGGAGGATAAAATATGTTAAGACAATTTGAAAAAAAATAATGTATTACAAGAAAAAAAATTATAAGTCTGCAAGAGAACCAAGTGACAGTTTTGGGCCGCGGTTAAGCTCTGGCCACACTACATATGTTGTTGCTGCTGTTGTTATTGTGTTTATAGTTGTGTCCAACTTCACCAAACCAACTAATTCTTTGACATCTGCCAAGTGAACTACCATTGGCTTCATTTGCCCATTGTTGATGACTGGTATACTATTTATCAAACGAACTGCATAAACATTGACAAGGACAAGTGGCCACCTCTTTTTGTTGAGCTTGTGCTCAAAGAAAACGATGACCTTCCCAAAGAAATCCTTGTAGACTGGAGAGTAGCTTTGCCCAATGTTGCGGTTCTCATCTACCTGAACCTGAAGTCTGATGTTATGTGCCTCTCTTACACAATTATGGTCGAGTGCAGAGTCAATAACACAACCATTTACAAATGCCTTACGGCTTGTTTTAATGGCTGCTTCAATCATACTACACTCTTCCCCCTTTGATTTGTAGAACTTTTGAAAAAGCTCTAAAAGACAAGAAATGCCTCCAAAACTATCAACAATCGTTCTGTTCCTCAAAGACCCCCAGAACTCAATGTCAGAATCAGTACCAACATTACTACCTTCTCAGTCAATTGGCCAACCAGCAGAGAGATTGTCATACTGAAGGAGAGTTGTTGCTGTTGCTGTTGCTGTTGTTGTTGTTGAATTTTCAACTCTCATTGGTCGAATCTGTGTCAAGCCAAGCATGATATTGCCAGCATTGATTCCAATTGCCGAATTACTCTTTATTGCTTGCAAGTATTCCCCAATCGCCCTCTCAACAGATCGTGCACTATACGCTCTGGGAGGATCATACACTTTTATCATTGTGGGATAGTGCTGCAGGAGGTGCTGGTTGATCGTAAAGACCTTGAGCTGGACCTCTTCTTTAGCTAGCGAGGCTTCCAAATATGCATTCCATGTGACAAGATTTCTAAAAAAAAGATAAGTTAACACAAGTTATAAAATAATAATATTAATTATAATTAAAGCTTACATTTTGATCAAGGTTTTCTCTTCTGCTGATAACTCCCAGCTCATGAGTAGGTTGTATGTCTGCACCAGGTCAAGCAATGCCTTGCGGGCAGCTTGGTCACAGACACGCTCTGCCACAAGCGTGGGGATAACAAACAAGATGAAGTCAGCCCAGTCCACAGCCCGGAAGTATCCTGATCTTGTCGCGACATTTATCCAAGCACCGTGGAAAGACGTCGGAATACTTCTTCTAGTGGACACCATGGCAGTGCCAATTTCTTTTTGAGCTGCAAGGGAGAGAGACAGAGGATGATCTTTTCCATACTTGCCACACACGAGCCCCCAGACCTGTTTGGCAATGCTGTGACAAATGCCGTGCATTTCATCCAATGCAAAAAAGAACGGACCAGAGAAGGAATTCAGTAATGAGAAGGGAGATTGGCCAGTTAACCCTTTTTTGCTTGATAATGCCACCTCGTCAAAGTACTTGAAGCTTTCCGGTGTGCGCATGGTGATAGTAGATGGCATTCGGAAATATTGGCCATGGCCAGAAGATTGGCCCACAACGTGGCAGATGCGGCAGCCATCCTTACTCATATGGCCCACATGACAAGCCATCTTTCCCAGAGCTAGGATGTCCCCAGTTGTCATCAGTACATGGACTTTTGCACAAATATCTCCATATGGTGTCTTCACAACCATTCCACTGGCTTGGAGAACCCAAAGTTCTTTCATGATTGGCTCCAAGAATGACCAGAAGTCGGCGGGTGCTTTGGGACCAGGGATGATTGCGACTTGGATCATATGGCTGCACTCATAGCAGATCATTGAGGGAAGGTTGCACTAGAGAAATGACCCTGAATACCCTTGTGTGAAGGTTCATGGTTACATGTAGATATTTAGAGCAATTTTTCATCTCAGCATGTTTTTTGGTGTACATGTTCATAAAGTCATGTTGTAATTTTCTATTGGCTCTGATATAATAACTATCCAAGTTATTTTATCATTATTATTATTATTATTATAAAGTTTGAACAAATAAAGTAAATGTAACACTTGTTTCCCTTTTATCTTAACATTTATAACAAAATAAACACCATGTCCTCTACTTCTGAACTTTATAATAAGAAGTGCTATTGCACAAAATGCAGTGATAATCAACAAGGCTACAGCTTTGTTTCTACACGAACTCTCCAGCGTCACAATATAAGAGCAAGATATGAAGACATGGAAAGAAGTGAAAGAAGTATGTTTTGTTTTTCATTTTCATTTTCATTTTGGTTATTTTATATAATGTTTTATTTCAATAGATGTATCTGTTCAAAGAAATCTCATGGATATTGATTTTGAAAGTAAGAAACGTTAATTGTGATAAAAAGAGAAGTAAACTAAAAATTGAATTCTATATGTAGCTACATCAAACCAACAAACCGGACCCATAGAAGCAATGGACGGTCAGACCAACTCGCCTGTTTGGGAAGGAGCCCCAATTTCTGACGATGAGGTTGCTTTTAGCAATGAGTCGAATGGCGAAAGCAGTGATGGTGATGAAAATGACAATGACGAAGAAAGCAATGGCGGTGAAGAAAGTGAAGACAATGAAGAGAATATTGTTGAGATTGAAGTCGAAGAATTCGATACTGAAGGTCAGTCCGTGTTAATTAACTAATAAAAAAAGACTCAAAAAAATTCAAGGAAAAGAACCAAAAAAGAAAAATCTGAAAAAAGGGGGGGTGTTAATTTTTTTTGTTTTTTTTTACAATAGATCCTTTTGCCACCCCAAATATGCCTGAAAATCCGGTACACAGGTTCATTGCTACTTTTGTGATAATGTTTGCTTCCTGCTATGTGGTCAATAAGGGCGCTGTTGTCTTGATCAAGTTCATCAACAAGCTCTTGTCGATTTACGAGCAGGATTTCCAATTGCCCGTGAGTCTTTCTGGTCTCCAAAGCATGACAGGATTGTCAGCCATGACAAAAGGGATTAAGAGATTTGTCGTGTGTCAGGATTGCCACAAGGTGTATGAGGAAAGTGTACCTGCTCCTTTGAATTGTGATTTCGTAAAGCTTGGTGCACATACCACCTGTAATTGCAAATTAACGGTCCAATCATTGTCTGGTGGTTTGGTCGCAAAGAAGTCTTATGTATATCAGTCTCTCACACGTGCTCTTAAAATTCTTTTCCTCCGTCCCAATTTCAAGCAAAAGATCATGCACTGGAACCAAGAATTCAAGATCACTGATACATTGTGTGATGTTTATGATGGTGAAGCCTGGACTGATTTGAAGGACAATGACAATGAAATTTTTGTTGAGCATCCTCGTTCATTGATACTGACATTAAACATCGACTGGTTCCAGCCTTTCGATGGTACTAGCTATTCCTGCGGTGCTATCTACCTGGTGATTAACAACCTGCCTAGAAGTGAGCGGTTTAAAGCAGAAAATACAATCCTTGTTGGCCTCATGCCCAGACCAAAAGAGCCAAAATCAGAAGAGATCAATCATTATATCAAGCCATTAGTCGACAAAATGATACAGCTCTATCTTGGAATACAGATACCCACCTACCAGCAAACAGACGGTGCAACAGTTCGTGCAGCCTTATTGATGGTTGCATGCGATATACCTGCTGCCAGAAAGACTAGTGGGTTCACCGCGCACAACAGCACATGCGTCTGTTACAAATGCGACAATCAATTTTCTCGTCTACCAGGCACTTCTTCTGTTGATTTCCATGGATCTGATTGTGACCAGTGGCGCCATCGAAGTGATAGAGCAAACCGTGTGCATGCTGAGGAGTGGAATAGTGCGAGTACACCCTCAGAAAGGCAGCAGCTGGAGGTCGAATATGGTGTTCAATGGTCGCAGTTGTATCATCTTGGTTACTTTGATCTAGTACATGGAACGATCATTGATGTCATGCATAATCTTTTTCTGGGAACACCAAAGAGAATGATTGAAACATGGACAAAAATCAAAAAATGAAAAACAATGATCTGCTTGCAATGCAGACAGTTGCAGCAATGATGATATTTCCCAGCAACTATACCAAGCTAAAAACGAAGATAGGAAAGGGCTTTTCCCACATGAAAGCAGATGAGTGGAAGTCTTGGGTATTGGTGTACTCTCCCGTGCTTCTAAAACCAGTTCTTCCGTCCAATATGTTCAATGGCTGGATGCACTATGTAAAAGCATGCCGTATACTTGTAAAGCCATCAATCAGTTTCATCGAAATAGACCAAGCACACAAATATCTACAAGAATTCTGTCAATATTGTGAAGATACATATGAACCAAAAGTCCTCACCTGCAACATGCACCTGCACCTCCATCTTCATGACACAATTCGTGATTTTGGACCCGTGTATGGCTATTGACTCTTTGGTTTTGAGAGATACAATGGTTTGTTAAAGAATAACAAGACAAACAGAAAAGACGGGTTTGAAACAACCTATATGACAAAATTCACTGCAGACGCATACAAAGCTGATTACGTACGAAATACGTTATCATGTCCAAGCCTCATTTCATTCCTTCCTCTTTTCGAAAAACTTACCTCTACAACCGCACCTATAACGACCTATGCCACTTATGCTCCAACCAACCAACAACCTTTCCAACTGCAACAATTTGTAGACTCATCCTTAAGTCGAGCAGCACCTATCAAAGGCAATGAACCACTCCCCCCATCCACCTTTCTTTTACAGTCCTTAAAAGAATCAACAATGAGTGATATTGATTATCCTCAATTGTTAGATTATTATAAAATCGCCTATGCTATGCCCAATCTCATTTCTTACCACAATGCCAGATTGTCACAATATTTTGTAAATAACCGAATCACAAAATTGAAATCAATTGATCTCCTTGGCCAAACATATATTGGGAACAACAGTTCTGGTAAGTGTGGGTCACTCGTTCAAGCTTTCTTCCGTAGCAGCAATGGCCGAACTTCAAGCCTATATACCAGACAAATTCAGTATCTTTTTATACATTCATTTACTCTGCCTCCTCATCCAAACCACCGAGCATCAACATTACATCAAGACTAGCATGTTTTTGCATACATCTGATGGTATAATTCGACAAATGACAATGAACACAGAGATGAAGGTATTGCAATCTGCTTGCCAGAATTCTCTGCTGATAATTATCACAGCATCTTGCGTGTACATCGCATACACTTAGAGGTTGCAATTGCTGTAGATGTAACTGATATGAACGAAGAAAGAATGCTGGTCATTCCTATGCCAAAAATATACTATGCCTGAAGCCTTTATGAATAATTATGCACTATGATTTTTTATGAGAATAATTAAATAAAAAACAAAGAACAAGTAATGCCTCTTTATGCATTTTTTTGGTTATTTAAAGTATAAGACGTTATGAATGAAGAAAAAAAGAACAAAAAATATAAACTTTATTTAGGGCCCGTTTCTAAGAGCTCACTGAGGAAACTGTGATGCAATTGCATCAGGGACTGGTCCTTCAACGGTTTTGCCAAAAGCACATGACAGCAATTGATGGCTATTTAAGCCTAAATCGGCTACCACTTTGTTGTCAACAAGTGTGATGAAGTGGTTGTACTATATTAAAGACATTAATATTTTATTCAGTATAATACAATATAATATATTAACTAAATTAAATATTTCAACTTTCAAAAAACTAAGTACCTCATCACTTCTCCAATCTGGACGACAAAGACAAAGCCCACTATAAGAAACATGAGGCGAAGTGCCATCGTCTGACTCACCAACAGACATAGCCTCTTCTATAATGAGACCAGAGCAATCTCTTTTCATCTCATCATCAATAGCAGTCTTGTTAGACTGATACGCTGTTTTGCGACGTTTCAAGTGCTGTTGAAAATATTAAATTAGTTTTCTTTTTTTGCTTTAAATTAATGACTTAGATAAGAATTATTCAAATAATAAATAAATAAAGTATAACTTACCTCCTTTTTGTGGCTACTCCTTCTGTTGCAAGCATTGTCTGACTTCTTTTTAGCCTGAGACTTATTAGCTGTATGCTTTCTGCTAGTGAAGTTCGTGTAGACAAAGTCACGAACATCACTTTTTCTCAGTCTTGCTCCTACGAAATTTCTTTCCAAGTAGGCAACGAGGTTTTCTGTCAACTCAGTGTTTGGCGACTGGTTGAAGTTGACAGCCGTGTTCCACCTTGGCTTGCCATTGTTGGCTTGAATTTCAGCCAAATGTTTTGACTTGAACTTAAGGTCCCACAAATGCTCCCAAAGAAGTCTCTATTGAATCTTGGTAAGTTATTAAAGATATAATTTACTATATGTATGATACATACATAGGCTTTTGTTTTGTTGACTGATTTTGCATCAGAAGCCATGGTGAGAGAACCAGCTACATTCATTTCCATGCTCACAGAAGCAACAGCATGCACTAAAGCCATCGGCTGACTCTGCAAAACAGCAGACACAGGAGTGTTCGAAGTTTTTGCTTTGATATCAGCAACGTCTTTCATGACAGTGGTCATGTCACGACGCAAGATGGCAAGAGAGTTTGTCATCTCTCTCTCAGCAGAAGTGCGTCGAGTGGGATAGCTTTTATTTTGGTTAGACATATTCTATTAATTTAAAAATATAAGTTCAAATATGTATTAACTGTTAATGCTTTTATATTCTTTGAACAAATTTCTATTATACACTACAATTATATTTATTATCAAACATACCAAAATAAAAGACAGAAAAAGATGGGAAGATAGAGAGAGAAAGTGTGAGTATAAGTAAGAATAATTGTAAGAGTGCGTGAGCAAGGGTGAGTAAAATTGTAGCAAAAACGTATATTTATATTTCTAAAAAAAAGGATGTCTAGTCTTGATTGATCTTGGTTAAAAGAATATATCTAAAGTAACTTCTTGTACACACACTGTGTAAATTGATACAAAGATTGCTTTTAGATACTATACCATTATATCTATTATGCTTTTTGGATATTTTTTTTGAGTTTCATTTTTTTTAATTACCTATTTTGTTTTTTTTGTATTTTATTTACTTATTTTTTTTATTTTTCCATATTTTTCCATATTTTTCCTTATCGACCATTTTCTTTTCTTTTCTTTCTCTTTCTGATTTTTGTTATAACTGTGAATTTTACTGGTAAGATACATTCTTCTTAAAAATACTTCTGTACAGACAACAACAAGATTAACACATTCTGTTGTCATAGATATATATATACTCTTTTAGTGTTTTACTATATTCGCAAACTTTTTTGGTAACATATCTTCTTTTTTTTTTAAAGCAATTCTTTTCTTCAAATGTAACTAAATAATAATTATTATTTCAGTTGTCATAGATACTAGCGTGTTTTTTCCTTCTGATGTATTCTCTTTACAATGGCCATCCGGATTAGTCCAGGTTAGTAACTATACTTCATGCCATCATCCTATAAAATTATTCTGACTTTTCTCCTTCTTTTTTATAGACAATATTGCCAAAAATATTCCCTACAATTAAACAAGACCATCAACACGGTAATATTTTATTTTTTATTTACTTTTAATATTTATATGACAGAATATAATTTTTATTACAGATGAATGTTTATCTGCCAAACACGCAATGAATCAAGAACCTCTATCTCTTGGCGCCATCATTGACATGGTAAGACTTCTTCTTTTATTCTCTTAATATGTATGATAGTATTATTTATACTGTATATTAATATATGTTTTTTACTAAAGGTTATATCAACTCTTGACAAGTATTATCTAGGTCTACAAATAAATTGACTTTCTTCAGGTACATTCATTACATATTCTGTCACCCAATTCACTCAAACTAACTTCTCTATATTATTTTCATTGTTAAAGAAATTATACTTGACGCAATGCCTCGAACTCTCAAAGTTCTATTTTTATCTTCTTCAGTCATTATATTGTATGTATCCTCAAATTAATATATCACTCACAACATGTAAATATTTAAATACACATCTAACTTCCCTTCTATTATGTTAAATAGTATCTGTGCCAAAGATAACTACTGAATATGAGGGTTTACAAACATTATATATAAAGCACTGCTTGATTTGAGTCATATGAAGGATACCGTTGAAGACGACCTGAGGCATATAATATTATTCCAATACTATCAATCTAGAATCATTCTATTTTTTCTAATAAATACAAAAATAAAATATAATTCAAACCAATAATAATTGAATATCAAGTAATTGGGGGAGCAGATAATCTATAACCTCATAATAAAGAGTGTTAATGATTGGCTTATAAGCAATAAAATGTCCATGGTTCTAACTATTCACCCAGGGATAGTTCAACAATACACATGCGACGTAGTCCCTGATTATTAACCTTTAACATGGAAACAGATTGTATTACAGCAAAAAAACAAAGTTTGAAATAAAGTTTTCTTGGTACTCTATTATATACAAAGATATAAAATTACTATTGATCCCAACTTCACTAGTGCTATCGAACTTTATACTTGTAGATAGCAGGTCTGTGCACATGTAACCAGATCAGCTTTGGTACCAGTGGAAATAGGCAAAACCCCACTGTAAAATGCGGAATATTCACAATAGTATGCCTGAATATCCCGGTGTGTATTTATTGTTATTTTTCCAGTGTTGAGGTTGGTAATGTAGACAATGGTTACCAAACCTGGAACACTATGGGGAGCAAACCCATCAACAGACAGTGAAATGGCAATGTTGTTTTCACCCGAGAAAAGATGCTTCTTTGACTGGTATGCCTGTCCATCAAAGACATCGGAAATGCTGCCATCAGCCTTTTGTGTATGATGGTGGCAATACAACATCTCTTTTCTGGTGTGGTCATTGGCTAAAGCAACTGCAAGCTGTCTACCCAGAGGAAGCTGTATCATTGTGCTGGCAGGAATTGGATTCTCACCAGCATCTTGGCTTCTCTCACTAGTCTTGTAACAGGCTTTGTCACAATGTGGGCACTCTGTTTGCTGATTGTTGTTGTACAGCATACACCCATTGCGACAAATGTGATATTTCTCCTCAGTGACACCAAGAAATCAAGAAAGAAGCTTGGTACCAACATAGGGAGTGCAAGCTCTGTATGATATCTTACTTGATCTTTATTCTTTTGAAGTATGGGTAAAAATAGAGATATTTGCTTTCAAGTCTAAACTCTTTTATAATGATTAACTTGAAGACAATAATGGCACAGTAACTTGAATATAAGCTCAGAAGAAAAAAGTAAAACATATATATATCATGTTGTCATGTAAGCACAGTAAGCAAAATTGATATTCACTGAAACCAACCCAATAGATTCAATCTATATTGCTATGAAACTAATAATAGATAATTGAAATTTTTTTTCATTATATCTTATTTTCACAACAACATCTTTTTTCTCAGGTAAACAATATTCGCAATATGAATGACACAGATAACATCATCGAATCTTTACTCCTAGACATTCAGCTCCAGTTATCTGTCTTATGTGCCAATCAAGAACAAACTAAAATGGATATTAACAGCCTTGGAAATGAAATAATGATTAAAGGATCTCCAAAGCAAAATCTCTCTTTGTTTATTAATGTAAGTTCAACTCAAAACAGTATTGCTGAAAACTAACTTTAACTTCAATATACTTCAAGTGGGTTTATTTTCAAACCTGTGATCAACATTTGTAATGTCACTTTAGAATATGTTTACTAAATGATGAGTCAACATCTTGGAATCAAGATTACAGCATCCAAAAAAGCAATACTCAGGACCTGTACAAAACTTGTATGTAATGAGTTAGCCACCCTTCCTTCTGTATGAGCTCTTGGCCCTCGTCCTATGCAGGGGTCCATATCTTCATGTGATTGAACAATGATTTGCAATAAACATGCAAACATGCTTAAGAGGGTTGGTATATATTTCACCAGATGCCATCAAAATTGGGCATCCATTGCAAGAGTCAGTCATCTCTGGAAAGACCGTCAAAGGAGGCAATTGTAAGTAACTATTCACTGCAGTGTAAAGTAGTATATTTAATATTGGAAGTATATGATGTATTTGACTGTTTATAACCAATAAAAATGATGTCTAAAATATAATGTCTATCATAACAGCCAATAAAAGTGATATATAAAATGTAATTGTGTAATGTAATAACCAATAAAAATGATAAATAAAAAATATATCCATTTGAGAAACCAATAAAAATGTATTTTTATACAATACACTACAGTGCAATTATGTCTTATCCAATAAAAACAATGATTAAGCAAGAAATATTTAAAAGAATCTAAATTAAAAGAATAATGAATTAGTAGTAATCAATGACATATAATATTTCAACTATACTTAAAGAAGTTTTGTCCAATTGAAAGAATAATATTAGCAAAAGAAAAGATTATCAATATATTAATAGAATCTTAAAACTACCAGTAAGCAGAGATATATTAAAATGCACATGAACTCAGAGTTAGAAAAAAGGGGGGAGAATACAAAATGCGCCCTGGCTTCCCCTTCAGAACCACCTGTGAAACCACCTCCAAAACTCTTATTTTTTAGCGTTATGTTACTCTTCTTTATTTCTACTGATTCTATTTAAATATTATCATGTTCATTTAAAAGCTACAATAGGAGAGTGACAAAAGAGCATATTTAGATGCGCTGAAGGACTTTAAACTTTTGTCGGAGTTTGAATTATGCTACGATTACATGTCCGTCTCTGCTATTTATAACACCGTCAAGTCCGCAAACATCAAATATTAGAAAAATTTGGTAGTAAAATATTAAAAAATTAAAAAATTAAAAAATTAAAATTAAAATTAAAATTAAAATTAAAATTAAAATTAAAATTAAAGTTAAAAAATTAAAAAATTTAAAAATGAAAAAATTAAAATTAAAATTAAAATTAAAAAATTAAAAAATTAAAAAATTAAAAAATTAAAAAATAAAAAATTAAAATTAAAAAAAATTAAAATTAAAAAATTAAAAAACAAAAAAATAAAAAAAATAAAAAAAACTAAAATTTTATTCTTTTTAACCATATTTTAATTAATAATTGTTGTTGATATATTGTAGTAATAAAAATTAATATATTTTTATTAAATAAAGAAATTGTTCTTTAAAGCTTTGATTATTATTAGTTCTATAGCTTACTTAAAACTAAAAATATAAATGTAACTCTATTAAGAAATATAGAAACAAATGTTATAAAGAAGTATAATTAAAAAAAAAACTATTAAAAAAAAGTTTCCAGTAAAAGTTGCTACAAGAAGAATTCGAATTAGGTTTCTCAGATTCAAAAGCACAAGCAATGCCACCTGAGCTATCAAGAGACTAGCGAGGTATGATTACAGCTTGCAATTACAAACCATTATAGCCCCATAAACCATATATAATTAAATAATATTTCTATATTAAATACTTTGATTTCAAGTTTATATTTTAATTTTTTAATTTTTTTTTATATATATAAAGACTAAAAGCTGAAATTTAAAATGGAAATTTAAAAAAATAATACAAAAAAATTATTATGATAAAAATTGTGATTAGATAATTGATTATTAAAATAATATCAATATTTATATAGTACATTATTTTAATAAGAATTATATTCACATAGTTGGTGATTATAATAATATTTATGATTAAACAGATACCGTATAATAGTAACTATTAATATATAACTGACTATTATAGTAAAAGTTGTAATCAGTTGGCTAATAATAAATATAATAATATTACTCTACATATTTGATTATTATGATGATATATATAATTACTTAGTATATTAAATATTTATAAATATACTTGATTTTATAATAGATTTAATTTTATATCTATATAAGTTTTATACTGTAAATAATTTAAAGTATATTAAAGATAAGTTTTTGCTTTATATAAGTAAGAATAAATAAGAAAAAAATAAGAAAAATAAAAAAATCCGAATATTTAATAAAGTATATAGTTGTTATATATTTTTTACTATATAACTAGGGGAGCGGTGCTCCCCCCCCCCTTTGGGGGGTCCCCCCCCTCCCCCCTCCCTTCGGGGGGCCCCAGAGCCTACCGGAAGTTAATATAAAACCCTTCCCTATTGGAAGTCTAAGTACTGTATAGCACAATTAATAGGAACATTTTATTTGAGTGAATTATATGAAAAGAAAGGATATGTATAGATGTTTTATTATTCAAAAAAAAAATTGGTTAGATGAGTTTATAGTGTATGTTATATATAATTTTTTACTAAATGTCAAAGACTTCCTTAAATACAACATTGTCTGTAAATACAGTATTTGCCGTTTCGTTGGAGTTTGCTGGTGTATCAAGCATTATCTTGATTGTAGAAGGTTTTCTGACCCGGGATAGAGCAACATACAGCTGGCCATGGGAGAATACTGGGGCAGGGAGATATAATCCAACACTCTCAAGAGTTTGACCTTGTGACTTGTTTATTGTCATTGCGAATGCAAGACGAACTGGAAATTGGAACTGCTGGAATTCAATTTCACCATTTGATCCAGATGGATTAAGCTTTATTCTTGGAATAAGAGATACTTGCCCGGCATTTGATCCAGTCACAATTGTTGCTCTGATGACAGATGTTCCAAAAGAGTTGCAAATCAGGCGTGTACCATTACAGAGGCCGTTTTTTGGGTCAAGATTGCGAAGAAGCATGATAGGACATCCTTTTTTTAAGGACAGTGAGTGAGGTGGTAGGGATCCAGGATCAATGGTATTTAGTAGCTCAACTGGATATGTCAACTGACCATCTTCATCAATTCCCTGGTCGACGCTCTTAAACTCTCGTGCCTCTCCAGGAAACTGGCTCAGAAGAATATCATTGAGTTTCTTGACATCTTTATTCTTAGGAGTAAGCAAAGCACGGCCCATGAGGAAATGAGGGTTGGCTGCATTAGAGGAGAGATCATGGAAAACTGCTTTGGCCAGATCAGCAGGATTACATCCAGAAAGTAACATATGGGGCGGAATTGGGATGGTGTCATCACCGCCTGTTATGTGGGCAGAACCACTACCAACTTGCAAGAGAAATGCTCCAAATTCCCTAAGCTCTAATGTTTCTTGTTCATTATTTGCTTGGGCAATTCGCATGTTTGTTGTAAGCCGCAAGGTTTTTACATTTCTCCATGCAGATGCTTTCTTGATACATTGGCTTAAAACCTGAGCTCTTGTTGCCTTGGGTATAACAGGAAGGACCTGCCGAAAATCGCCTCCAAAGACAAACAACTTCCCTCCAAATGGAACGTTTTCAAGCAATGGATCGACAGTCTTCATTATATCTTGCATGGATCTGCTTACAGTATTAAAAACATCTTTACTAATCATAGAAGCTTCGTCCCAGATAACCAATTCCGTTCTTCTAATAAGTTGTGCCGTTTGCAAGTTTGCATTGATGGAGCATAAGGAGTTAAGATCAACTTGCACTGGAATCTTAAACCTGGAATGTGCTGTACGCCCACCGTCTAGCAGCAATGCAGCAATTCCACTTGTTGCTACTGCAAGAGCAATTTTTCCTTGTTGGCGAGTTTTTTGAAGCAAGGCATTAAAGACAAATGTCTTTCCCATCCCACCTGGACCATCGACAAAGTACAATCTTGAGGCTCCCACGTTTTCTTCAATTGCACTTAATACTGTTGTATAGACACGTCTTTGTGAATTATTGAATGTCAATGTATCTGGATCTGGCAAAAGCTGGGCTTGATCACATAAATCTTCTTGTTCTTGTATGATGGCTTGAACATCTTGCCCATTTGGGCTAAAGTGCTGGATGTCAGGCATTGGTGGAAGAACAAATCCAGTGAACAACATGAGAGACATAGAGTTGGCAGATAGATGACTTTCGATATCCCATAAACATCTGTCAAACATATCTTGTGTGGGGGCTAACGCAGGAATTCCACTACTTTCTCTTGCCAAATGAAGATAATCTTCAATCATAGAATCGCGATGAGCAAGCCACAAAGAGAAAGGATCTGATACTGCACAGAAAATCAAAAGAATAGCAAAGAGTCTTCGTAAAGAAAATGGGATCTGATGAGCTGCTGCCTCTTCCATACAGTTACTCCACTCATCATCATTCAAAAGTAATCCCAGAGCACGACATGCAGCTTGGTTTGTTTCATACACACATCCTTCTACTGTACGTATGTCTTCAAAGCTTTTGGCCCCTTTAACATTATGCAGCAGTAATCGTAACGAATATTTTTCAATATCTCTCGGAGACACTGTGTAAACTCTGCCAATCGTTCCTTTATCAAACCTCTTACATGCTGTCCATTTTCGTTCTTTTGTATTCCATACATAAAGAGAAGGAAAGTCGACGTAAAGAAGTTTTTCAGATGATGGGTGTGTAGCATTATAGTCGAAATATCCCATTAAAGTAGTGTTTTTTCTGGAATTTGCAACATCCTCTGGGTTAGAAGATGGATTATAATATACGGGTTGGGCATTTTCCAGATGGATTGAAAGTCGTTGATGGCTGGGATACTCTTGATGAAGCTTGAAAGAAAATATTCTCCAGCATGCTTCAGAAGCGGAGACATACCGAGCATCAAGAAACTCATTAACTTCGTTTACATGCTCTTGTTGTTGTTGTGGAGCGGAATTGGTGGGTGTAGGCTGCACATGGGCCATTGCACGGTCATGTCCTTTATATACATATTTGTAGAGGTATTTTACGGCAGAAACAGAGGTGCTAATCTCAACATTTATATGAGCATTGTATTTTGCACATATGTATCTATTGTGTGGAACAACCCATCCATTATCCATGATCTTTGGCCCTCTTCTAATAACTCTTCCATTTCGACTGCGTTGATAAATAGGATATCCGTTTCCACCATCGCTAGTCTCATTGCAAAGCTTTTTAGGATAATTCTTTGAACAGATCCCATTCTTCATGCATGGTGCTTTTGGATATTTCTTTCCGCATGGGCCATGCATCATGCATTTTTTTACTGTTTCATATGCCAATGGCTCAGTTTCAGGATCTGGGATTTCAGCCGAAACTATTCTGTCAAAATCTTCTATTGTTTTTGGTTTATCTTGTGGTCGCAAAATCAAAAGAATGTGGGCATGAGGAAGTCCGCGCTTTTGGAATTCAATGACATATATAAAGGCCAAAACTTTCCCCAGAATATTTTTTTTGTAAGGTCAATCATGAGCTCTTTGAGCTTCATATTGAAAACCCGAGAACAAAGATCTGGTCTGTCATTAGCTTTTTGCCCAGCCAACAGGGAATTTGTGATTTCTGGCCACTTTGAATTGCAAGTGAAAGTTATGAACAAATCAGGCTTGCCAAAACGACGCACAATACTCATTGAATCTTGATAAAGTTGAGCCATATACCAGGGGCTACCAATAAAAGAAGATGGAAGAATAACTCTCTTTCCAAGATTTGCAAGATTACAATCGTTATGGATAACAGCATCCTGAATTCCACTATAAAGATCTACATGGAGATGATTTTGATTGCTGGTGATGAAGTGCAGCCGATCGTGCTCAACTTTGGCATACATATCAACAATATATTGTTGAAAGAGACGGCCAAAAAGATGGAGGAGGTGCTGTGTGTTGCGTCAATACATCAAATGGTTTGAGTACCATTGCATTACTGTGACATGCTCTCCTGACAATGAGCTGGCATCAATGGTCCAACCATCTTCACCATGTGGAAAGAGTAGCACATAGTGTAAAGCATCATAAGATCGGTGGTACTCATTGATGTTCTGTTGGAAGTTGGCTCTGGTGTGCAGCACAATGTCTCTTGAAGTACCCTCTTCATTATTCATAATAAGAACTGCTATTTTACTTGCAGTTGGAGCATTGTACCGTCTTTGATCCCGAGGCCCCTCAGCTACTAAACGCAAAGTGAGATCTATAGATTGTCCCTTTTCCCGAGAAATTTGATCCATTGTTCTGAAGAGATGTACGAATGGATTTGTTTCCATAAGAATGGACTGAATCTTCTCCAAAACACTTCTCTCCAATTGTGGGGAATGGTACTGTCTTTGATCTATCTGAGCAGCACTATCATAAATATCGATCTGAGCGAATTTTGGGTGAGTGATATCAGATTCTGTCACTGGCAAAATAGATCCAATTCTATGACAAATTGTTCCGTGAATCCGGAAGTTGTATGCCCCATTGATATTGTTGCCAACAGAGGTATCAATTTTAGCTCCCAAAGAAGTAAAGCTCATTGTACTATTATAGCTTCGAATGTTTTCAAGAAACTTCTTTCCATCACGTGTTCTATAGTTCAAAAGCTCAGCAATTCCTGTAGGTGTTGGCTCAATTTGGGGGAGAACATGCTTTCCTTTGTTACAACACATAGAGAACGTGGGGCTTCTTAAAGAAGAATGACTGTTTTTTTCATGTGCCCACATCATTGCCTCACAAAATCGACACTCGATATCCATATCTCCCCTGTTATCAACTGCTGGTTCTGAAATAGCTGGAAGTCGGGCAATATTATTCAAGCCTCTGCCTCGATTTCTAGATTCTCTTGCTCTGCTACTGTTATTGTTTGGACAAAATCTGCTTGTAATTCGGCGATGATCAGTTCCGTTACAGTGAGGACAATGGGGTAAAATTGATCCTCTATTCACAGTTGAAATCTCCTCGACTTCTTCTTCTCTTCCAGTCACTTCTTCATCGGATGAAGTCTCCTCAATCTCTTCTTCCATGACTGCTTCAAGAACTTCAGTAATAGTCTCATTTGCGAGTGGAAATTCAGTCAACTCAGAAACTGAAATAAAAGTCGATGTTTCTATGTCCAAATTTTGGTCTTGGACAGGCTCACTTCTTATTCTCAAGGCAGCAGCTATTTTTTTATAAACACATTTATTATTAAAAAATATATATAATACTTGCAGTAATATGCATAAGTGTATAAATAAATAGTTACTTCGGCTACTTTCTGCAGGATATTCATCTACATTAGTTCTCTTTTGAGGAATGTGGAGAGAAATGTTCTTTGGGTTCATGAGACATTGCTTATGAGTACTTCTGCTATGTCCAAGCATATGGCAAGCAGCACAACGACGTTGAGTAGATGACACTTTATTTTTCGGTTTTTTTTTCAAAGTTAGAGTTTGGTTTGATAGTTGTATAAGTTTTTTGGCAATAGTTTGTAAAATAAATTCAAGGCGTTAATATCTCGGTATATCATGTGACATAGTAATATCAGGAGCGGATTGGAATTGGCACTCAGTTCCAATCCTACCCAATCAGGAACAACTACTCCAACTGCAGTAGTTGGGTGAGTAAGGCCAAGAAGAAGATAACTATTGCTCAGCAAGATACCGCAGCAAAAGGACTTAGCTAGAATCTAGGATACTGCGGCATCTTATAAATTAATATAAATATCACAAATATTATCACAAATAAACATTATCTTTATCTTCATATTTTATTCTATCTTATTATCTTATTGTGTGACTTCTTGCACATTACAGTAAAAGTGCTAGATTTTAGATGTAAATAGATGTTTTATAGGCAAATTCGTATATCACGTGATGCTGCTAATTTTGATTAATTTTAGATATATAGATAGATGTTTTATAGGCAAATTCGTATATCACGTGATGCTGCTAATTTTGATTGATTTTAGATATATAGATATATATTAAAAATTACTATGAAATAACGCTCTGTAATAAATGAATGGTGACGTTTCAAAATTTTGGCCTGTTTCAATTTTATGCATATTTTAAATTAAGAATACTCCCACGCTATGCTTTCGCACTAACTATAAAAGGCAATTTTTGTCAAAAATGACCCTATAGCCAAAACGTAGCATTTTTTGAGACGAATCTGATGGTATAAGTTTTATATATTATATATATATAAAACTTTTGAGAAAATGACAGAAATAAACTGTACAAATTGTTGTTTTCTATTCTATATATAGTTAGTGTCATATTCTATTATGCAACATTATCAAGATTTTGACTTTAATATACATTTATCTTAAGTTTTGTATTTTTTTATTATTTATATTTAAGTATTTATATTGCTTTTATCTATATATAATAGACTATTTTAACTATATATATAGATACTTAGTTTGTTATTAAAATAATAGCTATAATTATACATATATATATTAAAATAATATATATAACATGATCATATAAATGATTTTTTGGTAACTTATTCTAAAGTTGATTATAATTATATAGTTAAATATTAGCATATTGACTATTATTATATTAAGTTTTCTTATATTACATATTATTACATAGTTGACTATTAGCATATTGACTATTAGCATATTGACTATTAGCATATTGACTATTATCACGTAGTTGACTATTAGCATATTGATTATTATCACGTAGTTGACTATTAGCATATTATTACATAGTTGACTATCAGCATATTGCACTGGGGAATTAGATTTCTACACATATGCAATAGTATGGGAAATTCTGAGTGACAGAATAAATAATTTCTGGAATTTGGCATTTATAGATTCCATTCGCAATATGTTATGTTAACTGTGAGTTGTCCATATAACTTCTGAACTTATAATGATTTATATAGAGATGTAAGGTTCTTTTAAACTATTTAATTGCAGAGAGAATAATCAAATTTTGGCATCTTTTTTTTGGATGTTACATTAAATTAAACTTGATTTGAAATAGAGATTCCAATAAAAAATCTATTTTGATAGAAAACTGTCTACTGAAATAGTAGAATTCTATTGGATTAATTTATAGAGAAAACTCTCTACTAAAATAATGATATTCTATTGGATCATTTAACAGAAGAAACATGATTTATGTATACTGTCTTCCAAATCTAAACACTTTTATTGCACAATTATGCACGGCTAAACTATAGACATAACACATGCCATACTACTGCAATACTTTTTGCACTTCATTTCAAATATTTTTATAGGGATTGTTTTGGAAAAATTGTTTTTATTTAAAAAAAAAAGCTTCTTGCTTATAATATATACGGCTTGACAATATATAGTCTAATCTAATATATAGACTACTACATAATTAATATAATAACAAATCCTTTCATATATTATAATATATAAATATTTCTAATAGGATGGAATCTTAAAAAGAAATGCGTGTTTATGATATTTCACTAGTAAGAGAAGGCTAAAAAATTATTCAATTATATTAGATTATATAAATATTTATTTTTCTTTAATTTAAATAGTATGGTTACTTACCAATACTTTCATCAGAATCAGACATAGTGTACATTGACTGTTGCTCTGAAAGGTTTAATAAAATGCATTAGTAAAGATTATGGAATAAAGTTTGGCTTTATTACTTACCAAAGAAAACCGGTTTTCAAAGACGAGCTATTCAATCAGGTACATAGAAATGTTGGCAGTACTAACAGAGATATAAAATAAACAAAATTAGATATAAGAATAAAATAAATAAATACAATATTCAGACCTACCAGATAAATTTCTACTGTTGGTATGTCTTTATGATGTGCTGAGAAGTTAATAAGCTAAGGAGCTAATGAGCTGAGGAGAGAAAAAGAAAATAATTAATAAAGAAACACATACACAATAACCATGCTTTATCTTTTTGTTCTTGTCCATTAATCAACACGGCAAAGGCTTGTAATACTATCAGCAATCACAATAATAATAAAAGAAAAAACATTAAGAATAAATATAACAGTAGAATAATAAAAACAAATTGCTTACCAGGGTGTGAACTCAAATACATCAACCAGAATAAAAGTAAATAAAGCAGAAAAGAAACAGGAAAAAAAGAAATAAGAAAAAAATAAAGAAAAAGAAGAAAAAAAAGTGGGCTTTCAAACAGAAGGCAGTTTAGATGAGAATTGACTCTAATAAAATACAATAGTAATAAAATGAATAGTCCGAAATTCTATTGTAACACTAAGTTCTATGTTGAATATTAAAGAAGTTGTTCAAGGTTATAAAGAATTTTATAGAAAATAATATATAATGCCTTCTTTTTCTCAGCTATTTCATAAATCTATTTTTTATTAACTTATTTTGTATGTATATCTTTGATTAAACAAAAATAAATATATTTCAACCCATACATTTATTTTATTTTAATAATTTGTTAATGTATAAAGCTTTAATAAAAATACAATAAAGAAAAAATGCCTTCCAATAGCAGCAGAAAAACAGACCGTAAAGGAAAAGGAAAAGCATCTGCAAGTATATCTACCTCTGCAAACCGTATTTTGGCTGGCCGTGTTGGACCTTGAGAAATTGCCCCCTGCTTCTCTTCCGCAACTATCCAAGATCAGCAATATGCAGAAATTGTTGAAATGTTTAACAAAGTAAACAACAGTATCAATGGTGTCAAGGATGACATTGCTGCTGTCAATAGCAACATAACAGCCTTTAAAAACAGGATGGGCATTGTTGTTAACATATCTGGAAAGACACATACAGCATTTGCAGACTTTGCAACTGCCTATGCCAATGATCAGACTCGTATGGCTAGTCTAGAACCATCTCTGATGTCATCCTATGTCCCCCAGACCTCTCTCAGTGATGCTGAGGTTTCTGTCATTATCTCGGTAATTAATATTAATATATGTTAGTATCAACAACTTATTAAACAACCTGTATTTAGGAAATCTTTTGCGGAAAAGTTGCAGAACTGGAAGTTCGAGTCTGCCGACCCTGCTCTTGTTGCTGAGAACAAGAGTAAGAAGAAGTGGAACTTGAACGAGAAGATTAACCACCACAATAACGTAGCTGTTATCAACTACTTGAAGAGCTACATTAGCGCCCAGACTCGTCTAGCTGGTACTCACCCATGGGTGATAAGTGATAAAATAAAGAACAGGTACAAGCACAGTCATCATACTTTTCACAAGTCTCTTGAGCAGAAGGCCAAGAAAAACAGCAAGGGGAGAGCAAACAGTTGTACTCTTCAGGTTTGTATATATTATATAAAAAATAATTGGTATATTACTATTTTCTCAAGCTACAATCTATATATCCAGATGTCTATCTGATGCAAGTCGACATACATGGACAACTGGGTAGCCATTGATGCTGCAATGGGATATAAGACTGGAAACCCTGTTGAGAAGGCCTATCTCAAACTTTTTCAGAAGGATGCCATGTCTGATGGTGAGTTAGATATTGAGATTGTAGACAATCTTCCACAACGGTGTTTGCATGTGGCTTGCCCCACTTAGAGAAGTGAAGAGATAAATAATATTTAGAATAAATAAATAAGTTTTATAACAAGAAAAATAAAGAACTAATAAAAATAAATACAGTTCAACAGATTGTTGACAATGGTTGACAACATTGATTGTACCCATCACGTGTCAAATGCGGGCATGAGAACAAAGCCAAAAATGAACAGATATCCAGCAACATTGTTGCCTTGCTCTGTTCCTGCCACCCTGTCCCAGTCATTGCCTCGTTGGGCAATCAATGATGAATAAACATTTTCTTTTTTACTATGTTCTGTTGTAGGGCCAAATAGTAATAATTGAAATTGAATTGATTAAAGGAAATAATAATAATAGAGGATAAATATATAAGTAAGTGTGTGTATGAGAATTAATAGTAAATTTTTTTTGGTAAAGGAATTGCGAGTTTTTTGTTGACATTTTTTATAGTTTTGTAATCTACTATTGCAACTGTTAGGAGAATCCGATGTACTGGCATGATGCTTTGAAAATCTTGCTTGTAGAATTCATCTTGTAACAACTCAACTCCTTCTAATTCTCTTGTTTTGTCCAAAGTGGATTTGAACCATTTGACAAATGCAAATACATGCTGACTACTATGGGGATTTCTGTATGTTAGAGAAGAAACAGTTGGTCTAAAATTGTGAACAAAAAGATACTGAATCTCTCCAACATACGCATGTTCCGACTCAGTTCGTTCAGTGAAATATGCTTGTATGTATGATCCGCGGCCATTCGTGCCAATGTACCCTTTGTAGCTTTGCCCAAGAAGATCAACAGACTTCACCATTTCGATCCAGTCATTGACGAAAGGTGAGTCATCAATTACATCTTTGCAACCTGAGATCTGTGGATTCTTGTACGCAGCTTGATAATATCCTACAAGACAAGCATATTCATGTTTTGGCATAAATGATAATGGTCTTGTTTTCAATGGCAAGGCGGATGGTGGCAGGGGCTCGTTTCCACAAATTGTCATTGAAAGATTCTGTGAAGCTTCAAGATATTTGGAAATTGAGAAAGAGTGAGAGAGGTAAGTGTTGGTGTTGGTGTTGGTGTTGGTGTTGGTGTTTGTTGTGGTGGTTGAAGTTGAAGAAGTTTTTAAGAGGAAGAATTCAAGATTTGAGATTAGGAACGAAGATTCGTGAGAACTTGTGTAGGTTTTGTTTATTGAGAAAGATTTGGTATCAAAGTTTTATCCGGTTCCTACACTGAACTACTACTGCTATTTATATTGTTTTGGATTGGGAAAATTATATGACTGGGGTCAGGTAATCGATCCTATCTGAGCCTTAATCAGAGCAACGTGATCTTGGGCTAATTAATATATGATTAATTATATAAATGTGTGTAGTCCCAATGAAGTATTAACATCGAAAGTAAAAGTGTTTATGAGTTATAATTATGCTTATAATAATCCACTGATGTATCCCATATTATGGTGATATCATCATATGAAATATAATCACTATCATGCATGCTAAATCTGTGTGTTAAATAATAAAATAATCAGTAGACACCTTTGACTGGAATAGCTGAAGCCTTATATTATTTCCTTCAGACTTATTCTCAATTACAGCAGTAGTCAATACTCATTTACAACAGTGTTGTTGTTGTTGGTGGTGAACTTATCGAAAATTTCAAAACATGCAAGTGCATGCATAGGCTTCAGAAGTTGATGAACAAAATCTCCCTTCCACGACTCTTCAATGAACTGTCTTATAAATGTCGATTCGAACCCGTTTCTTCGATTGGTTTTGATATTTTTAGGACACTATTGTACCTTTCAAAGCTGAAAAGCCAATAGCCATAGACGGGGCCAAAGTCAATCATTGTTTGGCGTAAGTGCAGATGCAGATGCATGTTGGGAGAGAGAAGGTCCAGGTCGTACAATATCTCACACCCTTTACAGAATTCTTCTAAGCATTTGTGTCCTTTCTCAATGTCTTCTTCAGAAACACTAGGCTTGGTGAAGTATCTGAATGCGTTAACAAACTCTATCCAGTTCTTGAACTCTGGCAACAGCAACACATCCCTTAGAACAACAGGAGAGTACACAAGGCACCAAGACTTCCACTCATCAGCCTTCATATAGGGAAATCCTTTGGCAATCTTTGTCCCAAGTGATGTGTAATTGGGTGGCAACACTACCTTCTCAACAGTCTTTTGCATGGCAACGAGTTTTTTATTGTCAATTAATCTATCTGCAACCCATCTCTCCAGCATTCTTTTGGCAGTGCCTAAGAAAAGATTGTGCATGGGATCAATGATCGTGCAGCAGACAATGTCAAAGTACTGAAGACAATGCAGTTCAGACCAGCGAACACCATGTGCAACTTCAAGACGCTGTCTCTCAGTTGGTTTGGTTGCATTTCTCCAGATCTCTGCATCCTTACAATTGTCATTCTTAGTATGAAGGAACCACTTTGAGAAATCAAATACAGAATAATCAATAGAACTCGTTCCAGCCAACCTCGAGAATTGATGCTTACACTTGTGGCATGCATTTGTACTTGTATGGGATGTGAACCCACATAATTTCCTTGCAGCAGGTATATCACAGGCAACCATGAGAAGAGCTGCTCGGATAGAAGTACCATTTGGACATTGGTGAGTCTTAATCTTAATACCTTTGTACAGCTCCATCAACTCATCCACAAGCGGTTTCAGATAGTTATTTATGTCAGAAGTGCTCGCTTCTTTAGGCCCTGGCATTAACCCAACAAGAATCACGTTCTCCTTCTTGAACTGCTTACTGCATGGAAGATTACTGATTGCAAGATATATGGCACCACAGGAGTAGGTAACATCATCAAATGGCTGAAACCAGTCAATGTTCAGCGTGAGCATGAGTGATTGCTTGGTATCAACAAAAGGTATACCATCCACATCTACTATCTCATTCCACATCGCACCATTGTACACATCAAACAAAGTGCTATCCATTTTTGGGATGCGGTTCCATAAGTTGAGCTTGTTTTCAAAATCTGGGCGTTGAAAAAACGTCTTTAGGGCTTTCTTGACGGAGTGGAATACATATGTCTTTTTGGGTGCTTTTGACCCGGGACCAGACTTAATCAAGCTGTTGCTATACAAGGAGGTTTTACCAAAATTGGGTGATGTACAACACAAAGGGGCGGCTTCATTATCATATATGGCATGGCATTCGCTACATGCAACATACTTCTTGACACCACTTGTTAACACTTCAAATCCGGTGAAATGTTTGAGGCCAGCAACACTCACAGGAAGGCGGAATGGGTTGAACAAAAACTGCAGGATCTTATTGATTATGACAATCAGGATTACAGCTCCTTCATCTACGACGTATAGTGAGACAAAAAGAGCAACCAAAATAACAATGAATCAGTGAATCAAATTCAATTCCGAGATTGATTCCAATGAAGAATCTTTAATTTGATTTTTTTTAAAGAACGTTGATTAACTCTCTATTTTCTAGGATATAATATTATCTAAAGCTGTGTACCTACCTTTATCATTGTCTATCTCAACATTGGATTCATCTTCATATTCTTCTTCTTCGTAAGTGTCACTTGTATACTGGACATTATCTTCAGGGCCAAACACACAATCCGTTTCAGAGAAAGGTTGGTTTCTTGTCTATATATCCAAAATGTCATTTGTGTCATTTAGGTCTACAAAAGCGGAATGTTAGACCCAAATAAATCAATATAATAAAATAGGTTTTCTTACTTCTAAGCTCAGAATTCATTTCAACAGCCTCCTGTTCAAATTCAAAACTATCTTCCTCTTGATTTACAGGCTCTGAAACAGCACTACGAATTGTATTGCGTGTGTCTTCATGGGCTACACATTTATTATTATTAGTGTTAGTATTATTATTATTATTATTATTATTATATAAAATAATAAAAAAGAAAATGATATAAAATAAAATAAAATAAAATTTAATAAAGTAAAGCAAATGTATTAACCATACGCATTTGAACATGTGTAATATCATGATTATCTTTTTCTTGATGACGTTTAAATGTTTTAACAGATACATGATCGAATCCTAGTGTCTTGCTTTTACAGATAGAGCATCAACACTCTTTTCTAACAGTTGGTTTGCGAATAGGAGCCATTTTAAAATGAAAAGAAAGGTTTACAATAGTATTTAATAGTAAAGAAAGAGACCAAAGAAAACACACTTTTATTTTATTTGACTTTTGATGTTGCATTCTAATGCTACACAGCTGCCAGTAGCCAATAGAGTAGCTTAAAATACTATTCAAATACTTTACTCACAAAAGTGAGCTGAACTACAATTTTACCTATTCTGTCTATCAGAACTTAGGTATACTTTACATATGCGAAATTGATCTGTTTTTGCAGTGCTGAAAATAATAAAAAAAATCCATGAGGTATAGAGCTTTAAGCAGTGTTTTCATTGTCAGAGTAATATTTAGTTGTTGAAGTGAGCATGAGAATAAGATTTATTGCTGATTTAAGAAGAGAAATAAAGAGTTTTAATATATTAACACCAAATGGAAAGAGAGAGAATTATGATATCTCTTTTAAAAAAGAGTGTTTATAATAAATTTATGGCTGCGGGTAATATATTGTCCTATTTATTTTTTATCTCCTTGAGTTCAATTTGTACTACTTTATTTAGTGGACCTTGGAATATTATTTTTTGATATAAAAAACTGAAAAAATAATGACTAATACTATTTAACAACAACTCAATCTTCTTTACATCTATTCTTGCTGCTTTAACTTGTGTTCTGATTTTTATCTTGCATCTTAAGTAATTCTATTTCATTATAACTACTATATACTAGATATAACTGTATTTATATAAAATATGTCACTTTAACATATCTTTCTATTTCTTTATTTTTTTACATTTTATTATCAGAAAACCCTACAATGTTACACGAGAAACTTGAAGAATATAACAGTGCCTTTGAAAAAATCATGGAAGAGCTTGAAGAGCCTGAAATGTCAGAAGATCCAAAAAGTTCTGCCCCGTCAACAACAGACGAAACCCCAAAAAAAGTAGAGGGCAATATCAAAAGCCTATGGATAAAGATATAAAAAAGCTTCTTTATCTCTACTTCATAAGGGGATTAACTATCAAAAAAGCCAGCAAGATAGTAAATATGAAACAAACAGCTGCTGGTGGCTATATTTTGAAGCGGAGAAAGTCTCCAGTTGTTTTTTTCATTAAAAGCAACAAGGAGGCTACAAGTAACAAAAAAATGAATCTTTTATTCGAAACTTACTCTGCAATAAAGAAAGAATACAAATAATATCATTGCATTTTCAATTTTAACATAATTATTATAATGAGATACTTGCTTTATTATTTTATAACTGCTGTAAGGTCTTTAACTTCAACAAAGTAATCTGGAGAAAAGTTTGCATATTCTGTTAGTTCTCTCTATAGATATTTTCTATGACGTATCTTTGTAGAAAGATCTACATATATTGAAGTGCTATTATATTAGGCGTTTGGCACTTATATAAAAAAATATGACAGTTATATAAAAAAAAATACGACATTTACAAAAAAAATTACTATGGTTATATAAAAAAAATACAGCGTTTACAAAAAAAAAATCTACAGTTATATAAAAAAATATGACGTTTACAAAAAAAAGTATGACGTTTACAAAAAAAAGTACGACGTTTACAAAAAAAATACTACAGTTATATAAAAAAAATTGTAAGATATAAGGATAAAAAATTTGAGTGCCATGTACCCTTCCGCCAATAGTAAAAGGGAGGAAACAAATTCAGATGGCAATGGGAGCAAATTCAGTTGGCAATGAATGAAAATTCAATTTCTATGGAAGCCAATCAGATGTCAATGTGTTCTAATTAGATGGAAACAGATGCTAATTAGATGGAAATGGGCGTCAATTGAATGGATAAAACCAGTACTTGAATAAAATATGGGAAGATAATTCAAAGACAGGCTTAAAAATTAGAATAGGGAACTTCATGTCATCATTGAAAAATTACTATATTGATATTTCATATCAAAGAGTAACCAATACATTTGTACAAAATATATAATGCTAATGACAACTTAGAAAATTTTCTTTCTTGTTCTTTCTTTTGTTCATAACAAACTCTGATGCCAGATTTTTATTATTATCATAAATAATTAAGAAAATTCAGTAATTTATCTGCTTCAAGATATGCGAGAAACACTTTGGAATATATAAGAAATACTTCTTATTTTGCAGAAGGGCCAAAAAGCACTCTAAAAATAACAGGCATTATACAACTGAAGATTTCTGAACTACATAATAGCATAAATGAATATACATTTGAGAAGCCCACCCCAGACTATGATGTAAGAAATAATAAAGTAAAGAAAAATAGATAAGCTAATGTAAAGCAATATAATTCTTTGATGTTCTAATCTCAAGATTAATGCTTGTATTAAAACTATAACTTTGAAATACAACTTTAAAATGATGAATCATGTTTTTGGATTTAACTCAACAAGAAAAACAAAACAACTATTAACACATTCATGTTTTATATGTAATAAAATGATCATCTATCTTCCTGTATAATCTTTAGAACCAAATTCAAATACAATGTCTATTTTAAGAAAACAATGACATAATGTGCACCAAACATGTGTGTCTACTCAAACAAAGTTGCGTAGACTTTACCACATGTCACAAAAACTAGATATTTGTTGCAAAAGTCTTTCAGTTATAGAAAAACTGTGTGAAGAAAAGAACTTGTAAGTTCATGTCAGGTAGGTATAATAAATTGTATACTCAATAAAAAAACATGAAATTATTCAAATAATATTTAGGCAATACAATTAATGAATAAAGAATTGTTCTTTTTATAACAACCAATAAAACATTTTTAAATAAAAATTCTCTATGAAATGAAACTTTTTTACCCAATTAAAATTGTGAACAAATCAGAATATCTATAGATAAGAGATATTTAAGAGAATATTTCTGTTGAAATGACTAATATCAGTGAAACATATACAATAATAGAATGTATTTTATTCAATTAAAATAATTATAAAAACCAAAATAATATTTTATTAGAGAAGATGTTATCTAATGGAAAAAGTGCGACTGCTAAAAAAGAAAGATTGGACAAACCCAGTAAAACACAAACAATATCCCAACAAAAGTTATGGAAATGTATAAATTCATGCTGATAATAATATACAGATCTCTAACAATACAAAAAAGAAAATATTTCTCTCTCTTTCTTTTTCTTTAATTAATTTTACTAATGAAAAACACTTCTTTAAAAATGAATATTAACAATACTGCAGCTATTTGCTATCTTTTTTGTCACAGAAAGAGAAAAACCATTACTAAAAGAAAAAAGAGAACTGTTTACAAACGTCTTAATCTCGAGACATGGTCAGATGCAAAATGCAAGATTGAGTTTTGTATTACTCTTCCAGAGGTAGATTACCTTTTAGAAGCTATGTTTTGCTATAAGCCAAGCCTCAAAAAACTACTATTTTTTTATTTACAGTGGTCCCTCAATAATTTCACGCCCCTTTAATTTCACACTTTGATAATTTCAAGGCTCTGAAGACCCAACTCAAAAAATAGGGCTTAACTTTCACGATTCTCGTTAATTTCACTTTCACGAATTTTTTTGGCCATGAATCCTTAAAGAAAAAAATAGCCAATCAGACGAGAGCAATATAGTTAAATTTTGGTTTAATTTTTTTAATCCAGACTTTTCACAATTTTGTAATTGACATCAATGTCAAGTGCATTAAGTTTTTATGTCAAACACTGGGTTATCAAGTTGACATCTAGCTTAATTTTTTTAAAATATTTTTTTTTCATTTTTTTTCCAGAAATAAAATAAAACTATATGTGCTATATTTTGATTAAGTTTCATTTATTAATTGTTTAGTAAAGATTATTCACTTGAAAAATATAAGTATAATTCAAATTTGTTTGTTACAAAAGTTTTTAATATAGATTTTATTATTTCTATCTGTCATTACTATTTATTGTTCTTTGCAATTGTTACTATTTACAAGCATATTACGAAATCAAGCTTTGACTGTACTTGGCTGCTAACTTTTTTTTCTATTTTTAAATGAAGAAAAATATATTTCCTATAGAAAATTGTTTTTATTTTATTTGAAAAAAAATAAATTTTAAAAAGACTCAAAGAAGCTGGTTACTTTAATTTACTTTGAGTTTGTAGTTTTCTGGAACTTGTTTCTAAGGTCTTCAACCTTACTGACGAAGTCTCTGTCAATATCCTTGTCTTCCAAGATATCCAAAAGCATGCAAACACACTCAAACTTTTCCAAAGTAGAATAAGTTCTCTTGAAAGGAACTGCTGATTCCACTTCAGCAATTTCTTCATTGCTGTTGTTGTTAGCTGCATTGTCATCTGCGTCATACTCTTCCATAACAATGTCAGCAATCTCATTCTCATTGATCACTCTATGAGTGCATTGTCTCTCATAGAGTGGATCTGATTTGCTGGTTGGATAATCTTCAAGAGACAGAAGACCTGATCTGGCAATCTTGTCTAGGGCTTCTTCCAAACCCTCGACCAGAACCTTTTCAGCCAGACTTTGCTGAATCATAGCCTGGTTTACATCTATAAATTATATTTAGAATATTAAGAAAGTGGAATTGAAAGATTATAGTACTATTATAACCAATAAATTGTTTTACTAATATCTTCACTATCTTTGTCTTCAATGAAGCGAAATATTGTTGCATTCCAGCAGTTCTCAATAGTCTTTGCTGAGACAGATTCCCAAGCCTCTCTTATCTATTTCATGGCCCACAATTAATCAATTTCAAAGATTTTATTAATGGCCCAAATCTTATCTTGTTGGTCATTTTGAATCATGCCAATATACTGATATGCCTTGGCATACTGTTTATGCTTGAAATAAGCCTTAAAAGCCCAAATGATACCACCATCCAATGGCAGAAGGTAGGACGTGGTGTTTGGAGGCAGAAAAAGAAGCTCAACATTTGTAGGCGTATAATCTACTATATGGCCAGAGAAATTATTGAGGATCAAAAACACTTTGCAGTTTTGTGCTTTCATTATATGATTAAAGCGACGGAGAAAAACATAGAAGATGGATTGTGTCATCCAGACATTACTGTTGTACTGATACATAGAAAATCCATGATCTACTGCCTCTTGTTTTTTGTTGTTTTTGTTAAAACAGTTTGGTCTTCTTTGCGACCAATCATCAATATGTCAGACCACTTGTCTGTTCCATTGGCATTGCACAAAAGGCCTACTGTAAGCCGCTTCTTATTTTCCTTCCAACCTGACAATTTCTGGCAGGAAATCGTTGTTCTTGGTGGGGTGGCATAGAAAAGTGCTGTTTCATCAAAGTTATAGATGTCACAAGCACTATAAGTCTATATCTTCTCTTTGATAGCAGCCTTGTCAATCTGAAGTGACTCTATGTCTGTTGAACCAGCCTTACCATGAATTCGATTCATCTTGATACAATGACACTTTCCAAACTTCTCCATTCAGCCTTGAGAAGAATTAAAATCTTTAATGTCTATTCTTTCAGCAAAAATAATAGCTTTAGTCTTAATCAATTCCCAAGTGATAGGAATCTGATTATTTTCAGCAATGTTGATCCAAAGGATCACTGCTTCTTCGATTTGCTATAGTTATGTGACAATATAATAAGGTTAATTTTATTTTTTATATAGAGCAAAAATGCATAATGTTGAGATATATTACATACAGGCCATTGTCCCTTTATAACACACTTTCTGTTCTTTACATCGGCTTGCATTATCAAGACTTGGTCTCCTCTCTTCAAAATCTTCGAGATTGTAGAAGCATCAGGAGCTTTCTGAAAGCCAAAGGTTTTCTTTGCCCACTCAGCCAATTGAGGGTTACTTATAGAAGGCTTTTTCTTTTTCATATCGCAAATCTCAAGATGATTTGCAATATTAAGCAAAATGTTTTTTTTGCTCATATTTATTGTTTAGTTCTGAATTTGATAGATTTCATTAAAGTATCAAAAAAATTGAAAATGATATTAGATAAGCATTATATAATAAGCTAAAAGCATACCAAGAAGATGTTATTATTTGATTGAATAAGAATTTGAAACAATAATTGGTTACAAGACAGAGGGGGTAGAAAACAGCAATGCAGCCAGGGGTTATATTTAAATAATGAATTTAAACAGAGGATTAAAGCATATCAAATCATTACTTGATATATTTTTCTCTATTAAAGAATATTGTAAACTGCGCCAATAGTTAGTGGGAAATATATACTCCGAACTCATTAATTTCACTCTTCAATAATTTTAAGGCACCTGGCCTTCCCTAGACCTTGAAATTATCGAGGGACCACTGTATGTATTTACATATTTAAATTAGATAAAGCAAATGTATACTTTAATGGAACTCACTCCTGTGCTAAGCTTTAAGCATACTCAAATCTACATTATCCGTGTGACACATGAGTTTGCTTTTACTCTTTTATTGTACCGGTATGCCTTTCCATGTTGCTTATTTTCCATAGAGACAGTTTGGAGAATGTCAAAAGGCAACATTGCTTGTATCATCAATGGCTTCTTAGTGATATTTTTTGATAAGTTTAAATATGGACTTGAATTTGACACTTGACAATTTTCTGCAGAGAATTGCAAAAAATTTGCTGAAGCAACTTATGAGAAATGTAAATATAAACACTTCAATACTCTTGTACAATATTTTTTGTTATTATTTTTTTTAAAATATCTAATATAAGCCTAATTAATAAATGTATATTTTTTCTTAGCTTGGATCTACAAGCATATAGTCAGTTTTGTAGATGGAACAATGCAAAACATTTGTCGTCCACAAGAGAAAGCAGACTAAAAGATTATATATAATAGATGGAAAGTGAGTTGCTTGTTGGATATTTAATTAAATTATGCATCTGTGTAGTAAAATATTTGTATGTTTTTGTATTCATCTTGTGATTTGAACAGCACATCCATTGTCTTAAGTATCAGGTAATTGTGACACCTGATAGTATCACCAGTAGCCTCCTTGGTCCTTTCACTGGGTCCACTCATAATGTAAGAATGTTTGATAAGTCCAGAACATTGGATTGTCTCATCTTGCATCTGAGTACTTTAACTCCAGAAAGAAATAGTGGTTTACACTATGTAATTTATGGTGACCAAGCATATTGAAAATCACTATATATTTATAGAGAATTTACAGTATATGAGATAAAAGAGTATTATGAGTTATTTGATATAATGCTTTTATACTTTTGATTTACAACTTTCTACTACTATGTTATATATAGCTTTTTTAAAAGAAGTTAACAGGAAGATGTCATGAACAACAGTACAGGTCGAGATGGAGTTCAGGAAGGTATCAAAGTACTTTAAATACTGCATATATCATTTAGTCTTTCGCAATTGAAAGAGGTACAAAGCCAGCAATAATATACATTTTATCAACTCTTTTCAAGAATATGCATACGTGTATAAATGGTTTAGCAACCACAGCAATTTTTGGGCTGCCACCACCAAAAATTAAGGAGTACATTACCAGACTCATGCGTGAACAACAACCAAGAGACACAATCAATAAGATGAATACTATTTTGGACAATTTGCCTAACTTAGTTCAGTCTTAGGGCTATATAAATAAAAAATAATATTTATAAACCTGTCAAATCTTATATATTAAATTTTATTACAGTATTTTTGACGTATTATTATCAACAAAAACTTTTTTACAAGCTGTTATAGAAGAATCAAGCACTTGTCAAAAAAAGCCTCTTGCTTTTCCATGTGCTGGGCTTGTTTTTCAAGATGGTGATCTTGCTTCTTCAGAAGAGATAAGATCTTTCTGTTGATGATGGCCTCAGAGTAAACATCATCACTGTTTTCAAACAGCACATCACTGCTGTCATCATATCTCTTGACTCTCTCATCTTCTCTCTCATCTTCCTCATTTCCAGTCAAGATTTCAGCAACAGTTTGTTGCCCAGAAGAAGAACCATTTGTGTTGAGCATCTCTGGTTCTGAGTGACTATATAATGCTATGTGCATTATTTCATCTTCTTTATTCTTGCCCAATATTGTCTTTGCAAAATCTGATGCTTTCTTCAGAATTTTTCCTTCTTTAAATTTATCTTTCTTTAAATATAAGTATTAAGTTAATAACTATTTTATTGTTTTCTATTTTATATATATGAAGTACTTACTTTTTGCATTGCCTTGTATGTAGCCCTTCCAAGTGTGGTTTGCAATATGGAATCTAACTTTGTCCATCTTTTGTTATGAGATAAACTCATAAATTCCTGGTACTATCTGAACATTTATTCTTTTTGTTTCTGATACATGACTTCATTAATTTCTTTGGGCTTTTATTATCCACGGCATTGACAGCACTTATGATTTTGTTCCATGTCTGTGTTCTATTTCTATATAGCTGAGAATAGGGATGGAACTTATGATAAGTCTGCAGCAATGCAAGCTTTCTTTCATTATTTCATTTTTCTTGAGGTGAAGCTTTCATTAGCACATAATTAGCAATAGTTACAGTAAGTTTTATGAAAACCTCTCAGATTTGATGATGTTATTCTTTACAAAATTATATATCATGAAAATGCTATTATCTTTCTTTTTGATAGCACTGGAATTAATAGAAGATGTATTGCGATTCATAGCTAGATAAGTATAAAGTTTATGTTAAACGTTTTCAAAAGAGATATAGTTAAGAGTATAAGAAGAGTTGATATGTGACAAAATAAGATTAAAGGAAGATTAAAATATATATTTATTAATGTTTTTATGTCTTTTATATTAGCAAGCTATATATCATGTATTACTATCAATAAAATAGTAAGAGTAATATAATAATATACTTAAAAGACTGAACTAAATTCTGACAAAAAAGTACTTATTGAGAGGACTAAAACTGATAAATCATATCAAATATATACCTTTTTCTTTAAATAAACTTGTTTTTTAAAGATCAAATAAATTAATTACATATACAATAGACGCCCCTGGCTACCCTATCTATTGATTTGAGAGTAAAAGAATAGACTTAATTTTGAGAAAATAATTAATGGAAAATGTTAGTGGAAAATTAGGAAATTCATAATTTTCCACATACATTTTTCATTAAATTGTGTCAACCAAGAAAAACGAATAACAATCATTGGAAATTAAATCGCCATCTCAATTGAAAATGGATAAAATATTCAATTTTCTACTAGATAACATCCTTTCTATTACCAATTTATGAATTTTTTTATTTCATTCTTACCAATAAAAACTTTTTTATATTTTTTTCTATCAATCAAAATAAGGTTATAGCATATGGATAAATATAATAGAATATATTTTTTTTTGTTTATAGGGAGACATAGTCTCAAAGTTTATTAATTGAATATTATTGGGATAGTCACAAACTGTGTTTTTGGGGTTTTATATTGTGAGGGCAAAGGTAGCGACATATTTTTATATTTTTTTTTTGGTTTTTTTTTGTTTTAAAATAATTTAAATTTTTTTGTTATGGTTTTTTTTAGGGTTTTATGGAGAAGTCAGGTGAAAACAAGTAAGAAGTGAAGCAAGGTTCGAGACTAGAGGGAAAGAGAGGTGCAGAAAAGTAGTCAATCAAGCGAGATAAAAGGGAGAGGTGCGTGGGGGATGTCAGAGCAGAGAAAAGATTCCTGCCATGCTTTGAGGAAGAGTTTGTCAATGAGAGATTCCACTTGGCTGGCACGGAAGGGGGTATCGTTGAAGATGAAAGCCCAATGTGAGCGTCAAATAGCTTCAAGGGCAGCTGCTATTGCGAACATAGCATTGGGACAAGAATTATCAGGAAGGACGAGAGAAGTGAGGGCGAGCTGGAGGGAAGGAAGAGTGACCGGAGTTTGAGACGAATTGATATATGTGGACCAGACATAATGCCATATAGGAAGTTTTAGAGGGCAGGAGAAAAAGAAATGTTCTAAAGATTCCAATGGGTCGAAGCAGATAGGACAGGCAGGGGAAGGGTTGGATGCAGGAATGAAACGATGAAGGAGTGACTTGTGCGGAATTTTCTGGTGAAGGTAAAAATACCAAATGTTGCGACAAGTATGGGACAGGGGGAGGAGCCGGAAGCCAGACCAGTTAATGGATACTGGAGGAGGCACAGAAACGGAAGCAGAAGAGAGATGAGAGCATTGTTAGCAATACATTTTCATTGTCAGTTTGAGTCTGGAGGGATCGGAAGATCGGGGGACCAGCCCAAGAGAAAGCAGAAATGGATGCACGTTGATGAAGGTGTGATCAAATATTGCGGTGGGAGAAGGGCTGATGAAAGTTCCACTAGAGGGAGCTGTAAAGGCGTGTGTAAAGAAAGAGGACATGGTAGTATCAGGGTCACTGACAAGAGCTTGGACATTATGTGACAATGTCGGGTAAACAATGCATTCCTGTCTATGTTTAGGACGCAAACAGTGAAAGTGGTGGAGATCGTAGGTGTATGCAACAGAGATAGGGAGGTCAGCAATTGATTGTGGAAGTGTAGCAGGTGGTGTGGGAGTGATTATGTAAGAAATTGGGATCTCCAAACAAGTAGCCGTAGTGGCTATTACACCCACAAATGTATGTGGCAATTGTTCCAAGGCATGAAGGAGTAGGGACAGGGAGCTTTGTCCAGTTAGGAGTATGAGAGGACAACGTCGTGGGAACAAGAAGAGCAACCAGTGATCCAGATCTTTGGGGTCATGGCCGTAGCCATTGCTGTGATGTTGGAGATGGTGTTGTAAAAAGGAAAGCAGACAGGGAAGGATAATGGAACGTGAAAAGGGCCAACGAGACCATATTTGCAGTGAAGAAGTCGAGAGGATGGGACCAAGCCAACGCAATTGTAGAGCACCTTGTTGCAATTCTGGATTCAGCAGACCAAGTCCGCCCTGAGAGCGTGGCAAGCAAGCTGTAGCAAAGCTGATCCAGGGGAAAATGCGAAAATTAATGAATTGGGATATAATGGATTGAACGGATTTGAAGAAGGATTTAGGTGTTGATACCACGCGAAGCACATGCCAGAGACGACTGAGAATCAGGGAGTTGAGAACAGTAGAGCAACCTCAAACCAACAGTCCACACCGTTGATGCGTTTGGCACCCAAGTTTTATTTGTTCTAAAAGATCGTTCAGGAAGAGATCGTGTTGTGGTAAAGAGGAGAACAGTGGGAAGCCAAGATATTGGACGGGGGCAGGAGAGTTGCAGTCATGCCAACTGGATATATTATGCTCAGCTAAAGCAGGGAGCCAGATCGATTGATATATAGATGATGATTCTGAGAGAGAGATAGCTTCGGTTTTGTGGAAATTCACCAGTGTGTTGGAGGCTCGAGAATAGGTGTACAGATGGTGATGTAACCAGGACAGCTCAGTGGGAGAATTGAGAAGACATATAACATCGTCAGCATAGGCTAGAAGTTTAATGTCAGTTGAGGTGGCAGAAGCAGTGGCTACAGAAGGGCGTGGCAAATGAAAACCTTCAAGTTGCACGTCCAGAAGGATGTTCCGAAGAAGTGGTTCGAAGGCCAGATTAAAAAGGATAGGGCTAAGGGGATCACCCTGTTTGAGGTCATGGTATTGTGGGATGGTGTCAGTGAGGAATCCGTTGACGTTGATGTGCAGTTCAGTGCCAAAGAAGAGACTATCAATGCATTGGATCAGGGAGGCTGGATAACTGAAGCAGGTAAGAACAGCACAAAGATAAGATGGGTGAACACGATCATATGCTTTTTCCTGATCTAGGAGAAGGCCAATACTGGAGGATTGGGTGTTGTGAGCATGTTCAAGAATGAGCTTCATCAACAAGCCATTGTCAGCAATGAACCTGCCACAAAGAAAACCAGTTTGATACGAAGTGATGATGACTGCTGCAGTACTGAGCATGCGAGCACTTAAAATGCAAGTGAAGACTTTTGCAGCTGTGTTGATGAGTGAGATTGGGTGCCAATTTTTCAGGGAATTGAGTGGAGGTTTTTTGGGCAGAAGCGAAATGCACGAGTGTAACCAAGAGGGAGGAATATCAGACAAAGAGAGAGCATTATTGTAGACTTCAACCGCAATATCACAACAAGCCAGATCTGTAACCACCAGTCAAACCAGTTCGTATGGGAGACTATCCATGCCAGGAGAGGATTTTTGAGGGGATCGCGAAAAAGCATCCAGCAAATCGTTGTACATAATGGGTGCAACCAGAGATTCTGCTGTAGACGAGAAGATGTGGAGGTGTGTGGGAAGGACGTTCAACAGGTTGTCAATTGCAGCCTGGTCAACATCATCAGGTGAGTAAAGATCAGAATAAAATTGAGTGGTAGTCTCTAGCATTTCTTCTTGAGATGTGCAGATAGAAGAGGTTGCTGGATTCCACAGAGGAGGGATCAATTTTCGAGAGGCCCGAGAAGCAATAGATTGTTTCAGATATCCAGGTGAGGATTCTCTGAGTTCACGCCACCATAGACCAGAACGTAGTGCCAGGTTTTCCACATGGTATTGCTGCAGTTGTGAGAGTTGGTGCTCAACAACGAGCAATTGCGGAGAGAGGACAGGTAAAAGTGAAGGATCAGTCACTAGCTTTTTGGTGATACCCGCATGTTTTCGATGAAGAAGATCTTCTGCACGAGAGAGAGTAAAGGCACGATGTCAACTAAATGTTCTGGCTACTTTTGCAGTAGTAGCCTTAAGTGCTTCCCATTTGGTGGCATGGGATAGTCCTGGAGCAAAGTTGTGAACGCAACTATGTAGAGATTGGGTGAGGCGTGTACAAAAGAGACAATTATTTGCCAACCAAGGGTGGGAACGCCACAACCCTTTTCCAACCGCATTGACCAACGAGGAAGCATGCGTGGCTGGGGATAATCGTAATTGAGCAGACAGTAGAAAATGATCAGACCAAGCTGGTTGGACATAAGTAGTTCTACTGTGGTCAAAGTGGATGGAAGAAGCCATATCAGAGGAGACAAACAGATAATCAATACATGATTGGGATAGTCCTCGATGGAAAGTCGAATTGGAAATCTGTCCGGGTGGGGTGATCCCATCAGTAAAGAACTCATTGATGTACTTGAGCCAGTTGTGAGGCGCCTGCCGAACCCTTGGGGAAGCAGGAGAATAAGTGTAGTTGAAATCACGCAATATGACCGTATGGCATGGAGAGGAAAGGAAATATGGATGGAAGTTGAGTGCAGAGAGAGGACAAGAAGGAGAATTTGTCTTGTCTATTGGGAGGAACATAGATAACTGTAATTACAAAAGGATCAAATCGATTAGTCACATGAGAGACAGTGCTGGAAATAATGCAGCCACAAGGACTAGTAAACGAGTTGCTAAGAATGATATCAGAGGAGAATGAGATGAGGCCGCAGTGGACGGACCAGAAGCTAGTTTTGGCCTGAAATTGGGAGTGAAAGGTGTCTTGCAATGTTGAGGTTGCATGCGTTTCTTGAAGTGCAAGCAGATCTAGGGAGCGAGTTAGTAGGTATCGAATAAACTGGTTACAAGAAGAAATATCTGCTGTTTTGGCTAGACCGCAACAGTTGATAGTGCCAATGTTCAGTTTGCATGAGAAGAAGGGTAGAGAGGAAGCCAAAGATAGATAGTCAGAGATTGTAGAAGCAGTATGGGTAGGAGAAATATTAGTATTAGGTTGTACTAAATTCATCAAATTAATTATTGGGGCGATCCAAGAGGATCTGCACGCTCATTTGCAGAAAGAGGGTCGTTGTCATTGGAATCGTCAAAGTCTGTCTCCATATCATTGGAAGTAGTCTCCTTCTGAATATATCAGGGGTTTTTTAGGCAAGCATTGTGGTTGGAGCACTGATGGCCGAGTAGACCACAGTATTGACAAGGCAAAGGTAACTTGTGTTCCTTGATGGGGTTAGGATTGTTCAGAGCATTAGGTACTACAAGAGAGGCCTGAGAGCGTGTCACAGATCGCTCTAGAGAACCTTGAATGCATTTGACACGGCCTGTAGTTGTCGGAACATTGGTGGAAGAGGATGAGGGAAGAGGAGGCACAACGATAGAAGAAGAGGGTGTTGAGGGTTGAGGTGTCTCTTGTACGACCAGAATCTTACGGCGTTTCTGTGAGGTTACAGAAGATTCATTCTTGCAGGGACAGGACTTGGCTATGTGACCTCCAGCGTTGCATAGGCAACACATGGTAGCTTTTTTGAGTAAATCGCAATTGATCAGGGCGTGTTTATCCGAGTGACAGTATCGGCAGAAAGGAGGCATGGCAGCCCATGTTACGAAAATACTGACATGGTCAAAGTCAGAGGAGAGGGTACCAGTATCCGAGGAGTAGTCGAGAGGCTGGTAAGACCAGTTCAGTGAATGGGAGAGTTTTACAGAGGAGTGGGTGGAATTAGGTGGGGATAGCACTAGAACGGCATAGCCACTGCCGGCGTACAGGCCACTGCTACCAGTGACATAGCCACAGTCAACAATCGCGTCAAATTGGCTGAAGTTGTTGGTCATATCAGCATGGAGCTGAGCCAGTCTGCCATCTTGATGGCCATACTGGTAAGGCAGTCTGGAAAGAGAGATTTTCAAGATCTCGGCAGAGAGGGGTAGGGTGGGATAGACAGTAAATGGCACGTCGAAGGAGGGAAGAATGAGGACAGGATCATTCTTAAATCAGTTGTAGTACAGAGGAGAGACTACAATTTCTGCGTACAGACGATTGTATTTGCAGCAAATTTGATCGGTACCAGCCCACAAATGTTTGTTGCCATTGAAAAAAGTCTGTAAATCAGAGAGGAACAAAGGCTTTTGTGCGACTGTAAGTGCAGTGATGTCGATGACAACTGAATGGTTGGTGGTGCCTTTCAGGAACGGCCGCATTACTTGTGAGAAAAAGTTGTCCACTAGAGGAGGAAGTTCGGCACTTGGGGTAAGGTTTCCAGGTTCACCATTGGCCAGGGTGTTGAGTGTACGTTGTGTAGGACCTGCGATAAGACTGGAGATCTTGGTGGATCCTCCTAGTACTGTATGTGCCCATGATTTTTTTGCTTGTTAAAAGTTGGTCAGGACTTTAATAGTCCCGTTTGGAGAATTAGCGGGAAGAGCCATGAATATAATAGGATATAAATAAAACCTAAAATCAATAAGTCAGTGGGAATTAAAATATATTACTTAAAAGGAAACTGGAGATTTCACTGCAATTCGCAAAAATTGCCAGCTCAATCCCAAGCTGAATCTTCAGCTGAATCCCAGCAGAATCCTCACTTTTTTCTCATAGTGTCATGAAAGTAGTTATGCTTGTAAAGAAAATATATAAAAATAATGTTAATTCCAAGTTGATTTGTTCAGTTAAATGTAGCAAGAAAATAAGATAAAATCTGTAATTACGTGAAGTTATCTTTAACAGAATGATACTTTTTTGTTGTACTTATTAATGTTTTGTTCTATGAATAGATAAATCAATTTTTATTCAGTCTTGGCCACCGTCAGAAAATAGAAAAAAAAATCTAGAATTACAAAGAATTCTGCAATGTTACTACACTGCCAGACAACCAAAATTTTGCTGAGAGCCAACCATTCTTACAACACCCCATGTCATGTGTAATGGGCGTTTTGATATAATAAGATATTTTTGCACTTTCACTTCCAGGGTCAGGATTCAAACCTTGGCCACTATGGCTATAAGAGTGGCAACTGTTCCCAAAACAAACACATAACTGCTATTTTTCTGATCAAAAGCCAATAATTTCTCTGTAGTTTTTGGTAAGATGGCAATGTCATTAGAAACATTTTAAAAAAGTAGCATGAAATCTGTTTTTTGTGTTGCTATACGATGTCTCAAATAGTCTAGAAAGTGGTTGTAAGTTGTAATGACTACTTTAAGTATTAAAGTATACACTTTATTTAATATTAAGAATGTTAAGTTTTATTTGGATTAATGTTTTATGAAATGTATGAACAAAATGAAAACATAACTGCTATTATTATTATTTTAAACCAAGATTTTTTTTAAAAAAGATATATCTCTCTTTTTGCTCACTTAACAATTTTATTTTAATTTTAAGTTGCATAATGACATGTGGAACATGTAGAGAATAAAAAAACATAAGATATATAGCAAATAAAAAAAGATAGAGCATATAGAGAAATAAAAAATAGAAAACATAGAGTATAAAGGAAATAAAAAAACAACGTATATAGAAAATAAAAATAATAATATAGAATACACGGGAGATATAGAAAGCATAAAAAATATAAGGTATATAGAACATGTAAAAAATAAAAAATAAAAAAGTTATAAAATAGAAAGGTTGCCCTTTGTAATGTACATATTATTGTTGAAAACATAATAAGATGCAATTATGTAGAACTGATTTCCATTTGGTGGGTATTATATAAGGCCAACTTGATAAAATATATCATCAACACTTATTACTGCATATGTGGGTTGTGTTTGGCTATCTGTTGAGTTGTTTTGTGACCGCTGTTTGACAATTGGTACAGATGAGTTGTGTGCAGCCACGTCATGTTTTTTCATTACTTCAATAAAAGCAAGGAAACGAAGAGAGCCAAGTGAATTCTCATGCTGGAAGAAGAATATTACTGCAACAACAAGTCAGCTGTAAACAATTATGTTACAGTTGCTAAAGTAAATAAATAAAAATAATGTAAGCAACTTTTGATTTTATATTGAAAAATTATATATCTACTTTCTGTAAGAACAGATAAACATCACATAATAATTACCATGATCTCTTTCATTTCTACTTTGTCAATACATGCAAGATGAATATACAGTCGAATTCATCCATAAACAACCAGCAATAACAATTGTAAAATCACCTATGTCAAAAATCATAAAACTTGATGTTTGTTGATAGTATCTAGTTAAGGAATTCTTCACACTAGGGCTGCTTACATCTTCCACTAAATCATCGTTCAAATGAGCAAATCAATGAAATGACTCCCACAACTGTGCACCACTAGAATCATTAGGAAGATGTATATAACTTTCTCTATCATATGGCTTGGGCTGAATAAGGTCAATTTCGTTCTGGATACGGATGGCTATTTTGACATGGTTATACAATGTAAATTGCTCCACAAGAAAACTGGAATTACAGCAGCCCTTGCACTTAGACTTGATCAGCTTGGAAAAGACACCAATTACTCTCTCTATTGATTGAGTGGAGTAGCATCGAAGTGGACCTAGTTGCTCGATAATAAATGATATATTTACAAAATAGTGCTGCACTGGTCTGAAGATACTACGAGATATAGTCTTGTTCTGAACTTGTTACAATAGATAGTGGTGCCAGTATTTAAAATGTTTATTTTTGTTATTATTATTATTTTAAAGAAAAAAACTGTAATTAGTTTTGTATATAGTGATATAGTGTTAGAGGCATTATGACTTACACATCCATGCCATCTAGCAACTCCGAAGTCAACGTCTATTGCAATGCTAGTGCACAACCTTTGACAAGTGACAGCACCACAGTTTTCACAGTCCTGTTTGGTAAGAATGGAACAACAAGAGTGGGAACAATGTACAGAAGAAAGTCAAGCCAATCAACTGCATGAGTATCATCAATCTTGAAAAAGATATTATCAAAACTGCCTTGGAATGATACTAGTATATATGGTCTTGAACTTGTGATACAGTTGTCAATTGTCATAAGACTAGTTCTTGGTATGAAGAATGGGTATTCTGTGGTAGAGATAATATCATCCAGATGGGTATAAAAAAATTTGTTTCCTTGATAAAGAACACAGTGATCACATTGTAAATATGCTTTTCAATTCCTCTTGCAACTAAATAAAGTTCATCCAGTGCAAAGAAGGAAGATCTGGAGAAGGTTGACAGCTCACTAAAGATGCTTTATTGGTATATTTTTTTTATCTATTACAAGCAGTTATTTAGTACAAGAAATAATCTAATTAAACTGTTATATACTTACAGGATTGCTGGTTTTGAAGTCTTCCAAAGGTTGCAAAAGAGCAGAACTATCTTCAAAGTACATTCCGTGCCATCTGTTGTCTGGGGCTTTTCCCTTTGTTTTGCAGATTCAGCAACCAAACAAACTGGCATGTGAGTCAATGTGTGCCATGTCAGTCACAGCTGGTATGTCACCAGAAGCAAGCAACAAGTTGATCTTGGCATAGCAAACCTCAACTCCATTGTTCTTGATCACCAAGCCATGCACCTCAAGATCTTTTATTTCACTGATGATTGGCATCACGAAAGAGTCTAAGTGGGTAGGCTTCTTGGGACCAGGCAAGATTGCTAGCTGCAAGAGGTATTCATTTGTGTATCTAAGCTTTTTATTAGTAGCTTTTTTTGAAATTAATATATTAATTGATTTATTATCTTATTGATGTGTCAAGATTGAATACAACAGCATGAACAATGGTGTACAAACTCTTGCCCTTTTTTTGGTTAACGAAACCATTAGTATACAACCCAATGGCCATATCATTGGGATTTGAGAACAGGCCTTGCTGCACCAACTGCTTGTAACTGTTACCATCGAAAACATTGGTGAACTGACCAGCTACAGATTCCTGGTTTGCCCTGTAACGGAGGAGTTATCTTGTAGCTGTATCAGCCAGCATTTGAGAAAACATATCACTGAATGACATGAGCTTCATACTGACAGATAGTATTTGACTTTGCTCAGGATCAGTCTTGTATTGCAGTTTGCCATAGTCAACACAAGATTCTTGATTTTCATTAATTTCATACAATTGGTAATCACTAGGACAGGCATTATACTCATGGCCCTTGACACTTGACTTGGACTTGAGCAAAGCATCAACAATTTTGCTGTGACTGATCTTAGCCGCAGGTCTAAAAAAAAAGGAATGACATTACTACGTGTTAGAAATTTGGAATTAAAGTATAAGATAATATAAATATTCACTACGGTGGAGAAAATAGTAAAATGTTACCACTTTGGTAACATAACTGCCATTTTTTACTTAATAAAAAATGGCAGTTATGACTCTGTATAAGACCAAAACAGGCACTGTTACCATTTTTTACATAGTAAAAAATGGCAGTTATTTATTATGTAAAAAGCCAAAACAAGCACTGTTACCATTTTTTTCATAATAAAAAATGGCAGTTATTTATTATGTAAAAAGCCAAAACAGGCACTGTTACCATTTTTCAAAAAAAAAATCAAGCGTCCTTCCTTTCCTCTATTACATTCTTTCTTTTGTTCTATTGCTTTCAATTCTAGCACAACCTCTTGTTTTTCCTTTGCAGCTTTAACAGAATGGTCTGTTTTTTATTATACAATATTGAATCGGGTTTAATTGAATTGAATCTTTATTTCAATACATGTTTTATTAAATGAAAATGATAATAATAATAGTAATAATGAAAAAACAATTCCATCGGCCACTCGCAATAAAAAATGGTTCTGTTTAGCTACTGCAAAACGTATGCAGTAAAACACTACTATTCAAATTGTATTTCATATACTTTGGGTATTCTAATATATCTTAGATAGCACTTATTATTTTTTACCGATTTCTACAAATATACTAATATTAGAGAAAAAACTTAAAATAAATAAATAGATATAATATTATTATAATGCTTACCTTTATATAATATGCTTACTTGTTCAGTAAAATAAGCATTTACTCTAAGAATATATATATATATTAAAGAATGTATTAATATTTAAGATCTATATATAAGAAAAGCAATAAAACATAAGCACTATAGAAAGTCGTTATCATAGAAGAAGAAAAACTTGAGCAAAGATTCAAGTCATGTAACATGAAGCTAATTCGAATCTGATTCATACAACTGGAATGAGCATCTTGTTAGAAAGCTTAACGTGTTTATTCTACTCAATATACTTACATATAATAGAACGACTCCCAAGTATAATATATCAGTACAAAAATATTACTATTAATTTTTTTCCCAAAAAAAAGGCTATATACTATTTCCTTTTATATTTGAATGTAGCGGAATTGTAGATGCTGTACATTAGCTTCAAATTCTTGTAATCACAACATTAGCAATCATATGAAAGAGGTCGATAAATTTTTTATATGAAAGAAAAAAGGAATAAAAAACATAAAAAGAAAAATGACGAGATAAGAAAAAAAATTCACTAAAGACAGACTAAAAAAATCAAACTCAGCCAATCACAGCAGCCAAACTACGATCTTCGGCTTCTCTTGCGAGCAGGCTCGACACTTGCTGTGGGTGGAGGAGACCTACATAAAAGAGTAAGAAGTTTATATTAGCTTTGTATTAACAGTGCATGAGAAAAAGCAGCAATGGTAACTTACAGCACATCTGCCATTATGGGCGACTCAACATCACCAGTTTCTGACATATCAGGAGAAGAAAGCGAAGAATCACTTATGTCTCGCTGTGTCTATAGCATAATAAAAGGAAACGATGTTAATTAAAGTTTACAATATATAGATTTGTTAATTGATAAACTTACTTTGTTCTTCTCTGCCATTCTTCTCTTGTGCGTCTGGTTGTCGCTCTTGAAGCTTTCCCAAAGAAGGCTTCTTGCACACCACATTCTTTTATATTGGTGGATGTGCAATCCACCATTCTTCGCCAACCTCTCCAAATGCATCATGTAGTATTCCCTGTTTTTCTCTGGGATATTCTTCCATTCTTTTGAGGCCGCAGAATAGTCTTTGTCAATGATATCATGCTTTACCGTACGGCCTAATGTTTTGAGATGCAGTCTTTTTACTGTCAAATCATGGTCTGAAAGAGGGACTAATGGGGGCAAAGGCTGCCCTTGTGGAACTTCTTTGCAGCGCGCCTTCCAGTCCTGCTCGTGAAGAATCTGAAGCAACAGATTGTATTTTTGTGCTTCGTTTTTTCCTTTGAACTCACCGCCAGTATTGATTACTTGCTTACCGAGCTGATCAGGGTACTCTGTGAGCTAGGCTCTTTTCACAGACTCGGCAATGCACTCAAGAGCTACAAAAAATGTATGACAATATTAATAAAGTAAATAAACATCTAAGCACAGAATATATATGACTTACAACTCTGCTCAATAATGCTTTGTTGCATTGTAGTTAGATCTTCTGCACTGACTGCTGGTGCAAATTGATTGCTGAATTGCCTTTGAAGCTCGCGCAATGCTTGCTTGATTTCAGCAAGATCAACCTCAATCTTTTGAATTGAGTTGAGGAGAGTTGTGTTAATATCGGACATGTTTAAGTTTTTTTTTAGCTATAAGCAGTGAGTTGAAAAGAAAAGGTGATAGTTTAGACAAGTAGAATAAGAGCAATTTGAGTTTGAGAAAGGCAACGATTTATCACAAGCAATTGATAGCTATTTATATGAAAAAGATACAGACAGATGTACAAACAAAACATATAGAAGAAGGGATGCTTATGCACTTGTATGCACCTGTCTGCACCTGTCTACAGTAGCTCATGTGAACAAGATACAGTCTTTTTGTGTCGACACAACAAAACTGTAAGAAATATAAAGATAAAATGAATTAGACTTTAAATCAATATTATATGTATAAATGTTCATACTTTGCACCGTCTACATATTAAACGTTTTAAAGTATATGATATAATAATATAACTCTATACATATTGCAGATATAGCATGAAATTTGATTAAAGTTCTCAATGACAAAACCCTGTACCAGTTAAAATTATAACTTTAAATATACTCTACAGTAGCTATATAACATCTGAGCATCATATAGTTAATTAGCCCCTTTTTATCAACATTAAAGTAAATGTTATGATACTCAAGTTCATATCATACTTATTATCATTATCGACTAAAACTTTTGATTGATGCTGTCATCAAAGGTAAAAATAATTTTAACTGTCATTACTATTATTTACCAAGGGGCATTTTTGACTGAAACCGTACATTTTTGAAAAAGGTGTGCTTTAACTCACATCGGCACTTTCAATTAACACCCCTTTCGATCAGTAGTGCTTATCTTGATGATGTCAGTAAAAGAGTATCAGACTATAGCCCTCATTATCTATATCTATTTCTTTAAGTTTTATACATAAACAAGAAAATAATGCTATTAGCTAAATATATATTCACTATCTCAAAAATATTATTAGTACAACACAGATAATATAAATATGTCTTTTCTACCAATGTGTTTAGACAGTACTACTTTTTTTTAACTGTTAATTATTAGAAGGCTGTTTTTCTTTGCCTTTGGTATTAGAGAGTAATTGATAATTTATTTAAAAAAAAACATAAATTATTTGGTCATTAATTATCCTAAATATACATATACCTCTTTATAAAGCCCAAAGAATATCTAATCGCTCATAAGTAAAGAGTATGTGTCTGTTTCACCGGTGCTCTTTTAATGGTGCCCCCTTGTCAACCAAGAAGTATTTTAACTTACATCATAATTATTAATGAAGAAGAATCTTTCCAACCACGGGAATTATTTACTGACAGGTGTTTCACCTAGCATTGACATTACTGTAATCATTGCTATATCATCATTATGAGAGAGAAAAAGAAAAAGAGCCGCAAGCATTTTGGTTAAAAAATAAAGAGTATATAAAGATGTCTTTTACATTTAATAAATAGCACCAAAATCCTCTTCGCAGCTTTATTTTATATATTACATACGTACCAACCCAACCAATATGTCTTCTTCCAACGCCAGCCAGCAGAGAGATAGAATATCTACACAGCAATACCAATGTGATCAATGTGTCTTGTTTTTTGATAACTACCAGAAGCTGCAAAACCACAAGAGAATTCACAGAGGAGATTCAGCAACAATGACTGAAATTGACCAGTCTATTCTGGATGATGTTGACATGTACCATGACGAAAATGATACTAGTAATGAAGATGAATCTGTTAGCAATTCAGGTAATGAAAAGAGCTGTAATTGTATTATTTATTTTCCAATTACTAAATAATGTATTACAGAATATACTATGGAGTCTATGGAGCTTGATAATACTATTTCATATAAGTGCGCATGTAATTTTGAGGGCAGTGAGGGTGAAGCTCACATTTACGACAGCAGCCAAATCAGTACAAATACTTTTACCAAGGCCGAGTTGATGAGTATTCATCTGTCTCAATTGATGCTACAACATAGAATTGCTAGAGCAGCATATAGAGACATTGTTCAATTTATAAACACTGTCATCCGAGACCATGACGATATAATGATGGGTAAAATATTATATTTTCTGTTACCTTGTACTTTAATTCCAGATCACTAACATGTAGTGATATCGTTTTTTTTTAGAACCTGGGGCTAAGATCAGTCATGGCGAAACTGTTGATGCTTTGCTCAAGTCAAAGTCAAGTGTCAAGGGCCATGAGTATGATGTCTGCTCTAGTGGTTGTCGATTGTATGGCATTAATGACGACCAGGAATCTTGTGTTGACTGCGGTAAACCGCAATACAAGACTGATCCCGATCAAAGTCAGACACCAGCCGCCAGTATGAAACTTATGTCAGTTGGGGATATGCTTTCTCAAATGTTGGCAGATCCAGCCACAAGAGAACTCCTCTGTTACAGAGCAAACCGGGAATCTGTAGCTGGTCAGCTAACCAACATTTTTGATGGTGACAATTACAAGCAGTTGGTGCAGCAGAGCCTGTTCTCCAATCCCAATGATATTGCCATTGGGCTTTATACCAATGGGTTTGTCAATCAAAAGAAAGGCAAAAACTCATATACCATCATCCATTGCATAATATTCAACCTAGACCCATCCATCAGGTAATTAATTACTTTATTACTATTTATTATTATTATTATTACATTTTTTTTAAAAAAAAATTACTAATAAAATACTTAGATATACCAACAAATACCTTTTGCAACTGGCAATCTTGCCTGGCCCCAAGAAGCCAACTCATTTGGACTCCTTTCTTATACCCATCATCAATGAATTGCGAGATCTTGAGGCACATGGCTTGGTTGTCAAGCACAATGGAGTGGAGCTTTGCAGATCCAAGGTCTATCTTCTGCTTGCTTCTGGCGATATTCCAGCTGTAGCTGATATGGCCCACATTGGTTCCCATACAAGTTTATTTGGTTGCCGTTTTTGTGAGACCAAAGGCAAATGCCCTACTAACAGACGGCATGGCATGTACTTTGATGACATTTCTGCCTGGTTAAGACCTTTGGAAGACTTCAAAGTAGGCAACCCTGTAAGTATACAAATGTTCAATTAGCCATCTTTTTTTTCATACTAAATAACTGCTTGTAATAGTCCAAGAACATATATCAGCCGAGCGTATATACCCAACTCTCAACCTTCTCTGGATCATCATTTTTTGCATTAGATGAACTTCATTTAATTGCAAGAGGGATTGGAAAGCTTGTGTATGACCTGATTACCGTCACCCTCACAAAGGAAACCAAATTTTATTATACCCATTCAGACAATACCCTCAATACCACCGAATACCCTTTTCATATACAAAGAGCAGACCTTGTAACAATCGGAAACTGTATCACCAGCTCACGAAAATATATACCCACCTCATTTCAAGGCAGTTTCGACAACGTATTTGCCAAGATCGATGGTACTTGCGCAGTGGACTGGCTTGACTTTCTCTTATATCTTGTCCCCACTTTGGTCGTGCCTTATTTACCAAATAGGGCTGTCAAAACAGCTCTATTATCTCTCATGAAAGGTTGCGTGCTTGCCTTGCAATGGACGTTGACATCAGAATTGTTTGATGAGATGGAGTCGTAAGTTATTATACATCTCATATATTATCATTACAAATAGCTGACTGTTACCATTTTTTAAATATTAATAATAGATACTTCAAGCACTGGCACTCGTTTTTATACCAACAAGTCCAGAATAATACCCTGTCTCATAGTGTTTTCCAACCAGTGCAACATTACCTGGTCCATATACCCTATATCATCAAGCAGCAAGGCCCCCTGCAATGCTACTCCACTCGCTCAATGGAGAGAGTAATTGGTGTCTTCTCGAAATTGATAAAGTCCAAATCAAAGGGTGGCCGAAACGCCAGTTTTCTCGTCGAGCTATTTGTGATTCACAATTATACCAGCACGGCAATCAGCATCTGTGATGAAATCAACCTCATTCGGCCAAAGCCATATGGAAGAGAGAGCTACATGGACCTTCCTAATGATCCTAGTGGTGCGCAGTTGTGGGAGCCATTTCATCAGTTTGTTAATTTGAATGATGATTCGGTAGAAGGTGTAGGCGGCCCTAGTGTGAAGGAAGCTTTATTGAAATACTACCGGAGAACAACAGGCTTGACTGGCCACGAGTTTGGTGACTCTGTTGTTGTTGTAGCTGCACGTCTGTGGATGGACTCGACTGTATATTCCTCATGCATGTACCGAAGAAAGAAAAACGAGACCAGCTGTGGCAACCATTACGTGATGTTTACTTGCCCCTATAGAAAGTAAGTATAATATTTTTCGATATACAATCAAAAGTTGCTTACATTCTATTTATTTATTTATTTTAGCAACCGTAATGTAATTGTTCACAGCTGGCTCGTCGGTACAGTACAGTTCTACTTTCAGCATGTAGATTTCTATGGCTTCCCACACTTTCTTGCTTTCATGGAGGTCATGAAGGAACATGACGCGGCTGGTCATGACTCATCAGTACCTATCGTCAAACAACGGTCACAAAGCACCCGTACACTAGGCCACCAAACGCAACCGACTTATGCAGTTATAAGTGTAAATGACATTTGTCATCAAGTTGGTCTGGTCCAATACCCACCAAATGGAAACCAGTTTTATGTCATCGCGCCCTACTATATCTTTAACAACAACATGCGCATTACTAAAGGCAATCTTTCCATTCTGTAATCCTTTTTATTTTTATCTTATTTTTCTATATGCTCTATATCCTTATATCTTTTATATTTTTTATATCATCCTTGTATCTTATATTCTTTTTTTAATTTTCTCTATTTCTTATGTTTTTTTTTAATCTCTATATGTCCCGTCTTTCTTTTCTTCTTTATATACTCCGGTTTTTTTTCTATTCTCTATACACCTTATGCTTTTCTCTTCATTCCCTATATGCTCTATACGCCATTACGCGATTTAAATAAAATCAAATTGCCAATTCATCAAGATAAAAAGAATATCTAAAAAAAAAGAACGTAGTTTAAAAAATAAAAAAATGGCAGTTATGTTACCATTTCGTTCACACATTCCAAAAATTATTAATCTTAATAATTGTTGACATATTTGATATTCAATAAAACATATATTTCAATACTCAAAGTGGTCATTACAACTTACAAACATTTTTTACACTATTGAAAATATTGTACAGCAACAAAAAAAGTGTTTTCATGTTACTTTTTTAAATTGCTACGAATGACATTACCATCTTACAACAAACGGCGGAGATTTTATTGGGTTTCGACCAAAAAAATGGCAGTTATGTGCCTACTTTTGGCCCAACTGCCATTCATCCCGCCGTAGTGTTTGTTAAGCACTTTTTGTTAAGCACTTTGTTAAGCACTTTGTTAAGCACTTTTTGTTAAGCACTTTTTGTTAAGTACTTTTTGTTAAGCACTTTTTGTTAAGCACTTTTTGTTAAGCACTTTCACTGGAAAAATGACCTGACATACGTATGTGTAAAGGCGTAGTTACTCAGGTGTCAAGACAAGGTTTAACATTGAGTCCAGATACATATCACCATGTAACAAATTCGTCTTAGCACCATGTGCCATGACCAGCTATACACATGTGTGGGGTCAAATAAAAATGACGTGGATATAGTTCTTTAGCACTTTTGGTATGTTGATCTGACTTGGGATATTGAAAAGAGTTTTTTGAAACCAAGGTTTTATTTTTATATGTTTTATATGGAGCTTTAAAGGTGGATAATATATTTATTTTCGATCTTGACACAGTAGTATAGTTCAACATTACACCTCTTCGTTATCTTTTATATCCAATTAAATTCAATACTTGAGCAATTCTTTGGATTCTGAACCATAGTATAGTTCAATCGTTTTTATTTTAATTTCAGAAATTGTTTTATTGGTAAAAGTTTATAATAGTATTTATTTGGAAAGAACAGAATGTTTCTAGAACTATAACAATCTTATAGTATTGATTTATTGGATATCCGTTATTGCTTCTACTGGTCTGCTTGATACTGTTTGAATAGAATAATTATCTACAGAAAAGAAATACCTGAAAATATAAAAAGAAAGCAGACTGTTTGTTGAAATACAACAGTCTTTAAGAAGCATAGAAAAATTATTAGCTATGTGTGCTGGGTACTACATTTAATGTAGTATGCTTTTATATTTTGTGTACACTTTTATACTTACATTGTAAATATTGGAAAAGAGCGAGCAAAAAATAGATGTCGATATTGATAATCCATGGCGTTCCTTATGATATCTTTCACTATAAAAACAACAAAAAACATTAATTTTTGTAAATCAAATAAAATAATAAATAATTTACATATCAGTAGCAAGAATATATATTAACAGAGATAGATTGTTTTTGCAAACACTTGATAGAACTCTAATGAAAAATAATAATATTTTATGTTAACATATTATAATCTTAATATAACTAAAATACAAAATAAAGTAGTAATCCTTATCATATAATATTATTTCCAGCTGTATAATGTAAGGGAAATCAAAGATGGAATCAACAGTATTCATCTATAATAAGACTTCATTTTAGTAAGATACATGTCAAAATAATATATATATATATACTATCTTGATACTTTTAACTAAATTCATTTGCAGCAGTTATTCTTGATGATTAAGTCTGTAATAAAAAAACAAGTCGGAAGGATTTTTATAGATGTCAATTTTGCAAAATATAATATTGACCTTTATTAATCTGGACAGCAATTGTGAAATGAATGCATTTAAATGAAAGCAAACAACCATCTATTATGATAATAAAAGAATGTATTAATTTTTATTGTTTATAAAAAAGTATTTAATAAAGAAGTATGTTACCAAAAAAACCACTTATATAATAATGACAAACGTTGGAAAAGAGGAAAGGAGCAGAAAAGAAGAAAGAAAAAGATGTAATTTTTTTTCCGTGTTTGAAACAAAATACCAAAAAGCTTATCTAATAAACAATAGCAAAAAAAAACTGAAAAGAGGTGATCAATTGAGGCCAAAAAATGTATCAAGGCCGATTTGCATCTCAGTGTTTCAAGAAGTTGTGTTTGAAGTGTTTCTGAAACATCACTACCGCCTATAAATACTTAATATTTCTACTTGCAATTCAATTTCACTCACTCTTGGTTATATCATCTCAAAAAATCTACGTTGCAAACTTACTGTAATTTACATAAAAAAATAAATAGATTGTCTCTTACAAAAGAGAATAAAAAAGAAAAAGAACTAATATTAACAATTGAAAATATTATGATGTATTACAGATAATATCTACCTCCAACCACAGACTCGCTCCTTCTCTTGCTAGTACTGATGTCCAGTTGCTACAAGCTTTGAATGCGATGAAAGAAGAGATGAAGGCCATAAAGGATAAGATCACACTTATGGGTACAAGAATTGATGTAGTCATCACTGGTAACATAACCGCCATCAATGACATTGATGCCTTGTCTGCTCTCCCAGCATCTGCACATGTGCCCACTAGTGTTGCATCCACTTCTGCTGCCCTTCCCACCACTGAATCAGGTGATACTAATGCTGTATTTGTAAGTATAAAGATACAAAAAACACTTGCCAATCTTGTTGCTAATTGAAATATGATAGGGCTACATTCATGGTTATATGTGGAACCCAAAGCTAAAATCAAGAGACCAGGCAGAAATCCAAGCGAATGTCATAAAACCAAAGTGGGCAGTTGATGTTCGTTTTGATCGCTCTTCAAATAGAGAGTTAGTCAAACAACTCTTATATTACTTGGAAAAGAAATTTGCTGGCACTGATATGAGGACACGCGACCTTTGTAAGTGTATATACACAAACTTCTGTAGTAGACGTTGCCAGCAAAGGGAACTTCCGGAAACAAGACGAGCCTTGAATACTAATTCAAGAAGATCTGGCTGCGAAACTGATGTAAACTATATTTTCAATTTATACTAAATAATAACAATTAGAATATTAATTGTATTGTCTTTTTCCTTTAGAACTACACTTGCTGTCGCCTTGCTTATGATGCTTACAAGGCTGACATTGATCTCAAGATGGGTTGAAACTGCTCTGGACTGATCCAAAAGTTGGTCATATCTGAAGGCGAATCAGACAATGATATGTCCCCCTCTCAGCCAAGAAATGAGATTCGTGTTGCTCACTCAAGTTGGAGAAGTGACAAGATAAAACCTAACAGTTTTCTTTTTTGAATGATGCCAGACTAAATGTTAATATATGTTTATTACTTAGTTTAACAAATTCCCACCAACTGCTTAAGAGAGTTTATGGTAGAACAGTGAAATCAACAGTCCCAATTGATTTAGATCCTGCTCTATCTCAATGGGCTCTTAAATATGGGTCATAAATAAAACTCATTTTTTGTTGTTTTTTTTTTCTTTTACTCTCAAAATTTCTTAACATATATGTATTGTTTGCAACATATATAATAAGACTACATTAACTTATGTATTGAAATTTTTTATTAAAAATGAAATGTATTAAATATTAATTGTATTGTTTGTGTGGTAAAGCATTGACAAGTATTTTCTTATTATTTGTACTGGTTTTATAATCACATGTTGCAACAACTGATGATATTCGATGTACTGGCAAGATGCATTCAAAATCACATGCAATAAAATCTGTACTGCAGATGTCAACACTTTTCAACTCTCTTGAACAGTCATGCTCAATCTGGAATCACTTAACAAACACAAACACGTGTTTATCTTGATAAACGACACGTGTTTGGAGCTCGGTGTTGTCTACTGGTGGAGTGAAAGAGTGAAAGAAAAGGTACTGAATTTGGCCAGTGTATGCCAATCGATTATTGCCTTGACTTCCAAGGAACAGAGATTGTACAAATGAGCTGCAACCAGAAGCATCGTTACAGCCTTTGTATACCTGGCCAAGCAAATTGATTGATCTCAACTTTGTGATCTGATTGTCAACGAAGGAGAAGAAGGAGGATGGAAATTGATAACTTTCAAGACTAGGAATGTGATAAGCGACTTTATAATAATCAAGCAAATGAGGATAGTCAACATCACTCATTGCTGACGAGGGCTTGATGTGAAGAGAAAACATATAGAGAGGAAGACACTGGAGAAATGACCCTGAATACCCTTGTGTGAAGGTTCATGGTTACATGTGGATATTTAGAGCAATTTTTCATCTCAGCATGTTTTTTGGTGTACATGTTCATAAAGTCATGTTGTAATTTTCTATTGGCTTGGATATAATAATCATCCAAATTATTTTATCATTATTATTATTATTATTATAAAGTTTGAACAAATAAAGTAAATGTAACACTTGTTTCCCTTTTATCTTAACATTTATAACAAAATAAACACCATGTCCTCTACTTCTGAACTTTATAATAAGAAGTGCTATTGCACAAAATGCAGCGATAATCAACAAGGCTACAGCTTTGTTTCTACACGAACCCTCCAGCGTCACAATAAAAGAGCAAGATATGAAGACATGGAAAAAAGTGAAAGAAGTATGTTTTGTTTTTCATTTTCATTTTCATTTTGGTTATTTTATATAATGTTTTATTTCAATAGATGTATTTGTTCAAAGAAATCTCATGGATATTGATTTTGAAAGTAAGAAACGTTAATTGTGATAAAAAGAGAAGTAAACTAAAAATTGAATTCTATATGTAGCTACATCAAACCAACAAACCGGACCCATGGAAGCAATGGGCGGTCAGACCAACTCGTCTGTTTGGGAAGGAGCCCCAATTTCTGACGATGAGGTTGCTTTTAGCAATGAGTCGAATGGCGAAAGCAGTGATGGTGATGAAAATAACAATAACAAAGAAAGCAATGGCAGTAAAGAAAGTGAAGACAATGAAGAGAATATTGTTGAGATTGAAGTTAAAGAATTCGATACTGAAGGTCAGTCCGTGTTAATTAACTAATAAAAAAAGACCCAAAAAAAATTCAAGGAAAAGAACCAAAAAAGAAAAATCTGAAAAAAGGGGGGGTGTTAATTTTTTTTGTTTTTTTTTACAATAGATCCTTTTGCCACCCCAAATATGCCTGAAAATCCGGTACACAGGTTCATTGCTACTTTTGTGGTAATGTTTGCTTCCCGCTATGTGGTCAATAAGGGTGCTGTTATCTTGATCAAGTTCATCAACAAGCTCTTATCGATTTACGAGCAGGATTTCCAATTGCCCATGAGTCTTTCTGGTCTCCAAAGCATGACAGGATTCTCAGCCATGACAAAAGGGATTAAGAGATTTGTCGTTTGTCAGGATTGCCACAAGGTGTATGAGGAAAGTGTACCTGCTCCTTTGAATTGTGATTTTGTAAAGCTTGGTGCACATACCGCCTGTAATTGCAAATTAATGGTCCAATCATTGTCTGGTGGTTTGGTCGCAAAGAAGTCTTATGTATATCAGTCTCTCACACGTGCTCTTAAAATTCTTTTCCTCCATCCTGATTTCGAGCAAAAGATCATGCACTGGAACCAAGAATTCAAGATTACTGATACATTGTGTGATGTTTACGATGGTGAAGCCTGGACTGATTTGAAGGACAATGACAATGAAATTTTTGTTGAGCATCCTCATTCATTGATGCTGACATTAAACATCGACTGGTTCCAGCCTTTCGATGGTACTAGCTATTCCTGCGGTGCTATCTACCTGGTGATTAACAACCTGCCTAGAAGTGAGCGGTTTAAAGCAGAAAATACAATCCTTGTTGGCCTCATGCCCAGACCAAAAGAGCCAAAATCAGAAGAGATCAATCATTATCTCAAGCCATTAGTCGACAAAATGATACAGCTCTATCTTGGAATACAGATACCCACCTACCAGCAAACAGATGGTGCAACAGTTCGTGCAGCCTTATTGATGGTTGCATGCGATATACCTGCTGCCAGAAAGACTAGTGGGTTCACCGCACACAACAGCACATGCGCCTGTTACAAATGCAACAGTCAATTTTCTCGTTTACCAGGCACTTCTTCTGTCGATTTCCGTGGATTTGATTGTGACCAGTGGCGCCATCGAAGTGATAGAGCAAACCGTGTGCATGCTGAGGAGTGGAATAGTGCGAGTACACCCTCAGAAAGGCAGCAGCTGGAGGTCGAATATAGTATTCGATGGTCGCAGTTGTATCGCCTTGGATACTTTGATCTAGTACGTGGAACGATCATTGATCCCATGCATAATCTTTTTCTGGGAACACCAAAGAGAATGATTTAAACATGGACAAAAATCAAAAAAATGAAAAACAATGATCTGCTTGCAATGCAGACAGTTGCAGCAATGATGATATTGCCCAGCAACTATACCAAGCTGAAAACGAAGATAGGAAAGGGCTTTTCCCACATTAAAGCAGATGAGTGGAAGTCTTGGGTATCGGTGTACTCTCCCATGCTTCTAAAACCAGTTCTTCCATCCAATATGTTCAATGGCTGGATGCACTATGTAAAAGCATGCTGTACACTTGTAAAGTCGTCAATCAGTTTCATCGAAATAGACCAAGCACACAGATATCTACAAGAATTCTGTCAATCTTGTGAAGATACATATGAACCAAAAGTCCTCACCTGCAACATGCACCTACACCTCCATCTTCATGACACAATTCGTGATTTTGGACCCATGTATGGCTATTGGCTCTTTGGTTTTGAGAGATACAATGGTTTGTTAAAGAATAACAAGACAAACAGAAAAGACGGGTTTGAAACAACCTATATGACAAAATTCACTGCAGACGCATACAAAGCTGATTACGTACGAAATATGTTATCATGTCCAAGCCTCATTCCATTCCTTCCTCTTTTCGAAAAACTTATCTCTACGACCGCACCTATAACGACCTATGCCACTTATGCTCCAACCAACCAACAACCTTTCTGACTGCAACAATTTGTAGACTCATCCTTAAGTCAAGCAGCACCTATCAAAGGCAATGAACCACTCCCCCCATCCACCTTTCTTTTACAGTCCTTAAAAGAATCAACAATGAGTGATATTGATTATCCTCAATTGTTAGATTATTATAAAATCGCCTATGCTATGCCCAATCTCATTTCTTACCACAATGCCAGATTGTCACAATATTTTGTAAATAACCGAATCACAAAATTGAAATCAATTGATCTCCTTGGCCAAACATATATTGGGAATAACAGTTCTGGTAAGCGCGGGTCACTTGTTCAAGCTTTCTTCCGTAGCAGCAATGGCCGAACTTCAAGCCTATATACCAGACAAATTCAGTATCTTTTTATACATTCATTTACTCTGCCTCCTCATCCAAACCACCGAGCATCAACATTACATCAAGACCAGCATGTTTTTGCATACATCTGATGGTATAATTTGACAAATGACAATGAACACAGAGATGAAGGTATTGCAATCTGCTTGCCAGAATTCTCTGCTGATAATTATCACAACATCTTGCGTGTACATCGCATACACTTAGAGGTTGCAATTGCTGTAGATGTAACTGATATGAACGAAGAAAGAATGCTGATCATTCCTATGCCAAAAAAATACTATGCCTGAAGCCTTTATGAATAATTATGCACTATGATTTTTTATGAGAATAATTAAATAAAAAACAAAGAACAAGTAATGCCTCTTTATGCATTTTTTTGGTTATTTAAAGTATAAGACGTTATGAATGAAGAAAAAAAGAACAAAAAATATAAACTTTATTTAGGGCCCGTTTCTAAGAGCCCACTGAGGAAACTGTGACGCAATTGCATCAGGGACTGGTCCTTCAATGGTTTTGCCAAAAGCACATGACAGCAATTGATGGCTATTTAAGCCTAAATTGGCTACCACTTTGTTGTCAACAAGTGTGATGAAGTGGTTGTACTATATTAAAGACATTAATATTTTATTCAGTATAATACAATATAATATATTAACTAAATTAAATATTTCAACTTTCAAAAAACTAAGTACCTCATCACTTCTCCAACCTGGACGACAAAGACGAAGCCCACTATAAGAAACATGAGGCGAAGTGCCATCGTCTGACTCACCAACAGACATAGCCTCTTCTATAATGAGCCCAGAGCAATCTCTTTTCATCTCGTCATCAATAGCAGTCTTGTTAGACTGGTACGCTGTTTTGCGACGTTTCAAGTGCTGTTGAAAATATTAAATTAGTTTTCTTTTTTTTGCTTTAAATTAATGACTTAGATAAGAATTATTCAAATAATAAATAAATAAAGTATAACTTACCTCCTTTTCGCAGCTACTCCTTCTGTTGCGAGCATTGTCTGACTTCTTTTTAGCCTGAGACTTATTAGCTGCACGCTTTCTGCTAGTGAAGTTCGTGTAGACAAAGTCATGAACATCACTTTTTCTCAGTCCTGCTCCTACAAAATTTCTTTCCAAGTAGGCAACGAGGTTTTCTGTCAGCTCAGTGTTTGGTGACTGATTGAAGTTGACAGCTGTGTTCCACCTTGGCTTGCCATTGTTGGCTTGAACTTCAGCCAAATGTTTTGACTTGAACTTAGGGTCCCACAAATGCTCCCGAAGAAGTCTCTATTGAATCTTGATAAGTTATTAAAGATATAACTTACTATATATATGATACATACATAGACTTTTGTTTTGTTGACTGATTTTGCATCAGAAGCCATGGTGGGAGAACCAGCTACATTCATTTCCATGCTCACAGGAGCAACAGCATGCACTAAAGCCATTGGCTGACTCTGCAAAACAGCAGACACAGGAGTGTTCGAAGTTTTTGCTTTGATATCAGCAACGTCTTTCATGACAGTGGTCATGTCACGACGCAAGATGGCAAGAGAGTTTGTCATCTCTCTCTCAGCAGGAGTGCGTCGAGTGGGATAGCTTTCATTTTGGTTAGACATATTCTATTAATTTAAAAAATATAAGTTCAAATTTGTATTAACTGTTAATGCTTTTATATTCTTTGAATAAATTTCTATTATACACTACAATTATATTTATTATCAAACATACCAAAATAAAAGACAGAAAAAGATGGGAAGATAGAGAGAGAAAGTGTGAGTAAAAGTAAGAATAATTGTAAGAGTGCGTGAGCAAGGGTAAGTAAGATTGTAGCAAAAACGTATATTTATATTTCCAAAAAAAAAGGATGTCTAGTCTTGATTGATCTTGGTTAAAAGAATATATCTAAAGTAACTTCTTGTACACACACTGTGTAAATTGATACAAAGATTACTTTTAGATACTACACCATTATATCTATTATGCTTTTTGGATATTTTTTTTGAGTTTCATTTTTTTTAATTACCTATTTTGTTTTTTTTGTATTTTATTTACTTATTTTTTTTATTTTTCCATATTTTTCCATATTTTTCCTTATCAACCATTTTCTTTTCTTTTCTTTCTCTTTCTGATTTTTGTTATAACTGTGAATTTTACTGGTAAGATACATTCTTCTTAAAAATACTTCTGTACAGACAACAACAAGATTAACACATTCTGTTGTCATAGATACATATATACTCTCTTAGTGTTTTACTATATTCGCAAACTTTTTTGGTAACATATCTTCTGTTTTTTTAAAGCAATTCTTTTCTTCAAATGTAACTAAATAATAATTATTATTTCAGCTGTCATAGATACTAGCGTGTTTTTTCCTTCTGATGTATTCTCTTTACAATGGCCATCCGGATTAGTCCAGGTTAGTAACTATACTTCATGTCATCATCCTATAAAATTATTCTGACTTTTCTCCTTCTTTTTTATAGACAATATTGCCAAAAATACTCCCTACAATTAAACAAGACCATCAACATGGTAATATTTTATTTTTTATTTACTTTTAATATTTATCTGACAGAATATAATTTTTATTACAGATGAATATTCATCTGCCAAACACGCAATGAATCAAGAACCTCTATCTCTTGGCGCCATCATTGACATGGTAAGACTTCTTCTTTTATTCTCTTAATATGTATGATAGTATTATTTATACTGTATATTAATATATGTTTTTTACTAAAGGTTATATCAACTCTTGACAAGTACTATCTAGGTCTACAAATAAATTGACTTTCTTTGGGTACGTTCATTACATATTCTGTCACCCAATTCACTCAAACTAACTTCTCTATATTATTTTCATTGTTAAAGAAATTATACTTGACGCCATGCCTCGAACTCTCAAATTTTTATTTTTATCTTCTTCAGTCATTATATTGTATGTATCCTCAAATTAATATATCACTCACAACATGTAAATATTTAAATACACATCTAACTTCTCTTCTATTATGTTAAATAGTATATGTGCCAAAGATAACTACTGAATATGAGGGTTTACAAACATTATATATAAAGCACTGCTTGATTTGAGTCATATGAAGGATACCGGTGAAGACGGCCCAAGGCATATAATATTATTCCAATACTATCAACCTAGAATCATTCTATTTTTTCTAATAAATACAAAAATAAACTATAATTCAAACCAATAATAATTGAATATCAAGTAATTGGGGGAGCAGATAATCTATGACCTCATAATAAAGAGTGTTAATGATTGGCTTATAAGCAATAAAATGTCTATGGTTCTAACTATTCACCCAGGGATAGTTCAACAATACACATGCGACGTAGTCCCTGATTATTAACCTTTAACATGGAAACAGATTGTATTACAGCAAAAAAACAAAGTTTGAAATAAAGTTTTCTTGGTACTCTATTATATACAAAGATATAAAATTACTATTGACCCCAACTTCACTAGTGCTATCGAACTTTACACTTGTAGATAGCAGGTCTGTGCATATGTAACCAGATCAGCTTTGGTACCAGTGGAAATAGGCAAAACCCCACTGTAAAATGCGGAATATTCACAATAGTATGCCTGAATTTCCCGGTGTGTATTTATTGTTATTTTTCCAGTGAGAGGTTCATTGCCCAGGACTGGAAGAGAAGGGTTTGAGTATGCTTGGACAAAGGCTGCTAATCTGAATGGGCGTTGTGGGAAAGTTATCTTGTTTTTTAAACTGGATGGTTGAGCAGTGGCACTAAGCTTGGCAAGAAGCAGAAGAAAGGGGACTTGGCTTGGACATTGGAGAACAGCATTGACATAGTCACCCTTGAAAGTATTTTGGACAAAACTCTGCATATACGTAGCCTCAAAAGAATCTTTTCTGTTCATGCTTACGTTCTTTAACAAACTGTTATATTGCTTAAACCCAAAGAGCCAATAGCCATATACTGATCCAAAATCACAGATAGTCTTGCAAAGATGGAGACGTAAATGCATGTTACAGGTGAGAATAGTTGGAGTGTAAATATGCTGGCACTCAGTACAGAATTCTTGAAGAAATTTATGGCCATCGTCAATGTCAGAGAACGTGATGCTTGGCTTTACTAATTGGCAGCAGGCATCAACAAAACTGATCCAATTTCTGAACATTTCAATTGGCAGAACAGCCTTCAACAAGATAGGCGAATACACTAGCACCCAGAACTTTCATTCATCAGCTTTCATGTATGGATAGCCCTTTCTGATCTTCAATTTCAACACCACGTAATCCATTGGCACCACCATTGTCTCTGCCATTGCGTGCATTCTAGCCAGCTTTCTATCGTCTATCAGTCCTTCTTTTATCCACTGCTCCATCATTCTCTTTGGTGTCCCCAGAAATAAATTATGCATGGGATTGATGATCGTTCCATGTACTAGATCAAAGTATCCAAGGCGATGCAGCTGCGATCATTGAACACCATTTTCAATTTCCAACTGATGCCTTTCTGAGGGCGTACTGGCACTCTTTCACTCCTCAGCATGCAACCTGTTTTCCAGACCGCTACGGATTTTCCATGTCAAATAGTCGAACCTACTGAAGTCGACCTGATTGGTACTTGGTAACCTGGTAAATTGCCTTACATATCTGGGGCATGCACAAGTACTGTTGTGGGCAGTGAATCCACTGGTCTTCCTGGCAGCGGGGATGTCACAGGCAACTATATGTAATGCGGCACGTACATTAACACTGGCTGAGCACTTAAAAGTTGGGATGGTTATCCCCGTAAACAACTGCAGCAATTCATCGACTATTGGTTTTAAATAGTGGTTGATCTCTTTGGTCTTTAGCTCCTTAGAACCAGGCATCAAACCAACAAGGATGATATTTTCAGGCTTAAATCTTTCCTCACGAGGCAAGTTATTTATTGCAAGGTAGATAGCTCCAGTTGAATATGTAACACCATCAAATGGCTGGAACCAGTCGATGTTCATTGTTAGCATCAATGAACGAGGTTCATCCACAAACAATACACCACTTTGGTCCTTTAGCTCCTTCCACATAGCACCATCATAGACGTCGCATAGTGTATCTACGACCTTAAGCTCTTTGTTCCATTGTCTGATTTTTTGCTCGAACCCAGAACGAAGAAAGAAAACTTGTAATGATCTCTGGATAGAGTTGTAGACGTATGATCGCTTGGCTACCATGGCACCAGAAGATGAAACCTTCATCAATTCACAATTGCATGCTGATTGAGAACCATGCTTTTTGAAGTCGCAATGAGTAGGGAGAGGCACATCTTGTTCGTAAACCTTGTGGCAGTCTTCACATACAACAGACTTCTTGATACCATTGGGGTAATTGGAAAAACCAGTCATTCTTTGCAGGCCAATAAGACTTGTTGGTAATTGGAAATCTTTGCTGTAGATCTTAAGTAACTGATTGATAAATTGAATCAATACGGCGGCACCTTTGTTAACAACATAACGTGAGATAAAAAGAACGGCAAAGGTAGCAATGAACCAATGGACAGGGTTTTCAGGCATGTTAGGAGCATCAAATGGGTCTATTTAAAATTAACAAAAATAAATTAGAACAAATTTTCTTTCGGTCTGTTTTTAAGAAAACAAAATCATTTATGACTGACCTTCATTAACAAACTCTTCAACGTCTGTCTCGACCTTCTTCTTCACCACTGCCAGAGTCAGAGTTTATGTCTCTTTCAATGTCAGAGTCATTGCCATTGACCTCGCTGATCTCATCGTCTACCGAGACATTGTCAGCCATTGTGGCGGCATTTGAATCAGGTGAGTCGGCCTGATCGTCTATTTTTTCGATGGATTCAGATTGACAGGTTGGGATATATACAAATATAGATTAGTTTAGCTTATTGTCTCTACTGGTTTTCAAATATTTTTTTTTCTTTTCTTTTCTTACATTGGGTATCAACGTCCATCATTTGTTCTTCTTGCACAGCTGTGTTTCATTAAAATTAAAAAAATAAAGAAGTTATTACTCAGTAATCGAAAAATAAACCCTGAATATAACATACTATTTGCCAATCTTTCAGCCATATCCAGTCTCTCGATTCTCTCAAGCTCATCTTTTCTAATATGGCGCTCAGCGGTTCTGCTTGTCACCAATGAGTATCCCTGTGAATTTCTGCTACATTGAGCACAACGGCAGACAACATTACGGCGGTGGGGAATAGAAGACATTTTATGTGTTTTGTTTGATGTGATTTATTGAAAATAAAAAGAGGAACAAGCGTAAAATATACTTTATTTGCACCGACTTTATAGTAAAAAAAAAAAGCATTATATTTTATAGTTGTTTAATTAAATTCTTCTAACAAGTTCTTTTCTATATTATTAAATATAGAAAGAGACATGACAATTATGATATTATCAATTCATAGTCTTTATTCAAATGTTTTCAAGAATGCCTGTTGTGTGTAAAAGACATATATTTTTCTATTATGAGTTTATAAATAGATTATTGCAAGAGTAAATCCAGAAAATAGTAGGAATAAAAAAAAAGGGGTAGTAGAATGAGAATTATGATAGGTCTCTGTATGTGAATTTAGCCTTCCGTACCAGACTGATATTCTAAAATTCTGTTAGCCAATGAAACCAACTAAAACTACATCTTTGACCTGAACTTCAAAAAACACACTGAGTTGAAAAAAATCACTATTTCTACACATGTGTTTACCAATCTGGCCACATTGTTAATCAGGGCTGTTTTTCCAGTGTAAAAGTTTGCTTCAATTTATGTTTTATTATATGATAGCAGTACTACTAAAAACCCATCTATTAGAACTTGCAAAAAAGACATGGTATTATTTGATTACTGCAGAGGTATGCAGTAAAAACCCTTTATCCCAAATGCATTTCATGTGCTTTGAGTACTTCGATATAGACTAGACGACCTTCTTTAATTCTTACCAGTTTCTACAAATATATCAGTGTTAGAGAGAAAATAAACAAATAGACATAATAATGTAGTGCTTACCTTTATGTTATATGCTTGATAGCTTCAAATAATAATTTTTTGCTATAAATATATATATATTAGAAAATAATATTAAGATGTAAGCTTCTTATGTTATTAAAGAGTATTAGAGTGTCTACAAGACCAGTGAAAAAAGCAGTGAGTATCACTCAAAATTATTACTAAAGAAAACCCAAAAAAAAATTCGAGTCATACAATATAAAGTCAAGTTGAATCTACTTGAAAACTGAATGAACATTGTTTTGTTAACACAAGATGTATATTATATCAAGATACTTACATAGAATATAACACCTATCAATTATAACATAACAGCACAAGAGTATTATTAGTTTTTTTTGCTCTTTGAAAAAAAATAATCTATTGTACTTCATTCAAAAATTAATTGTAACAATGCTGCAGATGTTGTACATTAGTTTTCAATGCTGATGACTATATAGATACAAATCACATAAAAAAGGGCAATGCATCTTTATTTAAAGAGAACGAATAAAAAAAACAAGAGAAAGAAAGAGAAAAGAAGAAAATAAAAGATAAATATAAAAACCAAACTAAAAATACATTAAAAAATATTTTGAACCAATCAAAACCTTCTACGATCTTTGACTTCTCTTATGTGCTGGCTCAACACTCATTTCTGCCAGAGGAGACCTTTATAAAAAAGTAAAAGGTTTATATTAGTTTCGTATTGACAGCATCAAACCAGCAGAAATCATGGCAACTCACAGCACATCCACCATAATAGGCGACTTGCCACCATCCGTTTCTGACATATTATCAGAAGACAATGAAGAATCATTTGCATCTTGCTGTGCCTACAGATTTTTTTTAAATGTCAATTAAAATATACAAACAAAATCTTTTGATTAATAAACTTATGTTGTTCTTCTCTACCATTATTCTTTTTTGCTTCTGGTTATCCCTTTTGAAGCTTCTCTGAAGAAGACTTTTTGCACAACATATGCTCTTGAATTTGTAAATAGCAAAGCCGTTATCCTTCGCCAGTCTCTCCAATTGCATCATGTAGTACTCCCAGTGCTTAGCTGGGATACCTTTCCATTCTTTACTGAAAGCAGGAAAGTCCTTGTCAATCAGGTTATGCTTGATGCTACAACTCAAAGTCTTAAGCTGTAGTCACTTCATTGTCAAATTGCTGTCCAAAAGAAGTACTAGTTGAGGCAAAGGTTGTCCTCCTAGAATTTCTTTGCAGCATGCTTTTCAGTCCTGTTTGTGAAGCAACTGCAACAACATATTGTATTTTTGGGCTTCGTTTTTCCCTTTGAAATCGCCACCTGTGCCAATTACTCGCTTGCCAAGCTGGTCAGGATACTCAGTGAATTGAGACTTTTTCACAGACTCAGCAACACATTCAAGAGCTACCAAAGAGGAAATTGTATGCCATAATACTGATAAGGCAAGTGAATGTACTAGAGTATAATAAATATGTTTTACCACTTTGCTCAATGATGCTTTGTTGCATTGTACTAAGATCTTCTGCGCTTACAGTTGGGGCAAATTGTTTGCTAAACTGATCTTGAAGCATGTGTACCATTTGCTTTATTTCAGCAATATCAATTTCAATTTTTCTGACAGAGTTTATGAGTGTGGTGTTGATATAAGACGTTTTTGAATTATTTTTCTTTAAGAAAGATAAAGTGACTAAAAGTTATACTTTATATAATATATATTTTTCATAATGTTTACTTGGTTAACTTTCTGAAAAAAAATCAACTTAACCATAAACATATAGTTGCTACAACATTATTTTCTTAATTTTTAGTATCAGAATATTTTACTAATTAAAATAATGACATCAGTATAGATGGACTATATAATAGTAACACGATATTTAAATACCATAAAGTTAATTAATTGTTAAGCATTGATCTTTTAAAGTAAATAATATGATAGATATACTTATATCATATTTGTTGTTATTATTGATCAAGATGCGTTTTAACTAATATCGTCATTATTGTCATTATTGTTGTATCATCAATATAAGAATTTGTTTTAAAAAAACCATTTGTTGTATCCAACATAATCGTAGATTTAAATTAAAAGTACAGACACTCAATAAATACATACATTGAGTTACCAACAACTAGTAACAATACTAAAAGATATACCTTCCCTTATACAAGGAAATTACATAAAGAACATACTAAGACAAATACTAAGACTCTAGTCAATAACACTAAAAACATAAGAACTAAATCATAGAAGATAATGGTAGAAAAACAGACATTACATGATATCATTATATCATCACCAAGCTAAATACAATGTCTATATAAACGCACAATACTAATAGCAATAGAACATCATCTCTTTTCTGATTCTTTCACTTCTTCTAATAAAACAAAGTCTCACCATACTCTCGCCTGCACTTACTTTATTTTATACCTTATTTTTATCTCATACATAACATCATTTTGTCTCAAAAAAAAGAGTGTATAAACCTATCTTTTACAATCCAAGAATATCACCAAAAACCTCTTTACACTTTAATATTATATATTAAATACTTACCAAAAAAATCAATATGTCTTTCTCTAACACCAATCAGCAGAGGGATAGATTATCTACACAAAGATATCAATGTGCTCAGTGTGCTCTGTCATTTTATAATTACCAGCAGCTTCAAAATCATAAGAGAGTCCACAGAGGCAATCGTACAATAGTAGCTGTCACAGATCAGTTTATTCTGCATGATGTTGAAATATAACATGATGGAAACAGTACCATTGATGACAATGAATTCGTTAGTGATTCAGGTAATAATAATCAATATAATAATATCATTAATTTATCTAAATACTTATCTGATAAAGCATTGTAGATTATGCCATAAATGCAATAGAGATCGACAGGCCATTTCATACAAGTGCAGCTGTAGTTCTGAGGACAGTGAGGGTGAAGCTCACATTTACTATAGCAGCAGAATTGGTAACAATACCTTTATAAAAGCCGAGTTGATGAGTATTTATCTCTCTCAATTGATGCTTCAGCACAGCATTTCCAGAGCAGCTTACAGAGACATCGTCTGATTTTTAATACACTCATTTGAGATCACAATGAAATAATGTTGGATAAAATAGAATCACTACGGCGGGATGAATGGCAGTTGGGCCAAAAGTAGGCACATAACTGCCATTTTTTTGGTCGAAACCCAATAAAATCTCCGCTGTTTGTTGTAAGATGGTAATGTCATTCGTAGCAATTTAAAAAAGTAACAAGAAAACACTTTTTTTGTTGCTGTACAATATTTTCAATAGTGTAAAAAATGTTTGTAAGTTGTAATGACCACTTTGAGTATTGAAATATATGTTTTATTGAATATCAAATATGTCAACAATTATTAAGATTAATAATTTTTGGAATGTGTGAACGAAATGGTAACATAACTGCCATTTTTTTATTTTTTAAACTACGTTCTTTTTTTTTAGATATTCTTTTTATCTTGATGAATTGGCAATTTGATTTTATTTAAATCGCGTAATGGCATATAGAGCATATAGGGAATGAAGAGAAAAGCATAAGGTGTATAGAGAATAGAAAAAAAACCGGAGTATATAAAGAAGAAAAGAAAGACGGGGCATATAGAGATTAAAAAAAAACATAAGAAATAGAGAAAATTAAAAAAAGAATATAAGATACAAGGATGATATAAAAAATATAAAAGATATAAGGATATAGAGCATATAGAAAAATAAGATAAAAATAAAAAGGATTACAGAATGGAAAGATTGCCTTTAGTAATGCGCATGTTGTTGTTAAAGATATAGTAGGGCGCGATGACATAAAACTGGTTTCCATTTGGTGGGTATTGGACCAGACCAACTTGATGACAAATGTCATTTACACTTATAACTGCATAAGTCGGTTGCGTTTGGTGGCCTAGTGTACGGGTGCTTTGTGACCGTTGTTTGACGATAGGTACTGATGAGTCATGACCAGCCGCGTCATGTTCCTTCATGACCTCCATGAAAGCAAGAAAGTGTGGGAAGCCATAGAAATCTACATGCTGAAAGTAGAACTGTACTGTACCGACGAGCCAGCTGTGAACAATTACATTACGGTTGCTAAAATAAATAAATAAATAGAATGTAAGCAACTTTTGATTGTATATCGAAAAATATTATACTTACTTTCTATAGGGGCAAGTAAACATCACGTAATGGTTGCCACAGCTGGTCTCGTTTTTCTTTCTTCGGTACATGCATGAGGAATATACAGTCGAGTCCATCCACAGACGTGCAGCTACAACAATAACAGAGTCACCAAACTCGTGGCCAGTCAAGCCTGTTGTTCTCCGGTAGTATTTCAATAAAGCTTCCTTCACACTAGGGCCGCCTACACCTTCTACCGAATCATCATTCAAATTAACAAACTGATGAAATGGCTCCCACAACTGCGCACCACTAGGATCATTAGGAAGGTCCATGTAGCTCTCTCTTCCATATGGCTTTGGCCGAATGAGGTTGATTTCATCACAGATGCTGATTGCCGTGCTGGTATAATTGTGAATCACAAATAGCTCGACGAGAAAACTGGCGTTTCGGCCACCCTTTGATTTGGACTTTATCAATTTCGAGAAGACACCAATTACTCTCTCCATTGAGCGAGTGGAGTAGCATTGCAGGGGGCCTTGCTGCTTGATGATATAGGGTATATGGACCAGGTAATGTTGCACTGGTTGGAAAACACTATGAGACAGGGTATTATTCTGGACTTGTTGGTATAAAAACGAGTGCCAGTGCTTGAAGTATCTATTATTAATATTTAAAAAATGGTAACAGTCAGCTATTTGTAATGATAATATATGAGATGTATAATAACTTACGACTCCATCTCATCAAACAATTCTGATGTCAACGTCCATTGCAAGGCAAGCACGCAACCTTTCATGAGAGATAATAGAGCTGTTTTGACAGCCCTATTTGGTAAATAAGGCACGACCAAAGTGGGGACAAGATATAAGAGAAAGTCAAGCCAGTCCACTGCGCAAGTACCATCGATCTTGGCAAATACGTTGTCGAAACTGCCTTGAAATGAGGTGGGTATATATTTTCGTGAGCTGGTGATACAGTTTCCGATTGTTACAAGGTCTGCTCTTTGTATATGAAAAGGGTATTCGGTGGTATTGAGGGTATTGTCTGGATGGGTATAATAAAATTTGGTTTCCTTTGTGAGGGTGACGGTAATCAGGTCATACACAAGCTTTCCAATCCCTCTTGCAATTAAATGAAGTTCATCTAATGCAAAAAATGATGATCCAGAGAAGGTTGAGAGTTGGGTATATACGCTCGGCTGATATATGTTCTTGGACTATTACAAGCAGTTATTTAGTATGAAAAAAAAGATGGCTAATTGAACATTTGTATACTTACAGGGTTGCCTACTTTGAAGTCTTCCAAAGGTCTTAACCAGGCAGAAATGTCATCAAAGTACATGCCATGCCGTCTGTTAGTAGGGCATTTGCCTTTGGTCTCACAAAAACGGCAACCAAATAAACTTGTATGGGAACCAATGTGGGCCATATCAGCTACAGCTGGAATATCGCCAGAAGCAAGCAGAAGATAGACCTTGGATCTGCAAAGCTCCACTCCATTGTGCTTGACAACCAAGCCATGTGCCTCAAGATCTCGCAATTCATTGATGATGGGTATAAGAAAGGAGTCCAAATGAGTTGGCTTCTTGGGGCCAGGCAAGATTGCCAGTTGCAAAAGGTATTTGTTGGTATATCTAAGTATTTTATTAGTAATTTTTTTTTAAAAAAAATGTAATAATAATAATAATAAATAGTAATAAAGTAATTAATTACCTGATGGATGGGTCTAGGTTGAATATTATGCAATGGATGATGGTATATGAGTTTTTGCCTTTCTTTTGATTGACAAACCCATTGGTATAAAGCCCAATGGCAATATCATTGGGATTGGAGAACAGGCTCTGCTGCACCAACTGCTTGTAATTGTCACCATCAAAAATGTTGGTTAGCTGACCAGCTACAGATTCCCGGTTTGCTCTGTAACAGAGGAGTTCTCTTGTGGCTGGATCTGCCAACATTTGAGAAAGCATATCCCCAACTGACATAAGTTTCATACTGGCGGCTGGTGTCTGACTTTGATCGGGATCAGTCTTGTATTGCGGTTTACCGCAGTCAACACAAGATTCCTGGTCGTCATTAATGCCATACAATCGACAACCACTAGAGCAGACATCATACTCATGGCCCTTGACACTTGACTTTGACTTGAGCAAAGCATCAACAGTTTCGCCATGACTGATCTTAGCCTTAGGCTCTAAAAAAAACGATATCACTACATGTTAATGATCTGGAATTAAAGTACAAGGTAACAGAAAATATAATATTTTACCCATCATTATATCGTCATGGTCTCGGATGACAGTGTTTATAAATTGAACAATGTCTCTATATGCTGCTCTAGCAATTCTATGTTGTAGCATCAATTGAGACAGATGAATACTCATCAACTCGGCCTTGGTAAAAGTATTTGTACTGATTTGGCTGCTGTCGTAAATGTGAGCTTCACCCTCACTGCCCTCAAAATTACATGCGCACTTATATGAAATAGTATTATCAAGCTCCATAGACTCCATAGTATATTCTGTAATATATTATTTAGTAATTGGAAAATAAATAATACAATTACAGCTCTTTTCATTACCTGAATTGCTAACAGATTCATCTTCATTACTAGTATCATTTTCGTCATGGTACATGTC